CCCCCCCAAAGACCAACCCGCCATAGCTCCTCCCGAACCCGGTGACGAAAATGAGCCAGATGACGCGGACAAATCCAGCTATCGCCAATATCTCCCACCTATAATGAAGGACTCAGTGAAAAGCATCCTCAACCCAAGATCCGATGGTCACTGTGGCTACCGAGCGGTTGCGTGGTGTTTGGGACGAGACCAGGGTGATTACATGCGGATCCGCGAGGGACTCATCACCGAAATCACCAGCCGGAGGGAATGGTATGTCAAGAAGCAAATCTTCCATCGAATCGACAAGATGTTGGACAGCCTCAAGGTCGACACGCCTGAACCCTGTTCTGTTGACAAATGGATGTCAATGCCTTCCTTTGGTGAAGCTATGGCCAATGCCTTCGAGACCGCCGTTTTCTTCTTTTCTCTACATGGTTCTCTAAGTTTTCTCCCTTATTTCTGTCCCCCCAACAACAATCCCCCCATCTGCATTGCTCATGTCCCCAATCACTTTGTCGCCTTGGAAATGTTTGACCCTGTATACTTTCCTGCACCACAACTTATGAAAGATTGGAAGGAAGACGCCGTACCAGAGGCTTTACCGTGGGAGGAGAAGTATTCCGCTTGTCATGTTCTGACTGTTGGACGCAAAATTTTATTCCCAGGGACTACTCATTACTAATTTTAATCTTCATGTCTCCCTCTCCTTCTCCATATTTTGTCTCAGATTAAATTTCTTGCTTATGTTCCCCTCCTTTTACTTGTGTCCTCTCCTTTAACTCTTCTTCTGTTTCTTTCAATTTATTGCTTCTGTTTCATTGATGTGGGTTTTAACTCCTAAGTAGTGCAAGTGAAATTCATGTTTTGCTTGATTCTTCAATCAATTGAATATTATTAGCAGTGATTTCTACTTTTGATGATATTTGGTCATTTAACCAACCAATAAGAAGGAAGCTTTTGCCTCCCATATGCTCAAGAGGGCATACATTTCTCTCTGTTTTTACTGATATTTCCTTTTTGCCAATTTTTCCTCCTCTCATTGGAGGATGATTCCCTGAATTCTTGTATCTCATAATTACATTTGATTTTCTAATTTATGTTGTTAGTTTTTATCATTTAAACTACAATACTATTGTATTTTATTTTCTTGTGTTCCATATTTTATTTAGTTTATTGTTTTGTTTTATTTTATTTTATTGTTTTGTTTTATTTTATTTTGTTCTGTTTTACTACATTTTGCTGTTTTATTTTTACTTTTATTCAAGGGGCCCCTCATTCAATGGGGTTGGATTTTTAAATGTCTTGATGGATTTATTTTTATTTTATTTTATTTTATAGTTTTTTTACTATTTTTGATGGTTTTCTATTTATTATGTTTTTTGTCGTTCCGACTCCCATTTATTGGAGGAACGACTCCCAAATCCCCCCGGGGGATTTCTTTTTTTTTTAATTTTTTTATTATTTTTTTTGGAGTTCCGACTCCCAAAATAGTCGGACCCTTTGGAGGTCCGACTCCCAAATTTTCGGGGGAAAAAAAATATAGGGGGATCGACGTCGAGAGGACCGTCCGCAGCCAGTCCTCTCGACGTCCCAAATATTTGGGAGTCGGAACTCCAATATTTGGGAGTCGTTTAACTAAGACCCTTTATTTATTTGAAGCAATTGTGCTGTTTTATAGACATCAGCCTCATCCAATTTGGATCACACATCCATTAACTAGAAATCAAGTCAAACAACTCCAATAAATATTACATACTCTTAGACCATGTTTGGCTGCAAATCATGAGATGTGATTTGGCTAAGGTTTGGTGCGGATTTGGGCCGTTTGATATAAGAACATATGGAAATTTTGCTTGAACTCACACCAAACCTTGCCTCCAAATTACAACTTACAGACGGCCAAGCAGGGCCTTGATAAAATCACAATTATCATCATCATCCTGTCCATATCACTTCACTACAGTAAACTTGTTGCAGCTGGCCTGCACATGAAACTTGAAGCTCAAAAATTTCATTATACATCCTTCTAGTCAATCTCTTTGGCACCCCAAGGTAATACCACCAAAGCATATTAGCAGACTGATTGCTGTTTCTATTGAGGTTTGATCAGATTGACAGATATTCATACATGTGAACATGCAAATTAGGTAGTGAGGGGAGTCTTCCATAAAGATTGGCCAGGAATGGGATAGCTATAAACTGCCTGCTGAGTACACTAAAAAAATGAGTGATGTAAAAAATAGCTGGTTTTAAATGCAAGATTACAATGCATTTTCTATAGTTAGTTGTATCTCTGGTTTAGTAAATATCTGGCTCTTCATGGTGTTTATAATGGACACTCTCAAAACTCCTTTTATCATAAAGTCATTATCTATTCATCAAATTCAGAGTATGATTCCTACCTGCATCATCCCCAAAAGCTTGGTCTGACAAGATACATGGGGAAATTATTTACACAAACCTTCCCTTGTATCTGAGTTTCTGGGTTGTGTCGCTGTGTAGTGTAGATTGAATATGGGTTTACTCTGAGCTTGGGCAGGAATTAAGTGTGTGCCTCATGATGTCACCTTTCAACAAGTCACATAACATATTTCATGGTGGGAAACCAGTTAATTTTTCAAAACTGAAATCTTCCATAAATGGGTTGCCAAAGGGGGTAGATGAAGGACTAGCATGTTTGAAAAACAGTGTGTTTTTCCAAACCATTCAATTATATCATGGCAGTTTGGGTCATATTTGATACACCCAATATGTTTTTTAGTTTTTACATTTTCTGCAGGTACTCCATAAGGAAATATGTATGCTCATTTCAAATAAAATTGCATTGAAAAAAATTTCCTGAGTTCTGGTATAGCTTCAAGTTGCTGATTAATGAACTATTATTGATGAACAAGGAAAAAGTAGTTCACAGAACTCCTTGATTCTCCTCAATTTTTTAGATTCTAAGGTCAAGGAAGAAACAATAAAAAAATCTGGAATGAAATGTTTGTCACAACAAGCAAACTAGGCAAATAATGGCTTGAATGTAGAGCCACTCTACTTCATTTGAAATAAATTTGATATCTTAGGTATCAAAAGATATGTCAGTATTTCATACATATCATGGTGCAAATCTCAAGAAACTAATTCTATTTGAATGTATGAAAATTCCATCAAAGATGAGTTGTAAATCAGATCTTCCTCAGCAGTTAATTCAACCAAACTTCAATGCACATGAGTGAACATTGAACAGCTGTGAAGATGTGTTGACTTCAAAATACATTGAATTTATAACACAGGTTACATTGGGAGCGCTCTGCATGTGAAATGTTTCTAGTTTTGCAAAAGAACATAATAGGGGGTATCAAATATAACCAAGGCCACCATTATTTAATTGACTGCTTTGAAAAAAGCCACATGTTTTTTAAACATATTGGTTCTTCATTTAACCCCTCTTGGGGCCCATTGATGCAAAAAAAGTGGTGGGAAAAGTGACTGTTTCATTTGCTAATGGTGGATTTCCTATATTTGATACCCCCTAGTAGTTTTACCTTGTTAGATTCAATTATTACATTGGGTGGCTGGACTATTGGAATCAATAATTATTGTTTGCACAAGATTAGTGAGACACTTGTCCAGGGAAAAATTATTGTTTCACTTTATTTTTGTGTTGAGCAATTGATCACAAATCTTACAAAAAAATAATGCTAATTATTTGGGATTTTGTAGATAAGATAATAATTTATTCTACTTCATTTTTTTTTACTTTTTATGAGCCAGCAACACTTTGACATAATGTATCAAATCATTTGTGCATATATTATTTGGTATTTATGGCCAGTATTTGATATGAATAACTGATTGATTAGGGTTCTTAAAGAAGTGATGGTTCAAGATTACAGCTTGTTTATTTCCATTAAAAATCAACAAAGTAGATAGATTTCTTTGGTTATTCTTGTGGTACATGGGGGGTTTTGTTTTGTCTTTGTGCACCCCCAAAGGGATATTTCAGTTATTTTGAGGCAGGTATCATCTCAATCAAGACTAAATGATTTATGGTATGAAAACTAGAAGAAAAACAATTTCAATTGATAAAAACAGAAAAAAGGGATGATGTGATTTGATATATTATCCTTGTTAGAAGATTAGAACTTTAAGCCCATTGAATCTCATGATACCAGACTATCAATTTTCCTTTCATTGCCTTTATTAATGTATCTGTGCTCTTGATTTGCTGTCCTAGATGTACTTCTTACCCTCTTGCAAAAACCCACTTTGGGTCTAGCTTGATTTCTCCCTGTGATGATCTTGGGAAAGAGTTCAAGTGGAGGACTTCGTGTTGCAATTTAGAAGGATTTTTCAGACCTCCCAGTCTTAAATTAACAACACAATTAAAATTTCAACCAGCTCACATGAGAGCTATTGCTAGAAGGCTGGAGAGAAAATATTTTTGTTGATGATAAAATTAGATCTAATGGGTGTAAATTCACTTCTGGGAGGGGGTGTAGATTGTGACAGGTGAGGAGGTCATCCAGTCTGTTCATGAAGTCTGGCTCTTGGTTCTCTCAAGAAGAGGTGAAGAAAGGATAAGAAGAATGGGCCAATTGATGTATGCCTCATGTAGATTGGCCAGGTATTTTTGTGCCGGATCAACCGCAGATGATTTCTCTCCCATAGAAATGTCAAAAATCTGACAGATGATGATGCCCTATCTCTGAGTCTTCTGTGTTGCAAACAGCCAATAACAATTGAGATGTCAATTTCATGAAGAAGAAGCAGCAATACCAGGATGACAAAAGTGTTGGAGCCGATAGATCATCTCAGATGGATCCTTTTCTTTTGCATTTATGTTTGTTGTTTTCAATTCAGACAAAAACAGGAAATGAATTGTTGTCGGAGAGGCGAGGAGAAAGGAAACCAGAGGAACAGACAAGCAGATACAGAGCCAACCAGCCATCTAGACAGGGGCAATGACAATCGAAGTCAAGCAAGAAAAGAGAACATGGACAACCAGATCCGAGCGGTGGTTGGACAGACACTGACTGATCGGTGCGCACACCGCGCCAGAGTCGGAATGCCAACTTGACCCGACAATGCCTGTCCGAAGAGTGCCCATGACTAATCAGCAAAAAGACAAACAGGGTCAAAAAAACAGTTTACTACTGTATCTCTTCCCCCGCCAACAGAAAAAGAAGAAGAATGATGCTTGCTTGATGAGAGACAAATCGAGACAAAAAATCATCAAGATTTCGCATCCTACATGTATACATAAAGATATATATATATATATGTATGGGTGGGTGATAATGAGGAGAAATACAATGCTTGGTTGAAACGGGGTTATTCAAAAAGAAAAAGTAACACTGAAAAAAAAAGTGATTTTTTGGTTTGTTTTGGTGGCGACAATAAATGAATAGCTGGAATAAGAAAAATAACATGATGGCGGTCATGAGAAATAAGAGATGGTGTACACAGTTGTTCATCAACTGAGGGAGTACTACCAAGCTTGCATGCTATAAACTGATACTTTCTTTTTGGACGTGTATTTAAATTAAAATTCCAATGAGAGGGCGATAATAAAAGAAATTGAGTAAATTGAAATAGAAGAGAGAGAGAGGAAGGTGTTGAGGGTTATGTCTTGGCGGTGAATCAAGTCTTGTCTCGTCGAGTCGAAGGGAATGATGGAGAAGGGCGAAAGGGGAAACAAAAAAAGGTTGAAATACAGCCAAGAACTAGAGGAAATAGTTCTTGGATCAGACATAACGGACCTAAGAACGGACGGGCATTGCAACAGAATCGGCTTGAGCGCCGATTGGTTTCCTTGTTTTATGTATACGGTAAGATAATTTAGAATGTAGCACTACTTTTGCTAGTGGTGGTCGCAGAGGTAGACGAGGAGCTCTGCCTCGGTCGTTTTTGGTAATGGGCAGGGACATGGATCGAGTCGGTTGTCGGGCTAAGCGTCGGCCTCGGTCGTTTGCCAGAGGTCGATTCATGTTGGCTCAGTTCCGCCGTTTCTTGCACTTGGGCAGAAACCAATTTTGAAGCGGTTGAATCAACGATTAAACCTCTTAACCCTGCAAGTTTTCGGAACAAAACAAAAGAATTAGCGTCCAACTCCAATTAAATTTCGGTTCTGCTTGTCCAAGTGGATGTGTGGTAAAAAATGAGATGCAAGTTGTGTGACTGACACTTATTTTCTTGTTTGAGACTGTCAACTTGCTTCTCAAGTTCAGAGACTCGCTCTCTCATCTCTTTAGCGGTACGTTCAATTTCCTGCTCTTTCATTTTCTTCTTCATTCTGAATCTGGCTGCAAAGGTTGGCATGGTATAAGAATCCGCCCTCGTCATCATGCGAGTTTGTTTGGGGAATCAAAAGAAGAAAAAAAACTGAGAAATGAAGCAAACCTGAGGCTAGAGTGTTCCTTCGACGTTTGTCCTCATCGTAAGCTACTCGGTTAGCGTCATCATCATCGTTGCCACTCTGGTTGTTGTTGCTGTTGCTATTACCGTCGCTGTTGTTGGGTGGTGAAGAATTGTCTTGTTTGTGAAGTGAATGATTTTGGTCATGTGCAAGAAGCGATTTAGCCGCGGTTGATGTGACTGCTGATTTTGCATGAGGGGCCTCGATAGAAGTCGGCTCGATGGTGGTCTGATTGTTGGTATTGTTTGAGTTCAGATTATCGGTTGGTTGGTCCGAGGTTGAGAGGATGGCTTGGTTTGATGGTTGAGACAGGTATGTGAGTTCATGGGGATTGTTCAGTCCACTTGGGTTATCCAAGAACGGAGGGATACCGTGCTGGTTCGGCAGCTGAAATGGATTGTTGTTGAAGTTCTTATCGGAACCCGTAGTTGAAGAGGATGTTAGTCTTGTGTCCCTTGTGGATGAGTTTGAGTTGGGGTTGAGGTTGAGGTTGTCGTTTGCTTGGTTGTTGTTGTCAAATCGGACTAGGGGTGGTTCGTCGAATTGGAAGTTGATGTTGCTCCAGGCTTCGAGATGGGAAGAATCGAATGGAAGGAGTGATAGCTCCTGTTCGTCACTGGCTCCCATTCGGTGGATGGGTGGAGAGATGATGTTGAGATGAAGGAATGGCCAGTCGTCTGCCATCTTCTCGGGGTTTTTAATCAGATCTGCAAGATAAGCAAACCATACACAATCAGTCAATCTGGTAAATAGAGATGTACGTTATCTGTTTATGCATCGAGGTAGTCTTGAAGCTTGTGCTTACCTCTTTGTTGATACCAATCGTTAATCGTAGTTGTCTCGATGGTTTCCAGCCAGTGTGTCTGTTGACCGTTGTTGTGGTGGAGATGGGTTGATATCGATTCCGAGGAATTCCCCGGGGTGGGGCTGCGACTATCAACCTCAGACAGCTGTCCAACTTCGGTCTTCTATGTCCATACCCCCGGTGGGTGATCTCCTCTTTCCTGTTTCGGCTGTGCAATCAATCACTGCGCGCCACCCGCATACAGATTTCAACACGACGGCACACATTCAGAATGGTTACGAGTTTGATGAGCCTGATTCCCACCCAAAGAGGACCGGGCAACAAGTTGATGCGGATGATAGCCATTTTTTTACCCAACTGGCGGGGCTCAGGAAGTGCTTGAAGATAAGCAGTATGCTGTATTGTAGATCAAACGTTGCAAAGGGGAGACGGCCGGATCCAAAAGGAGGTGCATACATTATAATGATGAGGTATTGTCCCATGTACTGGGTGTTTGAGACTAACACCATTTTGGTAACAATCTCTCTGGCCAATTTCTTGAGAGGTCCCTCTTCATGGCGAGGGGACAGTCCGTCCTGGGTTCATTAACTGGATGATGGCACGCGGAGGAGAGGAAATGGCCAGCTACACAGCTCTACATAACAACGCTGTTACTCCCACAATTCGAATCCCCATCCCGAAAAAAACATTTTCGAGCTTGGGGATATATGATGACTTTTCCTATGTACAGTGACCCGTCCAGACACCGTAGGAGGCGTAGGGCTGTCACCGCGCCTCGCAGACAGTGATCACGGAGTTCCCACTCATTTCCTGCCGTTTCCGGGCCGGTAAAATTGAATTGAGATCGTTACATGAAAGATGTTTTGATAGAGCAATGCAAGGCTGCGATTGCGAGCAGAGCTCAACAGAGAGACCGGGTTGGTCGTACATAACCGGCCGATTGACCTGTTTCGGAAGCTGAAACTGTTACCACGGGAGCATGAGTTTCTAGGGACATATCCTTGGATTCAGTGGTACCCTACATCAAGCCTGTAGCCCTGATGAGACAAATCTGGGAGTGCGCACCTCTGTGACTCAGGTTATGTATCCGATGGTCAACAACAATGGGCTTCCCCCATCGAGATAAGATACTGAAGGATAGATATCTTAGCTATTGTACCTCCCGGCAGTTTTATCTGATGGCTTGCACTCGGAGGGGGGACTCAGAGTTAAGTATGTACGCTCATCAGGCAGATTTGTACCAGGAAAGCCCCCTTGAGAAAAGCAGCAACAGTGACGAAATCGTATTGTGGGAATGGGTATACAGTGTTAATCTTAAAGAGGCCATTTTGGGCATGTAAACCCAGCTACAACCAAGATAAAATCATTGACTCTGGCCCCTGACTGGAAATAATCATGGGAGATCCTCCATTTGTAGGCATTTGGCCTGAGCATGCTCTTGAAAAGGTATCGATTGAACAAAAATTTGGATTCTCCACAGGATCCCTAGCCTCTAGGTATGGATTTTGGCAAACTGCACTTTTTCAAAACCCTCCCATGCTAGGGTTTGCTGGTCTCATGTTTGTTGGATGGTTAGACTTATTTTTTGGATGGTTAGATTCATGACAAATGAGAAGGTTGGGTCTAAAGCTTCTTCATCGGAGACAATACCCTAGAACCCCTGGGTCTTAAGGATTGGATACATTTCAAGTGGTGTCCAGTAAATTAGAGAAACTGGAAGTGACCACATCTGATCTATTTGCTGGCCTGCGATTAAAGGCTCCTGAATTGATGAATTCAAGTTTTGTTTTTGCCAGCAGCACTGTAGGAAATTAAGTCTGGTGTTGTTTCAGCTGTTTGTTTGTTAATTGATTGTCAGACTTATGCGAGAAATGGTAGAAAGAGATTGCAAGAAGCTGCTGGATCTGACTGATAGCGCAAACATGACAGACAGGTTTCTGAAAACGTCCGGCTTGGTTAACTTAACTAAGTATGTATCTCTTGACATTGTCCCGAAGAAGCAGGAGTGGCTAACTTAACTAAGTCCCTCTTTATTCGGATGGGGGACGCCGTCCCGCAGGGACCCTCCGGGACTTAGCTTAGTTGGCAGGAGTGGGTCCCTGCGCAATACGGATAACGCCCTCTGCTAATTAGAAAGAAACAGGGGGACTTGTATAAATTACTACACATTTTTAGGAGTGTATGATTTTTTGTGAGGATTCAAATTATTGGGACTACCAGGATACAGATTTGTAATAAGTGAAAGCGGAACTTTAGCTTAACCATGTTGGTGTTGTGGCGAAAGTACCCCATTTATGTGCGTACATATCACATTCGGGTCTTCTGTAAGAGCACAATGATCAGGTCGGCATTGCCGCTGAAGACTATCCACTGCCTTCGGGACTATGTAGCCTCGTGCCCATGTCCATATGAATTCAAAAGCCACTCCAAGGGTTCCGCTGGCAGATTCTCGCTCTGTCTCGGTATGTCATCTTGGCTGCCCGCCCCTTGCGAAACGCGGGTCTGACTCTCAGATTGTGGATATTGGGCTTCTGCTTCGCCCCAACCATCGCAACGGCTTGTCGGCCACAGAACACGCCTCCAATAGAGTATGACAAGGTTTCCTTAGTGTCGCCAAGGAAGATTGGGCGGATAACTCAGCAAGTAAGTCAATGTAACTCGAAAACCTAGACAATGTAACTCGAAAACTAGACGTATGCATCTTCTTGAGTTGAGAATGGCTCTGCGCCACCTGAGATCCTCGTAACCCACGGCACTGACAAAACGGGGCGAGTCAAGTCCTTAAGAATCCGGATGCTATGTATACTTGAGTGAGCAACCTTCCTTCATCCCAGTAATCACCTTCCTTAAGTCGGATTAGGAAATGTATCATCGAACAGAGCCCTGAATAGTTATCATCGCCCTTGGAACATCACACTCAGGACCCTTGTTGTAAATAATTGCCAATCAACGAGTCCCTTTTCTCGCATCTCATTAACTTTGCCTACTGTCAAAATTTTATAAAGCATATCCCCGAGTCTAATGAAGGTGATCACCCGACCTCTCCAGATCAAGAATCTGACAACTCAAGATGAATTTTTTCTCAATCTTTCTTATTTTAGTAATATGTCAAGGCCTGTGTAAGCAATCGATCTTCCATCTCTTTGGATAGCATGATTCTTTTGCCAACACTGTGTCGAAAAGGAACTAACTGATTACTGTGATTCGGATATCACATTTCCCTACTTTAGTCGAGTTTTCGGATGCAACACCGGTTCCCAAAAAGCATCACGGCCACAAAAATACCGAAACTCCCAAGCATCCTCACGAGAATAATAGCGAACACCCCAAGAAGAACGAGCACCCCAAGAAGAACGAGCACCCCAAGAAGAACGAGCACCCTGAGAGGAAGAACGAGCATAAAAGTGCAGGAAGTCCCCAGAAGTCTCAAAAGCAGGAACACACCGAAAAGCCGAAAAAAGACGAAATTGGCGAAACTGGTCCACCAAAAGACTTGTTTGACAGCCAACTTAAACAAGACTATGGCGGCTCAATGTCTGTTTTTGAGGGAGCTTTTCAGGCAGAATAACTCTGATTCACTCTTCGTTCACCCACCCACGCTCAACTGACACTGGAAGCCTCGAATCTGCACATATTTCCTCACATTTCCCCAGTTCCTGATCCCCTTTTTCTTTCTTGTTAAATCTTTAATTTTTCTAACCGAATGAATCTCGGCACATGTCCCTTGTGTGCGTGTTTCCTGTTTTATTTCCGGTTTTGTCTTCTGCGAAGATTCAATTGTATCATAGATTGTATCTATCTGGAAAAAAATTGTTCAAATTCTCAATGGACACCATACTCATAGCAGCCATGTTGCATACCTAATTACACCACATTTCTTACCTTTCTCTTGTTCACATAATTTTCCTAAAGCCTTTCCCACCCTGTCTCCTTCCTCTTCACAAGCAACTAGAAGGTGGTTTCCTCTCAAGTATATCATTCCCGCTTTCAGCAATAGCCCTTGTAAATGTCAACTATTTTGAGCCCTTGCCACCTGTTCTTGTACATTCTTCAATTTTCAAACATGTCGCAACAATGTGAAGAAAACATAAATCATGAGAGTTACATACTGCTTAAGTTATCAACAACAATAAAATGAAAACTCCTTATTGTAGTCATTTTTTCATGATAGTCAACTTCTCAGACATTTTGAAAAATTGTTTCATCTTTTTAGGCTTCTCCATTTTGACACCACAATGATCAATCATTATTCACCTTTCCCTTCTTTTGTGTGCATCTTTTCCAATGTCTCAATTACTCTCAGTATCCTATAAAAATCCTAATTGCTCAAAGGATCATTAACTTGCCCTTCTATGACTTCTGTTGTGAGTCAGGAAACCATTTTTAACCTAGGGATGCTTATAAATACTCCTGTCCCATTTGTACATCAAACTCCAAAGGATGTATGTACAGCCTAAATAGTTTCTTTTTCTCACCATGAAGTGAATATCTACAGCTATGAGGAAAATAATATCACAAAAAATATCTCCATGACAATTTGGGTGAGATTCTTGAGGAATTTTGATGGGGTTAGCTGTTCTTACTACAGCTTGCTTGTGAAAGTGGTTTTAGTTACTGTAGTCACTTTTGTCACCCAAAAAATTGAATAAACAGGCAAAAAGTCATTCTGACTCTAGCAGAGAGACATAAAGAATCCAGATTTATGTAAGGAATCATTTCTTAAATTTTTTCCTAAGGCCCCGTTTGGCTGCCCTCATTATTTGTGATTTGCTATATGGGGTTTTCCCCAGGGGGCCAATTGAACATCCCAGATTTGGTGCAACAATCAGGTTTTGGGGGTCCAATTTTATCATGGGGGTCACCCAAATCACAAATAAAGGGGCAGCCAAATGGGGCCTAAGTAATTTTGAGATGGGAGTGGCTGAACAGTAGAAGGTATCATTCATTAGGCAAATGCACATCTGAATTTGATTCAAGTTGGGGGTGGCTGAACAATGAAAGGTATCACCCAATAAAGTGGATGTGCACCCCATGTTAACTCAGGAGGAGAGCTGCCACTACAAAATGAATTTTAAATAGGGTGTCATAGACAAAAGTAATCATGGGGAAATTTTCAAAGGAGGGTAAATAGAAATTCCATCCCTTCCACTATGAATCAGTAGTGGTTATTTTTGTCAAAGCGGTAGCTGTGATTAGAAATGTCTAGCAAGATTCATAAAATGATAAAAAACTAGATTTGTTTTGTTTTTTATAGTTAATATAACAAATTATTGGATTATAAATCAGCTTTTAATTGCAAAATCAAAAGAAGAATTCATGTTTATCCTTCATAAGTTCAATAAAGATGGTACTTGGGTGTGTGTGTGTTGTTTTTTCTTTTCTTTATTTTTCCAAAAAAAGGTGGCTACTCAGGCACCTGTTTAACACCTAGCTCAATGGCAAGGACACACTTTTCATTGATTATTTCCATATGAGATTTTTTGATACCACATTTGCTGGTCCCTGTGTTTATATATTTACAAGGTAGTAATGACATATCTGGCTTGGATTGGTCCAGATCTACCAACATGATTTGCTGGCAGAGTTGGTGTAACCATTGGGTTGAACATGGCTTATAACCCAGCCAACACAGGCTGAACCTGATCACCCAGTGAATGGTGTCAACAAGTTGAGCCCTTATTTAGCCAAAAGATTTCCGGATAACAAATCAAACTTTTCCAAAAAGTGTGCTATTCCTCTTTCCATATATTTCAGCTGTATGAGAAGCACAGAAAACACCATTCTGGGTCAGAGACTAATGAATAAATTTGTGAATAATGAGCACCCCACTCAAAAATATTCTGAGCTACATCTTTCCTCCCAACAGCTACATTTTGATTTTGTGAAATTTCAGGTAAGTTCCAAACTGACTGGAGAACAAGCTATGTAGAATGTAGATTCTGAGGATTTATGTATAGTATTTTAGGAATTCTTTCCAACTTGAAAGCAGTGTGTCCAGAGTTGTGGGATATGTCTGATTCCTAGGCTTCTCGGAGTTTACTACATACCACCAATGATTAAAAACCTGCAGGTGGCTGTTGAAGTTGCGATCGGTTCTGCTGCGGACTCGAATCTGGATAAGCTCGCAGCCCCCCGCTGCGCCCGTCTGACTTGCAGCCCTGCCTGTGTCCACCCCACTGCTGCCCCAGCCCTTTAAAAGCAGCCATCCCCACCAACCCCACCTTCCCCCTCTCTTCCTCTTGCTCTCTCTCGTCTCCAAGATCGAAGCTCCCTTCAAGCCTTCATCTTCCCCCTGGATCAATCCTATCCAGTTCCCTCGTTGAAGCATGAGCGGAAAGGTTGTTGTAAGCTGAGCGAAGTCATAAAGACCTGTTGTCGTCTGCCACTCGTTCCAGGTGTTCCAGCACCTCGCCCGCCCAGTGCACTTCTTCTTATATTATTATGGGCGAGGCGAAACAGAACTCACTCCGATCAGGGGAGTACATTCCAAGTCAGAGATCCAGCTGATCAGGTGTACCCCATCCATTATGATATCTCCTTCTGACAGTCCTCAACCTACCGAAGTATCATCGATGAGGTCGTTACCCATTGCCGATCCGAATTCGATGAGATGGGCATAGAGCAAGCCGTGCTCGATGCCCTTCAGGCTGTTGAGTCTCCTCATTCATGTCCTTCTATTCCTTCACTCTTCATCTTTTGTACATAGACATGCTAGCTTACCACTGCTAAACCCTTCCTCGTTCCTAGTCTTGGGAAACCAAACTTGCCAACACTCGTGTCACCGACTTTTCTGCGGACGCACGACTGGGTCCAATACAGGCCTCTCTGGGCCCGGCCTTACCAAGACCTGAAGAATCTGCCAGGGATGTAAGTGTCCTACCTTTGTTTTGAGGGGAGCCTCACGGGCCGGCCAGAAGACGGTCGACATCTGAAGACTGAACTTGCAATGTTCACATTTAGGAACCTGATGGGCCATCCTCGACGTCAGACGTTAAACCTCAGACTGGGTCAACACCAAGTAAAAGGACTGAAAAGATGGACGCCGATACCGACGAAATCAATTCAGATCTCGATGATTCTGAGGATGATGTCGACGCTGCTGAGGGCGAAGATGCAGAAAACGGTGGAGGTGGACCTAGTAACAACAATCCTGGTGATCTGGTCATCGCACTGTATGATAAGGTCCGATTGAACTTACTCCTATCTCGGTTGATCAGAGCCCAATTCAACCCGACCTCTTGTGTTCTTCCCTAATCTTCTTTCGACATAGGTTCAGCGTGTGAAGAACAAATGGAAAATCACCTTGAAGGATGGAATCGTTTCAGTACAGGGGAAGGACTACTTGTTTCACAAATGTAACGGGTAGGTATTCATGTCACTCATCCTTTCAAGGAATCGCAACAAACTTACTCATTCGGACGATACAATGTATATCAGTGAATTTGAATGGTAGACCCAACTTGCTCGTCAACCTCATGAATCGGATAAGAGATCAGCAGGGGAGAATATCTACATCTACATACACCAATAGAGCTTTCTTTTCTTTTTTTGCTTCGTTTCTCTGCGCAAAATGTACTTACTACCCCCCCCCCCTCTCACCTCTTCCTTTCCCCTTATATAGCTTGATTATCTGAATTAGTTTTTCCGATTGTGATAATTCTTTCTTCTACAGTTGATTCCTATTTTCACTTTTCTCCAAACTCTGGGGGACGGATCCTGATTTGGTCTCTACAACCCTTATAATGACTGTGTTTCCCACAGGTAATCATCTAGGATCATCTGAAATTTGACTCATTTTTTTTCTTCTTCTTCTTTCTCCCAATTCTTCTCATTGATTGACTCTACTTCCCCAATATACCAACAGGTTAAATACCTTGGAATCAAACCATGATTTCTACAAAATTGCAACATATACATACATATAGACAATTCCCCACTCATCTATCAAAGACTGCTAGATAAACTCGCATCAGCTTGTGCTCGGATCTCCCTTTAAGCCAACAACTAAACTTCAATCCATGGGGTATTTGGGCCCAGTTGTGTGTTTGGATACCGGGTAGAGTTCCCCACCCTCTTGCTCAAACTTTCTCCAGGGATATGAGGCCGAAAAAGAGCCATTTGGCCCAAGAATATCCCTCCAGTCTGTTCCAGGACGTGTTATGGCGAGTGTTGTTAAGAAAGCCTTTTGTGTTTGTTTAGCTAAACCATGTGTATTTTTAGCTTTTATTTCGGAAGACATTTTGTCAGCAAACCACAAAGGTAGAAATTCTGCTTTATCCAAAGTAGACTAGAAGGTATGTGTGCCAAAAAATTTGCAAATGTTTGTAGTGAAACACAACCAAGAATGTGCCACACCAAAACACCCCAGCTGAAAAGCCAAGCAACAATGTGACCCCACCTCGAAAAACAATTGCCCCAATTTGTGTTGTACAGGCGATCAAATGTGAAAGTTCAAAGTTTCTTTCTGTTGCTTGTTCATATATTTTCTGTTACACTCAATAGGTACTCACATCATAGCCCTTCATTTAACTTTCCCAAGCCAAATTAACCCCCCGCCCCCCCCCCCCCCCCATCTTCATCTAATATAACATATAGGGTAATCTTTTTGTGGTGTTATATGAGATGAGAGAAGCAATCGAAAACACAAAAAACAACATGTTCAAACAAACAAAACAGACAAAAGCGGAGCAGAGCTGATTTTTGTATAATAAAGGGGGGGGGGAGATAAGAAGAATATTAAGGTAGAATCTTAGTAACACAACAGGGTCCGCTCGATCCCCGCGAAATCTTTGACAATAAGCACTTGGGTGATTTCTCCGGGCAAGAGTTGTAAGATGAGTTTCTTGACCGAATGAGCCTGACCATGGCCGACCTCAAAGACCAGCTTAGGTAGCCGCTGACCCGCGGCCCCAGAGCGATGATGGAAGTTGCTCGAGTCCGGTTTCAGTAAGCCTCCGGTAGCGACGAGCTGGATGATCTGACGATAGAAATCCAGTCCGTCCTGTTTCTGCCCGCGCGATTTGTGGTTTTTCTCAATCATCGATTCAGCATCGGTTGACGTCCTTCCAAGGTGTCTCATGTCCGGTTCTTCTGTCCCTCCATCAGCCACCGATTCGGATTTTGTGGCGTTGGGTGATAAGGATGATCGGTAACTGGTAAAGAAACCATAGTCTCCGCTCGGCCGATTACTTCTAGAAAGAACTCGTCCTCCGTTGGGCACATTCAGTTCTCTCGAATCCCTATCGCCAATCAATGCGATCGAGCTTTCCCAGCCTTTGACCGATTGTGGGAGGTGATGATAATCGGGAAGAGGGATATACGGTGGATTTGAGATGATCATGTCGAAGCCGGTCAAGCTCTGAGAGGCCTGTTTGAGGTTCTGAGTAAATGTGGGTGAGAAGAGGTCTAAGTTGAAGAAGGATGCCCGGCCTCTCAGGTTGCGGTTAGTAAGACTAGATTTATTCGGACAGAAAATCTTATGGGTCGTTCCATTCTCCCGAGCCAGACCGACTGCATCCTGGTCAATGTCCACCCCAACCGCATGAACATCTTGATGATGATAAGCAAGGTAATTCGAGATACAGCCGCTGCCTGTGCCGAGATCTAAGACCTTGAAAGAGGATGGTCGGCTCTGTTTGGGAGCGGGGAGATGGGGTGATGTCGATTCGTCGGCCGACGGACGAGACGATCTGATTGCTTGGAAATACGAATTCATTGTTCGAGATAGTTCTGTTACCCACTGCTCAGTCTCCGGGCGGGGTATGAGGATTGGAGGGCGTATGGTAAAAGTCAGATCACCAAATGGTACATTGCCTGCAATTTATTCAAAGATATCCACATGTGATAAGCTGGTTGGAATTCACGGAGGATAGATTGGAGAGAAACCTACCAAGTATGTAGGCTAAAGGTTTCTTCTTTGACACATGTTGGTCTACCCAATCAGCCAACAGCTTACCGACGAAGGGCTGTTTTCCGGTTTTTGTTTCAATGTGTCGATTAAGTGAAATGGAAGAGATTGAATGTCGAGACTGTCGGAGGAGCTCCTTGGTTGCCCCGACCTTGAGCCAATTCAACTCTATTTCACTGCGTCTCCAATGTTCAGGGGTAGCCACGCTCAGATTTTCTTCCTCCAGATACATGTTGACTAGCCGCGTCTTGAGCTCCTTTTCGATCGAGCTAGTCGGCGGTACGGAGGGTCTCACGACTCGAGTCTTAAAGGGTGAAGTGGTATGTGCCCATCTTAGCGCTAAAAAATCTCGGGTGGCTTTTAGACTGCCTGATCAAATTCACACATTTATTTATCTTGAGTTCCAGGCAAACAAGAAAAATCCTGTGAAGTATTGCTATTGAAAACAGGGCAAGTATTTACCTTTCCAGCCTCGATCCACCACCCGGGTGTTGTTCAGCTGGCGGATTGGTTGGTCGGGAGGTAAAATAACTCGATTCTAAATGTCGTTGAGTCTTCGTTTGAAACGGTCGACGGCTGTTTTTCGTTTTTGAAAGGATTTCTAGGCAGACATCACTCGAAGGACGTGGGTAGATCGAGGGCAGCTAGAGAAATGGTAAAATGGCATTCTCGATCAACATCATTGGTCCAACAAGGGCGCAACACATCATGCGCGATCACTCACCAAGCCACAGCTCAGAGCGCTTGTCGATTTGCGACTCGCCAGGGACGACCACGACCAGGTACGATGGGGAAACATGGAGGATGTCCGTTGGAGTATTTATTCCACCTGAAAGAAATGACCAACAGAAGTGCAAGCTGACCAGGTCGTCTTGGCCGGGTGAAGATGGAAAGGCGGCGGAGAAACAGCCGAGGGCATTTTGCATATCGACCTGTGCGCGGAGAGGGCTTGGCAATGGGCGGGGCCCCCTGGGGTATGCCGTGACTCTCTGCTGTGAAGATCCACACCAGACACCAACGATCAGATGATCCATTGATTAAAAGTGAGTTGCATTTTTCTTTGCTTATGGTTGAACATATTAGGAAGATTTTAATAATCCATGACCATCATTCCTATCAATTTGTGTCATAAAGAAAACAAAAACAACAGTGCACTGGTAAGTTGAAAACTTCAAGTACTCTGCAACTTTAGAAGAGAGATAAACTGTTGAGCAACACAATTTTGGGAGCTCTCAGTTGGAGTATTGAGGAAGGAAAGTGGAAACAAGTGGCTATAATCAACTTAGCACCACCAATCTATTTCATCAAGCCCTTCATCTTTCCAATACTAGTGAGAGAGCTTTCAAGATTTGAATTTTGAAAGCATGTTTTCTTGTATTTAGTTTAGAGCTGGTCGCTACGCATCCGGATATCCGAGCGGATGCGGATATCCGGCTGCTTTTTCAGGCCAAATGGCCATCCGCATCCGCATCCGCACCCGCTAGCGGGTATCCGTTGGCCGCAGCGGGTATCCGAGCGGGTATCCACGGATACCCGCCCTTTAAAGGGCCGGCAAGGCGGCTGGAAGGAAATCCTTCCAGCCGTTGAGGTACATGTACCTCGTCGGCTGGAAGGGTTTCCTTCCAGCCGTTGAGGTACATGTACCTCGTCGGCTGGAAGGGTTTCCTTCCAGCTGGCGAGGTACAGCTGTTCCCAAAAACCTTGCGGTTTTGGGAGCGCTGTATTCCAGAAGAAAATTTTTAGTGCCACCAACTTTTTGCGCCTCATGCCCTGTACAGATGACAGTACAGGTTGTGAATTGGCTGCTGAGGCCCTTGTGTGGGTCCGGATGCCTGCCATCTGCCAGGCAGGGGAGGGCAAACGTCTACGTGATGACCGGCTCCGGACCAAAAAATTGAGAGGATCACAATGATCCAACTCCCATACCCTCAACTCAAAAAGTGTGGGAGTTGGGTACTCTTGCCTGAAGTACTGTGGCCATACAGGGCCACGTACAGGAGAGAGTGGCGCTAAAAAGAGAGGCACAAAAAAAATTCTTCTGAAATACAGCGCTCCCGAAACCGCAAGGTTTTTGGGAACAGCTGTACATGCTCGACGGCTGGAAGGATTTAGGTACATGTACCTCGTTGGCTGGAAGGATTTCCTTCCAGCCGGCCATCTGCCCTTCCGGCCTCGGGTATCCGTTGAGATACCCAGGTATCCGCTGGAAAATCAGCGGAAAGGGCACATCCGCACCCGAACCCGCATCCGCTGGCGGGTATCCGCCAGCGGATAACGGATATCCGCAACGGATATCCAGAGACCAGCTCTAATTTAGTTCCAAATCCAAATCCTCTTCCTCACAAAATCTTTGGCTGAGACTTGCTTAACATTTTTAGTGGACAGGAACGTGAAGTTTGAAAATCTCCCAGAGAATCTATGGGTGGAATCAGGGGAGCTAATGCATAATTATTGGAATATCAAAACCCAGAGGCATATCTAAATCTACATGCTTGGAATGTTATGCAGCTCAACCATTGAACAAAAAAATCTGCAAAAAACTATGAAATGTGCAAACCATTGAGGAATCAAATCCTACTTTGCCTTTTGTTTCAAGTGGTCCATGTGGATGAAAATGATTTCTATTATTTTGAAATTTGGAAGGATGGAAAAGGATCTTATAAGACCATTGTCCAAAACTTATAAAAACAGAATCTACTCATGGTAGCACTGGACCAGCTATGTTAACAGTAGCATTAGTATGGTGTAGCATAGTGGAATTCTGTTAATATTTTGTGTAGCACAACATAATTCTAGCAGCTTTAAATAGCATAAATACAAGATGTTGAGCAAGTTTTAGGAGTAGAAACTGTGAACACAATCAATAGAAAAATGTGTAGCAAGTTTGGTTGATGAATAACAAACAAGTGGCATCAAGGTGAAAGAACAGGAGTAGGGAAAGCACAAAAGAGTGAAGTTCCAACATACTCATAAAATTGGCAAAAGCCAGGATAATGAAGGTTGCATCACTTTGTTTATCTCACATGATTAATCTGTTCATGCATTTTCACAATTGAAATTTGTAAATTTTTAAAGCACATTTTAAGATGTTTGTGAACAACTTTCTCAAAAATGAAAAGGTTGACCTGATGGTTTGGAAACCCCAACTTGTGTCCAGATCTTCAAAATTCTAAAATCTTGCTGAGAAAGGCCTTAAAATTAGCTTTAAAATTTTATAAATTCCAAGCATGAACCCTCCTTCTCCTGGAAAGAAAGCAAAAAAACCCTATTTTGGCTTATCACCTCCAATTCACCTCAATGCTCATCCACTTTTTTCAATTAGCTGTATGTGCCAAGAAAGATTTCAATGGAAGTCTTGAAAAGATAAGGAAGAGAATAAATGAAAGTGGATCACTGGGTATGTACACAAAGGGGATGAGGTTCTGATGATGAAGATTGGTCCTGTGTGGTACAAAAGCTGAACTTTTCAGACTCATGATGGAGTGGCAGAAATCCAAAATCCTCCAAAATCTGAAAACTGCTGTAAATTTGATGCCATGAATTCCGCTGTGGTCTCGCTGTCACTCACTCAAGATTCACGCAAGACCGACCACACCAAACGCTAAAATGGCTGAAGACACAGATACACCAGGAACCCAAGACCTTCTAGACAAAGCAGGTATGTATTTGTTGATGTATCATCCAGACTTCCATCCAATCCAACAATCCGAATGTTTATTTCTTTGAACAAGTGAGCTGATTGACAAAATTACTCTGCATAGATTCGGTCATCCATGGCTTCAGGCGTCTGTCCGAATATGGTGAATGTGGGCCGGCTAGTTATTCAACAGATGTCTCTATCAAGCATCCGCTACGCTCGAAGGAAGATCTCTTCACTGAGCTACACTCAAGCCTGCTACCTCTACTCAAACAGCACATCGGCAGTCTTTCACAAGCCCTGAAGAGCCCAGACAAGTTGCAGCAAGACCCGCTACCAACCCTCGAGCTCATCCTAGAAATCCAACCGAAACTCGCGCAGAATTTGGATCAAATCAGTCACGCAGTTAACCACATCATTCCTGTGGGAGGACCTGAACCCAACCCAGCGACTGACCAAGACTTGAAAGAATTTAAGGCTTATAGACTTCGCGGCTTGGCTAATTCTATGCAAGAACGATTGAAGCAATCGATCGGCTCCCTTTTTCATGATTCCCGTTTGATGATACAAGGGCTCCAGCTTCCGAGAGAACGAAGCCCAGCTTCTATAGGATATCCATCCTATGAGCTCAACTGCTCGATCGATCGAGCCATCAGTTGGTCAAAAGCATCCGAATTAAATCTCCTCAGCGGTCATTGGCAAGAAGCCCTAGGCCAGATGAATGAAGCCTTGGGCGACCTACTCTTCGTCGTCAATCCAGATAATCAAGAGATCAGTCGGCCAGTCGCTCAGCTCGCTCAAGCCTTCATCCCACTCCTCAGGCTAATCAATCTGTTCTTCAAAAAATTTTTGAAGCTGGCCTTGACCAAAGAACGTGTACAACTGTTTACAGGAATGTCGACTGAGAAACTCGTCTTGTTTGAAAACCTGGCTGAAGATATCGCTGAAGTGATCTTTGGTTTGGTGTGTCGGTTGGAAGAAAACGATACAGAAGATCCTTTAACTACTAGTCACTATTTAATTCGAGAAGTTAAAAGCCTCTATCCTCTTTTTCAATCGGTTCTACTTCTCCTCAATCTCTACATCGTACCTCTTTTCCCAGATAGCAGTCCTTCCTCTTCTCCAGTTTACTTCAAATCTTGGCTCGTCATTTGGTATACTTTGTTCTTTCAAGCTACAAACAATACCATCAAAGCTTCCCAGCTCTTTGAGCAAAACCATGTTTAAATTTACTTATTATTGTCTTATTTTTTTATCTTTGCCCCTTCAGTTTTTGATCAATTGGTTCATTGTCATGCTTTTCAATGTTCCTTATCGATTCTATACACTTGTTTTATGAATTTCAAGGATTATCCATCATGCATTTTACTTTTAGAAGGACATTAATTTGGTTTAAGTTTAGATGCATGTTGTATTTTGATGAGAATATTTATCTTTTGAATCACACAAGACATTTGGTGTGTCAGTTTTGGGTCACTTCTTTGGTGAAAATTGAAGTCTGACAATGTTCAATTACATGAAGCATTCAAGCACTATGGTGCAACTAAGGCCCATTTGAACACTGCCTAAACGGAACCCATATAAATGCTAAGGTTTGGTGCTAAATTGCACAATCTATACATGTCAACACAAGTATACATTACACAATTCTTCCCTAAACCTAAATATTCATGAGATACAGCAAGATTGTTCAAATGGGGCCTAAAATATCTCATAGAGGGGAATAAGGAGGTGGCACCAGGAAAAATTAATGCTCAATAGATGTCAGGTGAAATCAAGTAACTTTGATCATTGCTCCTCTGTAGCTCCAGATCTGTTGTAACCCAGCATGTCTTTGTGTTCTACAAGGGGATGTATATTTAATGGGCAGCACACTGAACTTGGAGAATCTTTACTGGTGCGGCCAGCTTTGCACTTGCTGCTAAAAATTTGAAATTTGCTGAACTGAGTTAGCATGGCTGTTTCAACATCACTGGGCCTGTGGCTAAACTGTTGAGCTTGTCAAGTTATGGCCAACTGCCTAGAAGAATTTGAAGCAAAAAGCAAAGAAGAATTAATATTCCTAATGGTGAGGCTGAAGTCAAAAACCACCCAAACAAAGAAAGAAGATGGTCCCAAGGCTTCAAACAGCTTCTGAACAATTGTTTCATCAAAAATTCACTTTACTACAAACATGGTGATTTTGAGAAACAATTTCAACTCAGAAAGGAGTTCTTCCTATAAATTGCCCACAATGTGGAGTCAGCCTGTCTTTACTTTGTTTCTGTCTAGGAAAATGTACGGGAAAGCTTGGCTTTCCCACATTTCAAAAGGTTACCTCTACACTTTGAAAGTTGCCTATGGATTTGCAATGGATGCAACCAATGAATGCTGTTGAATTAGTAGGGCAACTGCATGCAAGGCTTAGATAGCCGTCACAAATGCAATCATACCCACCTAAAGGATCAATTGAGACCACATTTCTTATTGAATGTGATTCATTTTTCTCCTCTTCCCTATTGTTCCAGATGAATTATATGCATGTGTTTCACATCCTTTCCTGCAGCTCAGTCCCTGCTGAAATATCACTCCACTGACCTCATGACATCCAATGGAAAGCATCAACAATCCATCTTCTCCCTCTCAATTTCACCATCTCACAACACAATCACCTTCCAAAAAAACATCAATATGCAACCTCAAGATTGTCTCTCAGAGCTCAATTCCTGAACCTCAATTCAGTAAGAAGAACAACTCTCAAGTTGGATTGTTTTTCTTCTTTTATTTTGTTTGCTGATGATTTCTTCTTTATTTTCTATCTGCTTCCTGTTCCTGTCCTGAAAAATATAAAAATCAGTGGTCTGTATTTCAATCTTAAAAATTTATCTGGGTATGTCTTATAATTTTTTGTTTCATTGTTATCTCCCCCCTTTTTTTTTTGAATTCTATCTTTCTTTCAGTTCTAGTCTTTTGGTCTTTAGCAATCTTACAATTTTATTTAATCAGTCCCCAGTTGTAATACAAGATCTAGATCTAGATAGATATCAAAACACCCGATTTTTCTGCATCCAAGCCCTGTGGTCACTCATACATCCACCTGTAGTGAGAATGCTGTTCCACTTCACAAGCTAGCAGACTATGTTCATATTTTTATCCATGTTGTCTTTTGAGTTATTGGGGCCTTTTCCTCCTTGTCTTGTCTCTCTCTGCCCATCAGGGGCCTTTGTTTCATCAATTTACCCTAGAAGACACACCCAAAAACAATTTCATGTATTTATCCAGACTATGCAGACTCACACTTTTTTCCTCTATAAGTGATCCCAATTCAATATGCCACCCCCCCCCCCCTCAAAATTTTCAAGACAAAAAACAATATTGAGGTCAAGATCTCCCATATTTTATGAACCCATGGAAGACCACAAACAGAGGCAACAATTAATTTATCCTAAAAGATGAAACATTTAAACACTACCAATAATGATTCCTGAAATGATCCTTGAAATCAAGAATTTCATCAGTCTGATATTGCAAACACATGTTTTGGAGTTACACCAGACTAAACCTGATATGTATCCCTTGTACCATGATGCAATGCACCTTGCACTCCAACACTGCTAGACTTTGAAACTTTTGAGGAGTCATTCAAGGCTGGTGATATCACTAAATTTCACAATGTATTTGTCAAAACAGAACAAACATCTAATCTTGCACAGAAGTGTTACACTAAAAGCTATCAGGAACAACGAGTTTTGAAAAATGCAAGATGTGGTGAAGGTGTCCATGAAAAAATACATAAAAAAAACGAAAGGAGTAAAAAAAAGAAAGAAGCTTAATCTAGATCTTGAGACAATAAGTTGGCAGTTTTGATAGCATTATTTGTAGCTTGAAAGAAGAGAGTATACCAAGTGACTAGCCAAGGTTTGAAGGAAATTTGAGAAGGAGAAAGGTCGGAATCAGGGAAAAGAGGGATAATGTAAAGGTTTGAAAGAAGTAACAGGGATTGAAATAGAGGAGAGAGGCTTTTGACTCGATGCATGAAATCCAGGCTGATCTGTGCTTGATCAACCACTTCATCTTCTTCCTCTTGCAACCCACATACCAAACCAAGGATCGCTTCGGCGATATCTTGAGCGAATTTTTCGAACGAGAGGAGTTGCTCGGTCGACATATCTGTATATGATTTTACGAGCTCTTCCTTGGCTAAGCCCAGGTCGAAGAATTTATTAAAGAACAGTCTGATGAGCTTGAGGAGTGGGAGGGAAGATTGAGCAAGCTGAGGGAGCGGTCCTCTGATATGTCTGTTAGTTGGATTGGCAACGACCAAGAGGTCCTCGACTGCATCTTCAATATCGCCTAGTGCTCGCAACCACCAATTTTGGAGAAGAAGAAATTCAGATGCTTCTATCCATCGGACGGCTCTATCAATCGGGTCGCTGATCCCAAATAATAGATATCCGATGGGAGTCGAGCGTTGTTGAGTTGGAAGTTTGATTGCTTCAATAATCCGACAAGAAGCGAGAAAAAAGTGCCGAATTTCTGCCCTCAAGTGTACTCGGATGGAGGTATCCAAGCGGCGAAGTCTGTAATGCTTCAATTCTTTCATGTGTTGATCGATCGTTGGGCTTGATTCAGGTCCTTCGGGGGGAACGAGGTGGTCAATAGCGCGAATGATTCGATACAAGGTCTGCGCAAGTTTCGGTTGTAACTCTAGGATGAGCTGGAGCGTTGGACCGAGGTCTTGACGCAACTGGTCTGGGTTGTCCAGGGCTTGTGAAAGACTGGTGATTTGCTGTTTGAGCAGAGGTAGCAGGCTTGAACCCAGTTCGGCTAGGATATCCTCCTTCGAGCGCAGCGGGGTGATCCAAAGAGATATCCGTTGTATTGCCAGCCGACCCAGACAGGTCGTACTCGGCAATAAGACGCCTGAAGCCTTGGATGACCAAATCTAGAGGGATTTTTTTTTTGTCGAGTCAGTAATCCATGTTCTTGTTTTCTTTTTGAAAAATTTGGACTGAAGATTTGAGATAGAAGTCTGAATCAAAACTACCTATCTACATACCTGCTTGATGTGGAAGCTGCTGGCTTTGAAGTGTAGCTGTTGCTGTGGGTTTTTCTGTCAGTTGACTCATCATATGTAGCTCTTGATCCAGCTCTTTGGTGTGGTAGGTTGTGCCGATCGAGCCAGCTCATGAGACGGAGTTCGCTCATGAGGCATGCGTCCGCAGCCGGTCCGCGCGGGCGCAGGCCGGAAAGTTTTCTTGTCAAAGATAACAACAACAGACACCTAAAGATAAACAAAATTATTACATTGATTTGCTCTTAGAATGCGCGTGATGGGAAATTAATTCTACCAACTCCTACAAAAAACAAGCTGAAAGGGAATTGATAAGGAACAATAGATTTTGGAAAATGTCACAGATGGTCAAGTTTTCCATGAGCAGAATCAATAAAAATAACTGGGAGGAGCATGACAAACAAAACAGGTTAAGTAGCACTTGATTAATCGAGGTTTGGAGCAAACGAGTTGGCAGCATTGATAGCATTATTTGTAGCTTTAAAGAATAGAGTATACCAAGTGACTAACCAAGCTTTGAAGGGAATCTGAGCAGAAGAAAGCTTGTTATTCGGGACGAGAGGTATGATGTAGAGGTTTAAAAGAAGTAAGACAGATTGAAAGAGAGGGGAGAGGCTTTTGAGTTGATGGATGAGTTCCTGACTGATTTGATGGATGAGTTCCTGACTGATTTGTGCTCGATCTTCCACTTCAGGTTCTATCAGCCTACCCACCGAAGCCGAGATCGATCTAGCGATCGCTTGAGCGGATCTTTCGAACAACAAGAGTTGAGCAGTCGACATCTCCGTATACGATTGTACATCTGCTTTGATGGTTAAGCCCAATCGTAATAATTTATTGAAGAACAGTTTAGTTAGCTTGAGCAGTGGGATGAAGGATTTAGCGAGCTGAGCAATCGGTCGACTGATCGGTCTGTAGTTGAGATGGACAATAAACAAAAGGTCTTCCAATCCAGCGTTGGTTTGGAGTAGTGCTCCTTCCCAACATCCATTGAGAAGATCCAATTCGGATACTTTGGACCATTCGAGGGCTGAATCGATCGAGTTGTCGAGCTCATAAGAATCGTATCCTATGGATGTTTCGCGTTCGTCTCTTGCAAGTTCGATTTCTTCAATCACCAGACGAGCGCTGTGAAGAAAATCTTCGATTTGCATTTGCAAATCTCCTCGGATACAGGTAGCCAAGTCGCGAAGCCTATAAGGCTTGAATTCATTCAAGTTTTGATCGATTGCTGGGTCTGGTTGAGGTCCTTCTAGGGGCATGATGTGGTTCATGGTACAAATGATTTGATCCCAATTCTGGGCAAGTTTCGGTTGAATCTCGAGGATGAGCTCGAGGGTTGGCCCTGGGTCTTGTCGTAACATGTCTGGGTCTTCCAGGGCTTGTGTAAGACTGGCGACTTGCTGTTTGAGTAAGGGTAGCAGGCTTGATCCCAATTCGGTTAAGAGTTCCTTTTTCGAGCATAGTGGGTGAATGATAGAGCGATCTCTTGGAGAGCTAGTCGGCCTAGATTCGACATCCTCGAGCAAACGCCTAAAACCCTGGATGACCAGATCTAGAGATCTTCTTGTCGAGTTAGCTCATATTTTTCTTGAAGAACTTGGAGGACTCGTGAATTGGACAAGAAGCTGATGTACATACATGACTACTTACCGGCTTGATGTCGAAGTTGCTGGCTTCCAAGTGTAGTTTCGGGTGTTTCTATCAGTTCACTCATAATTAGGGCTCTTGTCTTTTGATGAGCTGCTTGTGGTGGTTCTCTGGTGTCGGTCGAAATCCGACTCGTGCGCCCGCGGCCGTCTCCCGCGGCCGCAGCAGGCCCCCCCTTTGGCCATCAAGCAGTCTTTTTGCGCAGGAGACTTCATCAGAAATTTCTCCAAGGCTCTTGCTGATGAGGATGACGATCGAAGAACTCAAAGAACTAATCAACAAGAACTACAACAACAACAACAACAAAAACAAAAACAAGAAACTCAGTCAAGCAACAAACAACAAACAAACAGAGCAGGAAGAACTGATACGAAGGACTAACGAACTAATCGAATCGACTATCAACACCATCAAACCACCCACCAAGACTATCATCAATCAAACTATCTCAGAAGAATTCATCATCAGCAAGAATCAGAAACAACTGAAATCAACCATCAAATCAATCCAATCTACCATCTCACTAGAAATCCTAATCAGTCTCAATAACCAAATCAGAGAAAAATATCAACTAGAACAACAGCAACAACAACAACATCAACCGATTCTAGGCTCAAATGACCTCAGAGCTATCCAACACCTAGCTCAGACCATCTCAAACTACTCGATCTACACTCAACCCAGTCCCATAGAAGCCGGTTTCCCATCCTTCACTTTCGAAGAAATCATTCAATCACTCACTCAAATCATCCTACCCTCTGACCTCATCCAACTGATCAACGACAAGAAGGAGAACGGCAAACAAACCCAAGCACTCATCTCACTCCATCCGAGATTCGCACTCCATCAGGCACTCTTCTCAAGCCTCTTAACCCCACTCACTGCTGGACTCATCAAACTCAGATCGAACACTGAACACTCACAATGGGCAGACCATCATCTACACCAACTTCTAGACCTGTAAGCAAACTTCAAGTATATCTACAAACTAGTATACAAAATTCTAACGGAACCTTATTAGTGCCTCTCCCAAACTGGTCTTTGCATCGTTACTCTCACTTGCCACCACAGTCTCAGCTCTCCAAAAGAAGGGCACCACTGATGGGCCTCGGAAGTCACAAAACAAATTAGACGCTCAATCGGAGATCTCCCAAGTTCTTTCGCTCCGATTACTACGTCCGTCCGGTTTGAGAGGGCTCCTACAATCGGTTATCACCGAAGATTACAACGAAGACGATGAAGAAATTGAAGAAGTTGAAACTGGGAAGGCCACCAAGAGTCCAGTCACCTCAGCAACCTTGAAACGCTTCGAGTCCTTATACCACATCATCTCTCACCCACCTTCATCAGTCTCACCTACACTCTACTGGGACACGATCCTCAAAAACCTGATCAAGCTTGTCACGCCCCAATTTTTTGACCAACAACCTGCGACAGGAGGGGTCAAAGCACCTGACTCGATCCGTAGGGCGGCCTGCTATATCATCAGCCAGATCACCAGCCGAGAAGCAACAGTCTTCAAAGCCCATCTCTCACCCTTGCTTCATTCGGCCTTCCGCCCCTCACAGCCAACCTCATATCAATCATCGTCAGAAGAAGAAGACGAAGATCAAATAGTGGTTTCCTCACCACAGATCGACCACACCCTCCAACTCCTCAACCAACTCGTACTGAATTCCGAGCCTTCACCGATATTCGTCGACCGGCTTGTGGTCCCAATCCTTCCTCAGCTACTCTCGTTGATCCTGTTCCTGTTACGGACGCGCGCCGAGCCGACGGTTCGACGGGCAGCCGAGGAGCTAGTTCAACTCTGGATGAGGCTGCATCCGGCCCAGACAGTAGCGGGTTGGCTGGGGCGAGCCATCCGGGAGCTCGAGGCCGGCCGCGAACTCAGCCCCCGCTCGGCGGCGCAACCCCTCCCTGCTTCTTCTCGCGCCAATCAATGGGCCAGGGATCCCACCGGCATGCCCTGCATCAAAACCCGTCCCGCTTCCCAACCCGACACTCTCGACTTCCCTATCGAGCCCGAGACACTCATCGTCTGGTTCCAGAGCCTCAAAACCCATCAGTTCCTCGGTCACATCCTGACGGCTTGGCTGGACGAGGTCGTCCTCTTGCGTGGCCGGGCCGGCTTCGTCGAAGCCAAGATGTAAGCTCCATCCATCCACATCTCATCTTTTCAAAGACAAAACAAAAACCGTTCTGGGGTTGATTTCAAACGATCGGATGATTTTTATAGGACCTTGTTTCGCATCCAATCCTCCCTCAAAATCCTCGACGCCTTCGAGATCCCTCAGATCGTCGCCGAGCCGCGACACTTCTTCCCCTTCATCCTCCACGCCCTCCGTCTTCATCCTTCGTCCAACACCCCTTTCCCCTCAAAGCCTCCAAAGCAAAAGAAGAAGAAGAAGAAGGACCAACAGGCTGCGCAAGATGGCCCGTTGACGTTGGACTCTTTGAAGTTTTTGAATCTTGACCGCTCTCCTGTTGCCAATCAAGGGCTTCATCAAGATGTATCAGAGGAGGAAAGCGAAGCCGACGAGGAAGATGATGTGGATTTGGACCATGGTATCATGGTTGCTGGCCTTTCACTCTTACTAGCCCTCCTTGAAGGTCTGTCGCCCTTCCTTTTCCACACATACAAAAAGTCCCTCTTAAATTGTTTTTGTGATGTTGAAACAGGACATCCGGATATGGAAGAAGAAAACACGCCGGGATTGAGAGAGATCTCGGGCTTACTGGACGGGCTACTGTTGAATCAAGCGGTCTCTTCGGAGGTGTATGACTTGGGGATCAAGAGTCGGCTACTGCTTTCGGTCCGTAAAGCGATCTCAGAAGTTGATCGGGGCCAGCAGCAGGAAGAAGGGAGAGTTAAGAGCTCAGAGGACCGGGCTTTTATGGAGGAGAAGGCAGGGTTGGAGGGCCAGTATCGGGAGGGTCTAGGGCTACTGAACGACGAATGTTTGCCGCTCCGATCGCAGGGGATTGTCCAATTGAAGACGGTCCTGCTGACGCCGACGAGTGATAGACGAATCCGGGCGATGGTGGAGGGCTGGGCACCGGGCGTGATCGAGCTGCTGCTCCGGGCGGTCGAGGATGCAGATAGCTTCGTGTATCTCAGCGCCATCAACGCTCTCAGCGCACTCGCACACCGCTTCCATGCACTCGTCGGCCCCGCTCTTGCCGAAGCTTTTGCACGGCCTATCCTTCATCCTTCCCAGGAATCTTCCCAAACCACTGCCCTCCGCGACTTTGACCGTTCTGTCAGGGTCGCTGAGGCCATGGTCCAAGTCATCCAGCGTGCTGGGACTGCCTTACCCCTATACAGTTAGGCCCCTCCTTTATTTACTCTACACAGAGAGAGATCTTGGATTCTAACGATGGCTTTTTTTTATATAACAGTCGACAAACTCCTCCCATCCCTGTTGCTGGTCTTGAACCATACCCATTCCATAGCCGATCCACTCAAGCCCTCGGCGCTGGCCACTCTCGCTCTATGTGTTGAACACGCCCCTGCGGCGCTTGCGCCTTCACTCTCAGGATTGGTTCAAGCCTGCGTGGGCATTTTGAGCTCTGCTGGGATGGCGCGGAAGCCGGATGAGGGTTCCGGTCAGTCTTCTGATGGAGAAACATTTTCTGACGACGAGTCCGGCGAAGAACTAGGAGAAGAGGAATCGGTCAACCACTCCTCCTCCACTCCGAATCACCCAGAGTCTTCCCCCATAACCTCCCCGATCCATGCGGCCCATCACCGCGCATCACTCCATCGAGCGGCCCTCCTATTCGTCCAAAGCCTACTCTCCCACACCCTTTCCCTCTGTCGCTCCGTCTCTTCTTCTTCTTCTTCCGGGGCGACTGTGGATCGGACGGTGGTTCGGACGGTTCGGTCGGCGATTGGCGATCACTTCGATGACCTCGAAAGAGTCTTGAAGTATATCCTTCTCGCTCGCAATCATCATCGTCCCGCTCGTCTCCCCAAATCCGGGAACTATCTTCCTCCAAATCAGCCGTCTGCCGATAAAGGACTTGTCGCGGCTTCGTTGATCCAAAACACATTAGATTCTCTTGCTGTTCTTAGGGCCGTTCTAACCTACTATTAAGTTTTTTTTTGTCAAATACATGCATGTTGGGCTTTTTTTCTCAAAAGAGTAGATATGTAAAATGGTGGCATATGTGATAATACCTTGACTTACGGCCAAAGTATAGGTTGGTTTTTGTGTATATTGCACAAAACTGTCCACACTTTTCAGAAACCACATCAAGTCTATCAAGAAATCTCAACCAGTTTGTTCCCCCAAGGAAAGCCAGTTGTTGATTGGCAAGAAGTGAGGAAAGAAGAAACTGTCCATATAAGGCTTGACTGTTTAATACAGTATGCAGATGATTTCCCCCCCCCCGTGGGAGAATTCTGCAAAGCTGCATGGCCAAAAACCAAATTTGTTGAATCTCCTTGCAAATAAAAGCAGATTGGTCAGACAGGTTTTTTTATTGGGGCTCAGATACATAGTGATACATGGCAGATACATGGCAGATACTGTATCTGTTTCAATGTTGCTTCCATTCACAATGTCTAGTGGTTTTTTTTTTTTGGAATTCATGCCTCATTTAGAGATGACACTTGGCACCTGCTGATGAAAGTGAGGCAGGTTCCAAGTGAAGAAAACTTGACTACACACAATTGACTGCTCAAGATCATGGATCCATATCCTCTCATTTTCACTTTCCCTCAGATATTTTGAAGACTTTTCTCCTTGTTTTCAATACACATCTCATATCAATTTGAAATACCTTCCCCTTTCCCAGAAATTTTTGTCTATATCCATTGTACTATGTTGCCCTCAAAATGTGCAATCTAATTCAAACAACTATGAATAGTGAGATACTACTAGAGATACAGTGGTGGTAGACTTATTGTGGTACACACTCTCCTACAATAAAACAGGCTTTGAGCAGAATGTTTGAATGTAATTTTAACACTACAAGTATGTACTATGCATCAAAAGATTCTGTAGTATGTAAAAAAAGTTACCCCTAAAAGTTTAAAATATCCATCTGACCTGACCTACATAGTTTCTTGTTCTTTGCTCAATGTAGCATCTTTTGATGGGTAGTACAAACTTGTGGTGTCAAAGAACTTTGAGTAGGGCTAAGGTCAACAGTAAAAGAGGAGAGAGAGAATGATTGAAAATGGTCAACTAAGGCTGTGTAAGATCACACTCTTATGATATAACAGATGTATGCACCAATTATCTAGACTGGTCAGAATCCAACATTATGCACCTCATGATTTGTGGGTACTGTTGTGTAACTTAAATCTATTCCAAAAAATAGCTAAATTCTTTTTGACTTTCAGATTTATTCGCTGTGAGAAAAACATCTCAAGAAACTGTAACCAGTGAACATGCATATGCTCTGTTTAAACTTTGGTTGCTTCTCGAATCTCACTGAAAGTTTATTTCAACACAACTACAATCCAACGTACCATCACTAAAGTGAACATTGTGCAGATTCTGTTTAGAAATTAGTCATAGTTTGAGTATTCTGTATATCAACTGGTGTTGCTTCAATGAGATTTTTTGTGGTGTTTGGATGTCAATCTCAGTGAAACATTCTCTTCATTCCTACTTACTTGTTACATGTTTGAATGAATTGCAAAAACCTTGATTTTGGTTTCAAAACACCAAATCACATGTGTGGAAATGAATCAGAGTTTTGAAATTATTCCTGCTTTGAGTATTCTGTATATTCAAGCTGAGTGAAACATTCTCTTCAGTCTTGCTTAATTGTTACAAGTTTAAATGAATCTCAGGAACCTTGATTATAGATTCAAAACACCAAATCATATGAAAACCTTCTGAAACATGCACATACAGTCAAATCAAGTGCTTGATCCAACAAGTCACAGTAAAGAATCTGTTTGACAAGAAATCACACAATAGGTACATGAAATTAACATAAAAAGTCTCCCCAACCATTGTTCTATCCCCCAGGAAATCACATTCATTCTTCCCACAACTATTATCTACTCTTGATATCTACAGCCAACAGGCAAGGTAAGTCCCAACCCAATTGATTTTTGTGCTCCACTTTTTATGTTTGAATTCAGATAGCAAGTGGAGCTGATAAATTCCCTCCTCCACAAAAGATAGTCATGAAAAACTGAATGTGTCTGTGTCCCTTCTCCCCACAGCTACAAATTAAACTGCTACATACCTCAAAAGAAGACAAAAAACCTCATCCTCCCTCCAAAACCAGCCTCAGTAAATCTTCCTTTAGGAATCACAAAAGATGCATTTGATTTCCTCATTCTTGCTCATTGGAACCCTGATCACTACCACTTACATCAATGCTATCCTGCTTAAAACCAACTACAATGGTCATGAGTACTGGATCCTCAGCTCTCAACATAAATTCACAAATGATGAGATGGAGAAAGTGCCCTTTCACTTTTCTTATCCTCTCAGACAAGGGCCTGGCTCTCAAATAGATGCAAGAATCATTCAAAATTCTTCAGACAGACCAATTTGGGTTGGAAGTGGTTTACTTCAATTGGATGATTCTATTGAACCACTTGGAGGGAAGAATTGGCGGGAATTCTACTTCAGTCTTGGAACCAATGCACAAAATTTTGAAGAGGTTGGAGCCCAGAACAAAAAATATAGCCTTGGATACTTTGTGGTAATCAGTTTGGATAAAAAAGTTGACACAGCATTGTGGAAGTCGGTCATGAAGAACAGTATCAAGGACTTGGAAGCTGCTGTTGCAGAGGAGGTCAAGATCAAGCCAGCAAACATTTATTAGTACATTGAGTGACTAGTCTGCTCAAAAGTGGCGAAGGGTAAGTTGACCTGATCATCTTTGAGTTTCCTTTACTGATTAACATTGCTGTAGCACACTCACATGAATTCAAAATTGGTGATCAGCTTGGTCTGACTCATCATGCTATCCTCTTTTTCTCACAGCCTAATTGGTCCCTTTTTCTTAAATCATAGATTTTCATAAAATGAGACTCATGAGAAACTTGACCACTCATAGACAGCTGCTCAAAATCATGACTTTGTTTCCTTCTACTCTTTTTGAATGTTTAAAATTGTCTTCCTCGTTTTACATATGCGGCTCCTAGCCTTTTGTGCACTTTTTTTTTCCTTCGCAATTATGGTACTATTATCACTGATTGCTGCTTGACCGGATGTAACCCACGTTGACTTATGGGGAAAACATCACCCAACAATCAATTTCTTCAGTACCAAGTGTGATTGAGACCTTAGAGCATCGGAAACAAAAGCAGTTGAAATATCTGCACAACATCAGATCGAAATTTAGATAGGATTTACCTATAGAAGTTCAAAAGAGAAAAAACTTCTCTGCTACAGTCAAGTTCCAGAAGTTCACAAGGATATAGGGTGCCGACTGCGATATAGTATCTCCCCAAGAGATACGCCCTATCGTGACACCGAGATGGACTTGTCAATGAGCTTGGGGGAGGAATGTTTTTCTAAACCATGGGCCCTCGTCCGATTGTGTTTCCAATCTTCTGGGCAAGCTGTTGATCGATACCATGAAATGGGAGGACAACAGTCTCCAAACTGTGAGTTGAACCTTGTAACCCAAGACATTCGTGTGTATCAACAGACGAGAGGTTTATTACATGCTACCAAATATGGAGGGGCGCTGTGAAGAGTGAGATAGTGGATGGGGGCGGCCAATCAAATTAGGAACTATGAACGGTGGACAAACCACATGTCAGAATGCTTGCTCCAGGAGTCAGTATAGAATATGATCAAGGCTCTGTCCGCTACATAGTTGTTCCTCCCGCATTAGCAAAATAAGTCGTTTTACTGAGATTGTTTAAAAGTCCCACCCGGTCACTGGTCATTCTCTTTCATTGCAAATACCGATTCGTATTTCAGGTGCCCCGATGATGAGGGAGCGTTACAAGAACTTGCGAGCACTGGTTCTGATTCGGGTGTCTAACTGGGGGCTTGCGATCCTCGAATTGATCTCATAGAAGGGAGACAATTGGTGCTGTTCACCAAAGCATGGGAGGGGCAGTCACGTCCAAGATGGCGAGGAACATGTGGGGCAAGGTCTTGGATCAGTACAGATGCCCTTAGTTCTAGGCAGATCGGGAGACAAGGGAACTGGCTAGACGCTACTCAACTCGCACGAACGACTCCCAGGCCTCGAGGAAAAACATCTTGATCCCGTCATCGTTGTTTTTAATCTCATGTAGCAAGACGAACCGCATCCCTAGCCAAATATATATGTATACAAAACACGCACATCAGTGTCGAAGCCGTTTGATTCATCTGTGGGAGGACAAAAGATGGTCACAAATTCTGGATGAAGAGAAAGCGCGTACCACCGGGAGGAATCCAGGCTGAGACGGACCATTCATGAAAGCGATCGATTTGCTTCAAGTACCTTATGATCGAGAGGGACGAGCAGGAATGCAGTAAGGTCGCGGGAGGAAGAAAAACATTCATGAGATAACGAGGGGACGAAGTGAGGGGATGTTAAGATTGCGAAACTGACATCGATTTCTCCGCCCAGATGAGCGCGTCAATAGTGTCGAGTGCGGCATGACTGACGAGCTGGACAACGTGTCTGCCTCTTTCGGAGTCTTTGCGGGCATAGCTGATCGCCGACTGGTCTTCCTGACCGGGCCCTTCCTTCTGCTTCTCTACCTTCTCCTCCCCTCCGCCGACTCCCGTCACACTCGTCGTTAACGGGCCACTCAGCTCTTGCAATAGCGAGTACGACGGATGCGCTGATAGGGGCGCTGGTGGAACCGACGACGATGCAGATGTCTTGGAAGTCGTCAGATGCGCCTCATAGATCGGCTGTTTTTGTTAGCAGAAGAAACGGACTACTATCAGCTCGTTTTGTCGCTTTAACCTTGTTTCTGCTTGAGCACAAATACTCTTTCATCACTCAACATTATCCAAAACTCCAACGATCACCTGGCGGCCACCCCAAATAGACGCGCATCAATAGAAGGTACCCCCGAACATAGTCAGTTCGACATTCATTACATTTTAATGAGAAAATATAAAGAAGAAAATGAGAGAATCGAACTCAAAACAAAGTAATACGACATTCTGGTGTTGAGTCGGTCGACCACCATCAGCCAGCTGTTGGAGTTGCTGGTGGAAGGGTGACAGCCAGTGACAACCTGTGACAGGTATGTCTTCCGACCCCTACACCCCGGGGGTCGGGACTGATGTCCACCAGCCTCCATCTTGATGCAGCCATTTATTTCCCAAGTACAAAAACCAAATACTTCCCAAAATCATTCCTTGATATATGATTGTAATGAAATTGCACCTGGATGTTTGAATTCTCAACATTCTTCCGGATGAACTGAGTGGATACAGCTGTTGTGTAAATGATTGCGCTGATTTCTGAACTTTTTTTTTTTTTCTCGCGCGCAACTTTTTTTTTTTCCCCGATCCTCGAAGCCCGGCCCCGCCTGTGCAAAGTACCGCGGAGCACACACCGGGTGAGACCACCCGATTTCACCCGATCAGCCGAAGTTATACATTTTTTTTTTCGGGCTGAGTCGGTCATGATAATTGGTGGGTAATCTCCTGCAAATTTACCCGGCGGGCTCGGGGCTTCGAGGATCGGAGGAAAAAAAAATGTCGCGCGAGGAAAAAAAAAAAAAAAAAGTTCGGAAATCGGCGCAATCATTTACACAACAGCTGTATGTAAACCAATTTAGAAAGACATAAAGTGTACAACAGTGGTATTCTTCAGCCTACAAGATTGCTGAATTGGAGATCGGGACTCAACAAAAAAAAAAAACAAGAAAATAAAAGAACCACTAAACCCACAGGAAAACCAGAAGTAAAATTGAAATGGCTCAGAAAATCCAACAGCTCAGATGATGAGGACAACAATTGTCAGACACTGAGACACTAGTCCATGTGTCTACATGAGATTTTAACCCCTCCAGGTTACATAACAATTATTATTATATGTAATCTTTAAGTTAATAATTATGAAGTAGAGTTATTCCTTTTTACATGTATTATTTATGTTAATAATTATTCTGTAAATTAATAAAGATTAACCTCTTTATTAATTTACCTCTTCCATGAAAATTATAATCAAGTTGAAAAGGATAATTATCTCTTGGGTGTATCCAAGAGATGATTATCCTGTTTATCTCTCTTGTGTGAATATATATTCTGTTTATCTCTCTTATGTGTATTTTCTGAAATAAAGGATATTCATCACATGTACATTTAACATGCTCTGAATATCCTGACACTTTCCCCCAAGGAATAGTGCACCAATAAGGGGACTGCACCGGTCCCAGCAGCAGATTGACCCCTGCTCTGTAATATTTAAGAGGATGGCTCTCCCCCTGAGATTCATCCCCCAGACAATTATTACCATACAAACCCAAGTACCTTACTATAATACATATAAATAGTGAGTGGGGTTTTAAGTAGTTTATTGTTAGTTTAACTAGTGTACTTTCCTCTTATTATTATCACTAGTCTATATAAGTTAAGTCTTTAACTTTATAGACTAGTAACAACCCTTTTCTCTTGTATTCTCAAAAGCTCAGGCACTGTGAAGCTCATCCCACAGTTGTCCCTTATTCTTATAAGGAGCTAGCCCCTCCACTTTACAAGTGTTGAGTTGGGCTTATTTCCACTGGCCACTCTTTGGCTATAGTGTGACCCAATACCCCATCAACTCTTGGTCACATAAGAGACCAGAGCTGACAACAATGGTACCAAACTAACTGCAGACCTAGACAAACAACTTGAAGCAAGATAATGTGATCCATCAAAAGGTGAATGAAAAAAATTACAATAAAGCAGCAGTGGGCCGCTACACTACACTACACTACAGGCCCATGTAGCGTTAGCGTAGCGGCGCCAATTTTTTTTTTTGTGTAGTGTTAGCGCGCCGCTAACACTAGCCAATTTTTGGTGTAGTGTTAGCGCGCCGCTACGCTGCGTTATGCTACGCTACGGCGTTTTTAGCGGCAAAAAAACGCCTAAAAACTGCTAAAAATTGCTGTAACGCAGCGTAGCGGGCAGTTTTTTGCGCCATGTGCGCGTAGCATTAGCGCAGATGGGGGGAATTGCGCTAACGCTACACTAAATTTTAGCGCAAATTTTTCCCCCATGCACGTAGCATTAGCGCAGAAATTGAAAAAAGCGCTAACTCTACGCTAAATTGTAGCGATTTTTTGCTACACTACGCTACGCTAACCGTAGCGTTAGCGTAGCTGGCCCACCGTTGAATAAAGATAGTGAGGCCAAACCATCTCTGGGGTACCTAAATAATAAATAATGATGCTCTGTTGGCTTTGTTGGACTGAAATAACTGTGAGTATCTCCCAATCATGGAGTCTGTTGTTTATAGCTGATGTCATTCAGTAGCACAAATAGGACTCCCAGGTTCCAAAGCATCTACAACATCTGGTAAAGGACAAATTTGGCCCACAAGGCAATGGAAAATGGCTTCTGGTGTCTTGCAAGAGCACTAGGTTAAGACAATCAAGGATTCATGTATGGTGTTGCAAGCCCGTCTGGGCACACACCAAAGTTTGGTCAAAAAAAGGCCAAGTGCGCTGGGCCAATCCCAAAGCCCGATTGGCCGATCCCAAAGCGCGCGTGGCACCATCCCAACCCCCGCTTGGCACATGCTAAAGTTGGCGGGGGTCGGGACAAAGCCTCGCTTGACCGAAATCAAGCGAGGGTGCCACGCCCGCCAACATGCCGGCCCCCAAGAAGGCCAGCTGCTGAGTCAGGGCCCAGTGCCGAGCTGGGGCACCTGCTACCAATCGGCCCAGCGGGACTTGGGTATGTGCCAAGTTGCGCCCCCCGCAGATTCCGGATGATCAAGCCCTCTGGGCACAAATCAAACCCCCAGTGGCTATCGGCCAAGCGGGACTTGGGTTTGTGCCCAGACGCGCTTGCAAGACCATAGGTCTGGCAGGAGATGGTCACTGATTTAACAGATAACAGAGCAAGTTACATAAAATTGCAGGGTGGCAAACATGAAATTGTCATTATCTTTGATGGCCTAATGGTAGATGGCATCATGGCACCAAATCAAGTGTTCCTCCTGGGAAGTGGCTCATCAAGTTATTGAACGTTCAAATTCTTTTGAATACTTATACACTCCCAATGGTTTTCCTCTTTGTGGAATCCTGCAACAACTATCTGCCCTTAAGGCTTGGCTGTGAAGACTCCAAATCTGGTGAGGCTATTTACCTTATCCAGTGATTATGTTTCACATGGAGAAGTAGATGGGAGCAAGCCCATCCCTCCCCCCATTCTGGCAACTAAGTGGACTTTGGACATTGCTAAGGGATAGTGGAGTTACATACAAGAGGGTCTGACTGTCTATCACTGGACCATTGTGGATTCTAAAAAGTAATTAAAAATTCTTTCAGTTACAGCTTTCAAAAATTACATAAAATTCTGTTTTTTTTTGTTGAGTGCAATGAACCAAAAAGATGATAAATTGAGTGTGATGTCAGCCTGGGTTTTCTAGAAGGGGCACCAAATTTTTGGAGTGAAGATCTGTGCACTCAAAATAACTTGGGGTGAGCAGGATTTGAACCCCTAAAAAAACCTGGAAAGTAACATCTTGGAGTGCACACCCATGTACTCCAAAAAATATAAACTTTGGCCCATTTTGGTGTGCACTCCAATGATTCTTGGAGTAGGGGGTAGTGCACTCCAAAGATTCTTGGAGTACTCCTTTTTTGGTGTGTGTGTGTGTGTGTGTGTGTGTGTGTGTGTGTGTGTGTGTGTGTGTGTGTGTGTGTGTGTGTGTGTGTGTGTGTGTTTGGTGTGCAAAAAGACAGACAGATTTCAAAAGTCAAACTAATACAATTCTTGAGGTTTGCAGCTTGGTTGTTGTACTCTGAAGTCCATTCTTCACCTTTTCTTTTTTTTGAGCTAATTTTTTCCCTTTATTTTTGCCCATAGGAGTTGATCATGAAGGCACTATATACATATATTTTGAATGACAAAAAAAACAGCCCAAAACATCTATCAGCTATAAATAAAATCAAGTATGTTTTTTCAGCCATCCCAATGCCCATAAGGAGAAGAAGCAGACTACTGACCAATCATTGATGTCAATGAGATGGTGTTTTGCCCTTGTCTTCTGGTCTGGTCTGTTGCACGAGCAGGAGCCAAGGGTGATCAGGTTTCTCGCCTGGCAGATGTCCTGTGAAGAACAGCTCATGATGTCCTACAATATGTTTGCATTATTTGAAAACCAACAAGCCCCAACAAAAACATAAGTACAGTGGGTGGACCGTTATTTTTGGCTGCTTGTTTTGGATTCCAGAGCTTCAAAGCACAAACTTCAAGTCACAAGACTTGGTGGTGGATTGGTGCAGAATAGATCCCAAATAATGAATATGAAGAAATAAAAACAAAAAACAAAGTTTAAAAAATTTGTGAAAAATAAAGATATAAATGTTTTTTTTTCCAAAAGCTTTGTTATTGATTTTGGGGGAGTGGGAGTGCTGAGAGAAAGAAAGAGTGGAACATGGCAAGAATGATTATAAATGAAAAAAAAAATTGGAACCAAAAAAGGTTGAGCCAGGTTGGTTGTTCAGATTGGAGTCAAAACAGTAAATTCTAGTGCTTTTCCCCAACATGTGCTGGTGAATGTGCTACTCAACAGTTGTTTGAAACCACCTGGTGACCATTTTTTACAAAATTTTCATTTATAATCATTCTTCCCATGTTCCATTCTTTCTTTCTTCCAGCCCTCCCACTCCCCCAAAATCAATAACAAAGCTTTTGGAAAAAACCATTTTTATTTATTATTTTTCACAAATTTTGAAACTTTGTTTTTTGTTTTTATTTTTTCATATTCATTCTTTGGGACCTAATCTGCACCAATTCACCAAGTCTTGTGACTTGAAGTTTGTGCTTTGAAGCTGTAGAACCCAAAACAAGCAGCCAAAAATAACGGTGCACCCACTGTACATCTGATTTCAAGTTCTACAAAAGAAGAGAGATAGAGAAGAAAGTGATCAAAAGAAAACGGCCTCCAAGTCATGACTCATGACCAGTTGATGATGAAAACGTTTGAGTTCCTGTGCTATGATTGAAAGCCTTTCTGGCAAGACAGGCCGGCCCATCATACTACAGTGAACTGCACACAAACAACCACATATAAAACCTCTGGATTTATGTACTCCAGAAAGACCACCACCAGACATGAGAGCACTGCTTTCTTCTACTCACCACACATCCTTTTGGTTCTTGTTCTGAACAAAGCATTGCAAACAAAAATCATTTTTCTTTTTCTTCTTTTCTTTCTTGGAGGGCAGAAGCACCAATTGACATAAAACAACACAAGATCCAAAAAAAAGAAGGAAGCAATAATGAGATCTCCACTGGTTACATATCTGTTATACAGTCTAGAAGTACTGAGTCACCAAAAATCTCAATCAACCAATCATTCATTCCTTTTTTGAGTTGGTTTTATATGATGTTTTTATAACTTGCATGGATTTCATTTGATTCAACAAAACTGAATGACAAGATAAGATAAAGATAACAATAACAAAAACATAAACCCTAAGATCAAAAGAAGTTTCAAAAAAAACCTGAACCAGACTTAAATTTTTTTTTTGTAAATGTAAATGTAAATGTAGTTTCTTATTTTTTGTATTCATTCATTTATGATGATCGACAAAAGAAACCAAAGAAACCAACATAAATGAAGAAAGTGCAATATATATGATTGATTGATTGATGCAGTTAAATACATGTATAGTTTTTTTCTTTTTATGATTATGTATATATAAAACAAAGAGGAAAGAAAAAGCCCAAAATCGAACTGGCCTACATCCTCCTCCGCTTATATATATCAATCACCCTTCTCTGGTCATACCGATTTACATATAATAGTAAGATGTAAAAAACAAGCCCATTTTCTTTTTGCTAAGCAACGACATCAATAGTATCTTTTTTTTGGTGAAGCAGCTAAGTAACAACGTTAATAGTTTTTTTTTTTCGGGTTAAGCAGACTGGCACATCAGAACAATCTTTTTCTTTGGGTCGGCAAGGCAAAGACTGCTGGGAGTACGCGACCGATCAAAGAAAACAAAACAAAAAATAAAGTCAAACCTCCTTGACGTATTCTCAGCAATAAAAAAAAAAATGAAACTTACTCCACTACAATCACACACTACTCCGCTTCATCTTTGTCCGCGTTGGTTTTTTCAGCAGTTGTCGGTTCGGGAGTATCGGCACAATCCATCTGCTCGCCCTCATCCTCGGGCTCTTGGGCAGGAGCTTTTTCGGTGATTTTCGGTTCAGCATCTGCCGTGGCCATCTCGACATCTTGATCGGGTTTGGCTGCCGGCTCAGTGGCTTCATCCTCTTTGAGTGTCTCGTGATCGCCATTGACTACTTTGGGTTCATCGCTGGTAGCTTCGGTTTTACCGTTGATGCCTTCAGTTTCACCGTTGATGGCTTTGGGTTCGGCGTTGATGGCCTCGGATTCGCCGGTGACTGATTCGGGTTTGCCGTTGACTGATTCGGGTTTGCCGTTGACTGATTCAGATTTTCCGTTGACTGATTCGGTTTTACCGTTGACCAATTCGGATTTGCCATTGACTGCTTCGGGCTCAGCCTTTTTTGCCTCAGGTGCATCGTTGACAGCTTCGGTGTCGTCGTTGGCGGCTTCGGGCTTGCCGTTGTCAGCGACGGGCTCAGTGTCCATTGCCTCGGGCTCACCGTTGACAGCTTCGTGATCGCCATTGGCTTGAGGTTCAGCCTTTGGTTCGGCCGGTGGAGAGGCTTCTGGGGCTTCAGTTTGAGGCTCGGTGATTTCGGCTGCTTTGGATGGGGCAGCCTCGACAACTTTTTCAGTCTGATCGATTTCGGCAACCTTGACGGGCATTGGTTCATCTTCATCCATTTTCATACTGTCAGGATCGGATGGCTTCGTGGGTTCCTTGCCATTCATCACCACTTCCTCCATTTTCTTCGTACCAGTCGGATCTGTGTTCTCCTTGCCGTTACCGTCATCGGCTGAAGCGTTGGCCTTGGCTTCATCGGTGCCATCAGCGGCCTTCGAGCGATGAGTGGACTCGTCACCTAATCCAAGTTGGTTTCTCCATTTCTCCTGAAGAGCACGTGCTCTTGCTCTGATGCTGTATTTAGCGTCCAATGGAACCTTCGAGTCCTCCAGGACCCCAACTCGTTTCAGGACTTTGGCCAGCTTGCTCGACTAAAACAAACAGAAATCGTGTCAAGAAAGACACAATGTCACATGGTGCAAGAATGCGACTTACAGTGAGCCATTCAGTTTGCATCTCAAACTGTTCGATGTCAGTGAAAACACCATCAATCTCGGGCATCATCTATACAAACAAACGAACAATCAGTTGTTGCGCTGCGACAGCCAAAGTAGCGGTTGGGTAAGATTACCTTTTCGTTAAGTGCAGCTTTGCCTAGGAACAACCGTTGTAGTCGATGACGCCATTCCCTAACGACAGCCTCCCCATCAACAGGTGCTGCTGGCTCCTCTTTCTTCTTTCCTCGCTAAGAAAAGAGACAGTGGAGGGAAGAGGCAGTATGAGAGGGTCAACAGGACGGTTTCATGAGCGACATATGTTGCGAGGGGAGGTTTACCTTCTTAATCGCTGGAGCAGCTGGAGGTGACTCTGGGGTAGCACTAGCTTGAGCAGGGACATTGGTGGGCCGAGCATCGACTGACTTCCGTTTCTTGGTAGAAACAGCTGGCGTTTTGGTTTCGGAAGGTCGCTTCCGCTTTTGTTTTGATTTGGCTGAAACAGCCTTTTCAGTACCTTCGGCGTCAACGGGCTCTAGTTCATCGATTTCTAGGGCGTTGTAATCCTCCTCAGCAGCGACAAGGCGCGCTTCGAGATCAGCTTCCCAGGCTTCTGGTGCCAGCGCAATCTGGTAGGCTGCCTTGAGATCGGCACCTTTTTTGTTGGGATTATTAATGAAGGCCTGGAAGTGACACGCCGAGAAAGAGGTTTGAGTCAGCGGGTCGGAGAAAGAGAGAGCGACGAAATCTCACCTGAATCTCAGTGCGCTCCAGGATACTCATCTCCTTGGCGTTCATCCAGGCACTAAAAGAGATCGAAACAGTTAATAGTCGGAATGCGTTGAACGATCAAATGGGGGCTCACTAGTCAGCAGTTTTGAAGAATTTGACGAGGTAAGAGTTTTTTTGAGCAATCTTCCGTTCATCTCTCAAGTTCAAAGGTGACGCATAAGGGTCGACGATCTAGGAGGAGCCCATGTACGGTCAGCTGGGCGGAACAGGGGAAGCTAGTTGAAGCGAGTAAAAACATGGCTAGTTCAAGACTTACGCGAGCGGGCCATGCCGGGTGTCCTTTGACTTTAGCCAAGACGATATCCCCAAACGAATCTAGTAGAATAGAGATGAGCAACAGAAGAGGATCAGTCGAACAATAGCGCAAAACATAAGTGAAAGCTTCGCTGGGCTTGGGAAAAAAAAGGCGTGCATGGCTCGTGTGAGGCTAGCAATTCCACAAAAATAACGGGATGCAGTTCGAGAGACGGGGATTAAAGGTGGAGATAGAGGGGTGTTGCTGAGTAAAGGATGAGAACACGAACAAGTGGGCAAGTTGGGCGTGGTGACTCCTGGAAGTGAGGCGCCGCTCTGTCTGGGTGTTTTGGGCGGCATAGTGTGTGACGAGATGGGGGCAAATTCGAGAAGACAAAGCGTTCGGGATCGATCGATCGAGCCGGAATAATCTGGATAAAAGAAAATCAAGACGATCAGCTCAGTCGAAGAAGACGCGTCTCTTTTCCCCTCCCAAGTCTTTCTTTTCCCTCTCTCTTTTTTGCTGTGTGTGACAGTTTTTTGGGAGATGTCGACAGCTGATGCTTTTGAGATGACATGTAGAGCATCCCAATTATCGCCAAAAAGTGAGGAACATTGACGAACCAAGACGATACGAAAAAAGCGACGATCACTTGGGAAAAGAGTCACCGATGTGCCTGGTAGGAGGAAGAGAAGATCGAGTCAGCAGTCTATCGAACAACCTATTGACATCTTTTTTGGGGGAGAGAGAGAGAGAAGAGCGATACGGATGTGATTGGAGACTTACGAGTTGTGATGCTGCCGATCGGAGTAAACAAGGGGGAAGAGGTGGGGAAAAAGCAAAGTGGGTTAGGATGTGAGTGAGAAGCGGATGTGAGTGAGACAGTGAGGGTTGAAGAGCGAAGTGTGTGTGTGTGGGGAGTAGCGTGAGGAGGGAAGAAGGGGGATGAAGGGGAGAGGGATGAAGGGGGAGAGTGGGGGCTACATACATGATACTGCGCGGTGATGGGTTGGGTGAGATCGGGTTTCAGGGTCGGTTGAGGTAGTTTTTGAGTGGGAGGATACAGAAGGGGAAAGGGGAGGAGGGGGGAGAGAGGCAGGTGAGAGCGAAGGGTAGATATATATCCTTCTGTGACTCAGTCGCACACTCGATGTGGTGAGGGCTGTCGGGCTGAGTGGAGTCGGCAGAGTGGATGAAACAAGCCAATTCCGATTGCGGTTCAGCTGAAGGGGAGGAAGGGAAGCGGAGGGGAAGGGGAGGGGAGGGCAGAGTGAGGAGTGGAGTGGTTTTATAGTCTGTTGGGGGTGCTTGTTGGGTCTATGTAGGGCTTGAGATCGATCAGCCAATGGAATGACAGCTGCTGTATGCATTTCGCTTGATGTTTTGTTTATTGTTTTTTTGTTTTAAATTTTTTTTTTCAACAAGGTTTTTCAACTGGAAACTTGTCATCACTCTGATTTATGTAAACGTACAACTCCATAGATATGCAAATAAGCAGCTTCTTGTTTGGCTTACACCGATGATATTATATTATAGCAATCATTACATCCATCATATCATTCATCTTCGATCATGTGTTATACATCATTAAACCTTTATTTCTACTTCTATATATATTCTCCTACGAATTTCTCCAATCCTCTCCGTCTCTGTCTCTCTTTCTAGCTGAACAATTGCACTTGGATCCAAGTCATCTGATTTCTCTTACCTACCATCGTTGTTCTCGTTTCAGTTGATCGCACCCCAACTTCCCAATCACTAGAGTTACATATTGTTGGAATGTAGAACCAAGCCCGGTTGGAGAGGCAGCGCCAAGATCTTGATCTTGATCTTCTTCTTCTTCTTCATCTGAATCGCGGTTGGACGTGGGTGGATGTTGTCCGTGTATGGATGACTTGGTTGAAGGGGAGATAGAGGGATGATAATGCTGAAGGCGTGTGTGTGTGTGGGTAATGTTTGGTTGAAGATCGTCGAATCCACTCCGGGGCCCTGTTGGCTTCGATCCATACATCCTAAATCCATAGTTTTACTCACTTGCAACTCATCAGCACACCACCCAAGCCTGTCTCACCACACACCCATCCCGCCCACTGCACCGATCGCTTGACTGGCTCTTCTTCTTTTTATTCCTGTCCGCTTGCTCTCGCCCGGCTTTGGATCTGAGTCACTCTTCGCCCTCCCTGCTGGTTTGGATGGCCAAAACCGTTTCATCACCGACGGTTCATCCGTCTGTCCAGTCTCTATAGGAGGATATGAGCTCCGTGGGCTGTGAGAGAGGGTCCGATCGATCGAGCAGTCGCGCGGGTGGGTGTCCATGATCACGAATCATCTGATCCATCTCAACCTCATTGGATTCCGACTGGTACGGTCTCTCGAGAAATGCAGTAGTAGCCAGGGCCAACGGGGATCCGATGGATATGATCTAGAATGAACATGTGGGTGTGTATTGATCGAAGCGTGTAGGCACAAGATTGAAGACTCAGAAGCATATAAACAAACACAAATGATTTCATTCCCAAATGTATATAGACTACTAGATGGATGCAACACTCATCTGGCTGTCTACGCCCACACAAGTCTAGTCGAATATCAGTTTTTCGCTCTTTTCCTTTTCCCCCTTCCTCTTCTTTCTCTTTTGACCTGAAAATCCTGATGTATATTCTGTAGCCTAGGTGGGTGTGATCCGAGAGTCTGGTCATCCATGTAAGCCTACTACTACTTGAGTGCGGCCAATAAGCTGTTGAGTCGGTCGATGATCAATCAGTACGACTTGATAGACCTTGAAGTCAGATTGAAGTAAGTAAGAAAGACTTACGATTCAAACACTTCTACCTCAATGGCTGCTTCGGCCTTTTGGACCTCACTACCTGTGCTCAAGGCTCGTTGGGCTTCCTGAAGGGCAGATCTAGCAGCCTGATATGACGGATGAGTGAGGTAGAGAAGAGTGAGCACACGTGCTGACCACTGTTTCTTAGAGAGTAAGAATAGCAGTAGGACTTACCTCTGGTGAAAAGGCGTCTAGAGGGTAGGCCTCAACAGCGTTGATGGTGAGGAGGTTGTTGGGGTGGACATTGGCAAAGCCGCCAGAAACTGTTAACATGTTTTTGGGGGTAGTAAGAAAACGGACAAAAATTACAAACATTATCAGCAAACCGTGAGATAGTAGATGACACAGGCACTGCTGCATCTAGAGAGACGCTAGAGGATGACATACCAAACCATTTCTTAGAGTCCCCTTGACCTTCGATTACCTCAACCACGCCAGGCTTCAGGCTTTCGATGCTGGCCACGTGGTTGGCCAAGACACCCATGTCCCCAGACTCGGCTGCGATGTTGACCTGGGTGACCCCACTGGATTGGTAAATCGTCTAGAGGATCCACATCCAATCAAACGATCGATTGACCGATCGGGTCGTTGTTCAGACGATATGTATCATTGGTAGATAGCGTTTTGTTTGAGGTCGTTCAGGCAGGCATCAGGGTGGATGGATGTTTGGGGTCATTGGCCAAACAGATCATTATGTTTGATTTTTGTTTTGTGAAAACAAATCAGTATTGGATAGGATAGGCAAAATGAAGAGGTAAGCAAGTCCAGTCTGAGCATAGGAGAGAGCCGGGGTTGAGGGTGGCAGTGATGATTATACAATGAGCGAAGAGACGAACCTCGTGTGGTAAGACCAAGGACAGCTGAAGTTTACCATCTGAGCCGGAGCCAGGAGCAGCCTCGGTAGCGTAGGTTTGAGCTGGGAGGGTGTTCCTGGGCAATCGGAATGATTGGGCAGCACGAGGTAGGCCAGCCCGAGAGGTAATCGATCGTCGAATAGCGAACATCTTTTGTTGTTGTTCTTTTGTTTTGTTTTTTGACTATTGAGTTCGTTTTTAGTCTTGCGGTCTTCAGTCCCTCGTCCTCCTCAGATCGATGGTGAACCGATTCTTGATTTAAGCCTCGTCAGTTGACTGAACTTGGTTGTTGAGGTACAAATTTTATTCTGTACGAAGTTCGGTGGAGTTGAGTTGTCAAGGATGATGATGATGATGATGAAGTCTCCTCGTCGGTCGCTCCGGGTCTCGCTGCGACCCCTTGGAGGCTGAAAAAAAAAATACACTCGGCTCGGCCCGGATCGGAAAGACGTCGAGTGCACCAGAAAAGTATGTCTTTACAGAGTAAAAGCACGCATTAAAAGTGTGTGAAACTGTTTTGAACATGTACAGCATACCCAAAAAAAGCTTGCAACTTTTGCAAGAAAAAATATGTGTTTCTTTCTTTTTGGGCATAAAGTATGTAATACCCCTTTGATCAATCAAGTAAATATGTAGTTGGCAGTAATAATTGGTAAATTCTTTTTTTTGTTTGACTGTTCTGATCACCAAATAGATGGATACATCTGAGATGGGCAAATGTACTCCTACTATTGCTTCCTCTGAAAACAAACATCAGGAAGGAGAGAAATTCTCCAATTCTTGTCCAGCTGGCTACTTATCTCCAACCTGGTACATCCTAAAACCATTCACCAAAGACAGATGGAATCTATTCACTTTTCTTACAATGGGTAGAACAATATGTCCTGGATAGACTTCCAGAATTCAGTTTTGGATTGGTGTTCAAAGTTGAGCTGCATAATGTCATAAAATCTTTCAATCGTGACTGGATGACTTCCCATCAGATCTGGGGCGCCTCTCAGTTTTTGATTTAGACTGGATCAAAAGTCTAGAATTTTGCAGGGAAATCTAGCTTTCAAATTCATGGCTCTAAAAACAAAACTGGGGGAGGGGGGCACAGATTTGAATTTTTGGTGGTGGAAAACTGCCCCATATATCCCAACTGCCCATCAAAAATGATGGTTTCCTGTTTGACCATCAGTGGTGTGCATGGATCCTGCCTATAACAATTTCATGAACTATGGCCTCACCTTTGGCCCCCTGGCCTGTCAAACAAATAGTGGCAAAGTTGGTGATTTATTGACTCCAGGTCATCTTTACATGATAATATAGTGATGTACAGATGACACAGATTGATAAGAGAGTTGACTTTGTAAGGCTTTCTGAATTTGGTCTTAAAAATCTATGGAAAGGCTCCTTATTTGGGGATGGTATGATGTGTCGGTCTAACAGGAAACCAACTCTGTGGAAGATGGGCAGAAGATGTGAAGCAGCTTTCCACCAAAATTTGAAAGCTCACATTCAAAAATGTCATGTTAGGCCCAAGCCCCTCTTGGGAGGCTCGCTATGACACAACTCCGATCGAGGGGCTTGTGTTTTTTCCAAGCTCACGTGGCCTTTGTCCATCTCATCAAAACCTTCCCGACACAACTGTTACCGCCTCAGTTCACTGACTTGTCTGTGTCTCGTTTTACCTATTTAGATCCTCACGGGTGAAATCCGTCAAGCAAGGATCAAGTTTTCTGGAAGGGAACCTGAGGATATATGTATCTCAAACGCCCATAATTAAACCTCTTCTCGTGATTGGCACACATGATCTTTGAGTGTCCTACCCATGAAGATGAAGTCGCCCGATTTTCTCAAGATTGGATTGAAGGATCGTACGCTTCAAGATGGGAAAACTACCAAAAATAACTGGTGTACCGTTTGCTGGCCATGTGCTCCCCGATTACTGCCCAGACCAACGTATCCGATCAGTTGTCACAGGTAGTGAAGGATTCATCTGGCCCATAGCTCAGTGAGAAGGAATGAACTGGCGTCGCACATTTGACAAAAGTTACAGACATCACTGTAGAGCAATATTCAGATGCCTCGGACACTGGCAGCTCTAGAACCTGCACCTTTAAGGCTTTACCGCTTTTTCAAATCTACAGTGACATTAGTTTCTTTCTGAAATCTTTCAGGTGTCTATGACACCGCCGCACATACGTTTATATCAAAGCTAGAAAGGTTTATTGCATCCTTGAACTTGGTATCTATGTTTCCATAGCTATGATAGCGAAATGGATTTCATGGCTATTTTTTCAATATTTTTGATGTTATTGCAAGAAATGTTCTACTGCGAACATGACTGATAGAGCTGCAAGAATACAAGAGCGGGTGCATATCTCAGTGAAAATCAGGAAACCATCCATCGGTGAAGTGTCACAAGTCGCCGATTTGGACTATGGGTAGGTTAAAGAGACCTGGATGCCTGGTAGGCCAAGACATACTCAGCGATGACTCAAGTAAGTGAGCACCCAGGTCTGAGCTCGTCTATTCGCTCCCTCGAGCAAGCGAATTCTGTCTTCGATATCCCTGTGCCGATGGATCGTGGGGCTAAGCTCGCACTGAGTGATTATGTATTCGCAAATGGGACCGATTTCCACGAGTCCCAATGCGGAGGCCTGGTTGATCATGGAAAGGGAATCAGTATGTCAGAGGAAATTCCTCGGTAATCATCGTTCTTTACTTACTGAGGTTTCAAGGTGGCGGGCCTCTTGCCCTAATCGATCATAGTTCCTGATTTCCCTGAGGAAGAAATGTAGAAAATTAAATTTTTGGACGAGTCAGTACATGGCTAGCCTTTTTGTATTATTAGCTATCATGGTCATCTTCAAGACCAAAACAGCTCAGGTACTAAATGAATCGGGGAAGAATTTACAGCATGTCTTTCATGGTTGTCGTTCTTTGGATTGATTGGCCGATATACCTGACCATCAGATCTTGCACGTTGATGTTGTTCACGTCGAGTTGCATCATTCTCCATAGCCTTCGCGTGTCAATAATCTATAGAATTTAACAATGTTTTGTTTTGTTTTGGAAGAAGGAGAAGAAGTGAGTGCCCCATCAATTCTTGAGTGTATCTGTGTTTGGATATCTTCACATCTGGAGGAGAGCCTACTTACGTCAGCCATTTCGGAAATTTATCTCAAAAAAAGTTACAAGGGAGAACGAAGCCGCAGGCTGGAAAGTATCTTTTTGGTTTTTGAGATATTTTAAGAGAAGAGAGTGATTTGAATGAGGAACAGCATTTTCGGCCCTACTTCAAGTCCTATTTATACATGTCGATCAACTATGGCTCCTATGACTGAGTGATAACTCGTGAGACTGAGAGGGATCATTTCTTACATTTAGCGGAGTAGGGGGCCTGATTTTCGCTGAGTCGCTTATAGCCTCACGTCCAAGTAGAACGGAAACATTGTCACACCAAGTCACTTTAGTCTCATTGCGCCAAAACTGTGAAATTTAAGACTTGGGTGTCCGTACCCTTAGCGAATTATCAGTGAGATGCGCCCGCATACCTAGACTCCCACTATATTTGCAAGGTGACCGTTTGCTAATTTACCTATAACAGCCTCAGGACCGAGTTAAATAAACCCCGTGCCATATAAACTCACTTTCGCTTTATTGCACTCAAACTGGGAAATCAGCCGCCTGCAGATGTTCGCACCCTGAGCTAACTGTTGAGAGTGTGGCTTTATGGAATTGAGTCAAGTTCAGCCTCCGATCCTGATAAATTAGGAGGGATTCTTCTTTATGAAAGTAAATTATGCAAGACACGTGGCACCAATCAACATGTGTCAACATTAGTACATTTTCGGCGTTTTGCAGGCTACCATTCAATTTATAATCTGTGTGACCAAGGGAGGGGCATTTTCCGTCCCTTCTGCCTGATGTTTCTTTTTAATTTCTGAATCAGCATTGGCATAATAATCATGATTGGATTATCACAAGACTTGAAAATTTCTCTAAAAATTTCAAAAACTGACTGCCAACATGGAGGCCATCATACAAATGTATGACTGTGCAATCACTGGTCGTATAGATTGGGAAACACAAATGGTTGCTTTTGCTGGTAATCAAATTCTAATGTAAAATTCCTAGCATCAGTACTATCATCTAATTGATTATGAGAATCAGGGTTGAATTCAGGAATCAGCTGCGTGTTTTTTTTATTACAAATTAGGATGAAAGTCAATGATAGTTTGTCAAGAAAAGACTGGAATGATTGTCTTGGATGTCTAAAGAAGAAAAGATCTTGCTGAGATTAATCTAACTCCCTTTAAAGAAAGGCCAGGATTACTTACCAAAAATTCAATAGGTTCAATCAAGCCTTTTTCTGCCTGAGTAGAAATAGGTAGCTTTATGTAAAAAATAAATTGTTATTTTGATGATTGTCTTAGCTAAATAATTTCAGTGAGAGGGTTTGGATTTTTACTGAGAAGCTGTTGACTGTTTTTGGAGTTTTTTGCTTCTATTTCTTGAAATTTTTGGCTTTTGGATCTTTTTTTCAGGAGCTGTTGACCACTTGCGTGGAGCTGAATCCATGTGTTCTCGATGAATTATATTGATAAATAAGCTGTTATTCGATCTAGCATATCTATAGTGATGATTCATTGAGATCTTCCCTCTTTTGAGAAACTAGGACTCAGGAGCTAGTTGGACAGATATCATCTCATTACAATTTGTATTTTCCTCACAAGTATGCCATCTGATCACTAGTTTTGTATTCAAGTCAGGCTTGTATTTTGTTATAGCAGCAGCTTATCTTCTGAAGTAGTTTACTTATTTGTTGGTCTTAATTAGTAAAGTGTCCCCTTTTATTCCATTTATTCTTTTTTGTTCTAAGTTTTTCTATCCATTATCATTCATTAATTCCCACACAACCAAAATTCAAACTGCTTTCATCTATTCTAATTAAAGTTAGCTGGTAAAATAAATTGAGTCATCAGTTTTTTGTTTCTTTTCCATTTCTTGAGACTTGAACTGATCCACTGTTTCACCTCCCCCTGAGTTTGAGTCCTTTAATTAGTTTTTTTTAGCTTTTTCTTTGATTTATAAGGCCTAGAACTCAACATTTTGGAATGTTTCTAGTCTCCACAGGTTTCAATTGGGAAAAATGGGCAGGGGGAGATCTGGGGAAGTAGACAGGCCTTTTTGGTACAATAAATGACTCTGGTGCACAGACAAAACCCCTCTCAATAACTGATATGTGCTCCAGCCTTCAAGAAGGATACATAGAATTTCTTCTCAATGGCTGGTATGCAAAACAAAGTTTTTGTAGGTAATACCTACCATTAATCTATGAATATCACAAGACTGTAATCCTTACAGAAAATTGAAATGTAATAACCTAAGAGCAATTGCATTGGTGGTGCTTGTTGATAACCAAGATAAGTCACAATCTAAAAATAATTTTGCATTCAATACCTCATCACACTGATAGCATATTGGTTCAGACTAAATTGAACAGACTGATTATTCTTCCAAATATTTATCTAAAGAATTTAAATAATTAGAGGAAAAAAAAGGTCGGATAGAGGGCTAAGAGATATGCTAGCTTGCATGGTGGAAAACGTGCCCATGCTACAAGAGGCTGAATGTTGTAATCTTGTCTATAGAGCTATTACAATGCAGAGGGAAAAGTTGTGGGACAGAAGACAAAAACAAATATTCAACTGAAGGGAGAAAAAGGAGTTAGGAGAGACCATGAAATTCCAACAAAATAAATTCCCAAGTCACAGGAATTCTGGAAAAACATGGGACTTTTTTGGAAGTTCAAGAAAAAAAACAATTGAGGATCTATTAATTGTGCACAAATTTTTCCTGCCAAGAGTAATTTATAGTTTCAGCCTCAGGCTCTCCTTAGGAGACCGTCCTGTGCAGAAAAATCTGAAGTTGTGTGCAAGTTCAGATTTGTGGGGTGTCACCTCCTGAGGTGTCACAGGAGGTGACACCGGGGTTAACAGTGCACCCTCGAAATTGTCGATGGTCCTCTGTTGACCATTGCCAGTGACTCATTCGATTGGTGCGCTTCCAAAGGATACTTGTTGGATACATCAGTCACAATGGCCATCAACGACCCCTCGAGCTCATCCATCGTAGAGGCGATCACGATTTACAAGAAGAAGACTGGGAAATTGCTGTTGACGAATTCTGTGTTGAAATGGATCCCCAAGGATGGCGCTGGGAGTGGCGCTGAAGTCGTTTCGATCGATTTTCCTCGTCTCCATTGTTAGTCCAGTTAAGCCTGTACACTCGTTTAACTATCCTGCATTAATAGGCATGTTTCTAATTATCTTGTGCGTCCTAGACTGATGCTCATTGAATTCCAATTTGTCATCAATCCCAACAAAACAAATCAACCAACGGGTTTCCGCGGGTCGTCCTTTTTCAAACTGTCGTATTCGATGGGTAATCTCACTTCCCAGCACTCTTCTCATCGAGAGAAGGTGGTCCAAAAGTGATACTCAAGATTGTGGCCAAAGCGATCTCAACAAGTCCCACTCCGACGGATGGCTCCAATCCAACGAGCACAGGAGAAGAGACCTATAACTTCGCCTTCACCAGTTCCGACCCGCTTAGTGATCGAGAAACGTTCAAGAAACATATATCCGAAATCATTTTGCAGAATCGGGGGCAGGGACAAGCTTCTCAAGCGCCAACACAGCCGACTGACGGCACGGAAATCCCAAAGAACCCACCAACGGATGATAATAGGATAGCCTCAGATAAGGGGAAAGCGGTGAACCCACTCGAGGATTGGCGTCTCAAGAAACGCGTACTCCAAAACCATCCTGACCTGCGTCAACTTCATAAGGAGATGGTCATCGGCGGGCAGATCTCTGAAGGCGAGTTCTGGGATGGCAGAGAGGAGTTGCTCTATCATGAGGCTCGACGCGATGCACAGAAAACCGGTCGCTCCGCCCAGATGGTCGACCCCCGTCCTGAGACCACCGACTCGGGCGAGATCAGGATTAGCATCACTCCGCAGATGATTAAGGATATCTTCGAACAGTACCCTGTCGTTCAAAAGGCTTACAACGAAAACGTCCCACCGGTTAGTTCTCTTTCTATTCATCAAAAGATACGCCCCGATAGCATACTCAAAAGATTAATTTTTCATGTCTGCCTTGGTTGTAATCCTTTTCAGTTGAACGATCAAACCTTTTGGACGCGTTATTTCCGTTCTAAACTTTTTAACCGACACCGTTCCTCGGCCAGACAATCGGGTGATGCAGTCAAAGAAGATGAGATATTCGATAAATATCTGGGTGATGATGATGATGGAATTGAACCCAAACAGATCAATACACGTGAAGTTTTCAAATTATTGGATTTGGCTGCTACTCAGGAAGATCACGCAGAGGTTTGTGAATTGTATCTCCAGACAAAGCTTTTTTGTTTCTTGAACTCTCCTCTTTCTCATGACAGTCACAAGCAAACATCGGGGAGATTGATGTTGACATTGCGCCTTCTATAGACAGGTAACTCAAACGATTGGACCATGCGGGCTGGTACTCAAAGATCTTCACTTCCTCTGATGAGAAGATTTAATGAACATTCACAAAGATTATTGGATTCATCACTGTTTGTGGAAATATTCTCACCTCAAAATTGAAAAAAGAAAATGAACTAACCATTTCCATTGGTGATACAAATATCTATAGTGGTAAAGTACCGGAGCGACGCTGTGGTGGAGTCATTGATGGGGGTGATGCGGGCTCGAGGAACTATTATGGGGAGACAGATTTAGAAGACTTGAATGCTCCAACAGAGCCAGAGAGGATCATTTTAGACATGCGAGAACAGGAGCGATACTTCGAGGGGAGTGCGGTTGCCAGTCAGAGCTCCAAGCGAAAGCGGACCGCTGAGGAAGACGCCCAGATCATTGATCAGATGGCCGATCGGCTGACCAAAGGCTGGAGGTTCGAGCTCGGAAAGTTCAAGATCCCCAAGGATCAAGTCAATCAATCTACCCGACTCATGCTCGATAACATCTCGATTCGTTCCGAACAAGAGCGTGGGTTTAATGAAGGTGGGTCAATCTCCGGATTTATCTTTAACCCCTGAATTTACGTTCGGGAGGGGTTTGAAGTAAGATTTTGATGATGTATTGGACTGCTTACCTAACTTCGGATTCATTTGACGACTGCGCAGATTCCATGCCCAAAGATTTCCTCGCCCAAATGGTTTCAACTTACACAACGACAAATGAATTTCTGCGACAATTCTGGACGGCGATCCTACCGAATCCGATGCCGGTCAGCCCCGCGATATCTCTGTCGACTTCTACAGCACAAGGCACGATGACGAAAGAAGAGGAGGAGCAGAAGCGGTTGCTGATGATGCCCAAGCCGCCGCTGACGGCCGAACAGAAGGCGCTCAAGGCCCAGAGAATGGTCGGCTTCTTGTCTAAGACTAACGAGCGCATCCAGGGCTTGATCCAGACCGCTCATCAAATCGACGGCTTCAATAAAAGTAACGTCATCCTCGCCTTTCAGGGTCTCCTTAAGTCGGTCGATGTGGCACAAAAATATTACAAAGATCGAACCTCTTGATCTTCCCTTCACTTTTTTCACCTTTTTTTTAAAAATCTCATCTTGAGTTTAATCCGTTTGATTTACATGCATCTCCAGATTGCAATAGATGGAGGAAATAGGCAGATTTTGCATATCTTGCTCATCTTTCTCTGTAAAGCCAGAATGACTGGCTGTAAAGCTGTTTTCACAGAGAAAAAAAAAACAGGTCTCAATCATCATTGACCAGGAGCGTGAATTTCAACGGGAAGGTCTCCAATCTCTTGATTGTTGGGGTTATATTTTCCTTGGAGCTGACTCCCCAGTGGAGAAAACTCTCAGTTTGTTGTTATTACATGCTGAGAAATGATCGACTCAGTCGCACTCAACTACCTCAACATAAACCAACTCAAAAAGATAATCATGTCATCTGCATGCAGTTGTGCTTTTGGATTGGTGAAAATCGTGCCATAGTATGGCATTGAAGTAATCGCTGCAATACAAAATTGTCAGATTAAAGCATGTAAGGGGTTTCCTTGTTTTTGCAGAACAATCAATGGCGTAGGCAGGCCCATTGGGAATTGATCAGGGTTGATTGTAACAGTGCTTGCCACTTTGTTGATTTTATCAACATTACATACTCTCTTCTAATGGTTTATGTATGCGTGTGGATTGAGAAATGCACTGCAACTGAATATCATCATCATCTCTTCACCCTTATCTTTACCTCTCACCCAACCCAATTGGCAATACCTATGATCACTTTCTCAGAAAATCTGGTTGGCTAGTAATCTTTTTCTGTCTGGTGTATGTACATGTGGCCAGCATCTGCAATTCACAGATATATCTGACTGAGCTTGAAGCTGTGTTGCTTCCAACCTCAGCAATGGAATGTTGGTTGAAAGTCATCCTCCCTGTGATGGGATCTCACTTTTCTTGTTCTTTGATTTTGGATTGCATGTGCATGTACATACAAATAATAGTCAATATCAAACATCAGCAAATGAAGTTTTATGCAAGTCTTAGGATGATTTCAGACTGTAACATTTTTTTTTTTCATAAAAGAAAGAAATAATGATCATTGGAGGAGGTAATGTATGTAAAGAGCAATAGCAATGTCAGGATCTGCTTTTTTTGGGAGGTCCATGATGTGTACTGTGGTTGCTTTCTTCATTAACCAAAACAAATTGTTTGTCTTTTTGGCTGGATTTTATTTTTTCAGTCCAGTTTGCCAAACAATACTTCATATACATTGAAAGCAAAAGGAGCACAACAGACAAAACAGATCCTTTTCTTGCATTGGATTTATTCAGTAATTCTTGTTTCTTTTCTTTTTTCTTCATTAACATGTATATATAATAATGTTAATTGATTGACTTTTTTTTGTCTTTTTTACAAAACAGATCAAGACCGCAAAGGGATGATGATGAAGGATGATTTGGATGCAGAAAAGAAGGGGTAATATGCAAGGGCCTAGTTGAAGTCAATTCTAAGAAAACCTAGCAAGGCGTCTCTGACGTAGCTGTTCAGGAGTTGGTTCGTCGATCAGATCGTCTGAGACGGGAGGCAAAGAGCTGGATGAGGGAGGCTCTGTCGGATCCGAGTCGGATGGATGATTGGCGAGGCTTTCGGAGATGGCGGCAGCCAGTTCCTCGTCTTCGATGCTACGGAGCTGGTCCAAGAGATCAGAATCGGCGGGGGGTTCGACGTTGTTCTCAGAGTCAGACGGGTCAGGAGCTGTTTGTGGATCTATGCTCTTCGTCTGGCTTGGCTCGCTGGCAGAGGGCTGAGATAGACTGGCCTCGATAGCCAGCCGGATTTGCTCGTCGTACGGCAGCTCCTCCGTATTCATCCGCATCCGTGTCCGTGAGGCCTCGTCTGTTCCTTCTTCTCGTGGCCTTCTCAGCGTGGAAGAGGCCCCCCCAGAAGACGTTGATCCACTTCTTCCTCCCGAAGAGTAGCCGAGCTGGTCTAATAGTTGGGCTTGTTCGTCGGCCTGACATGCTAGCAGACTCCCCGGCTGCGGCGCGGATGGTTCTGATGATGGCGGTACCGGTATCACTACAAATATAGAGTATCCTGTTTTCAAGCTTCATTATTAGTGCGCTGCTTTTTTGTGTTGTGGTGTTGAGGGGGGGGGCATTTATTTACCTTCAGCTTCTGCCTGGGCAATCGCCATGCTCAGGAAAGTGGGACCTATCCATTTAGGCGAGGCTTCGTCCATAGAATTCAAATTATACCTGGTCGATCATGGCGAACTCTAGTTCAGTGGTTTGGCAAGAAAAAAAAACATCCGCATTTTGATTTTCTTGATTTTTCTTTTTTGTGAAACTCGACGCATGAATTCAAGAAAATGAAGCATACCATCGATCAACACTGTGGCCAAATCGTCGAAGCGTGAACCAATGTAAATCATGATTTAAAATAAAAGCTTCTTGGTTCCTACGTACGATATCGATCAAATGATGGACGAAAATCAAGCAAGGATGTAAATCAATAAAACCAGGCAAAAAAAAAAAAACGGGGCAAGAGGTCATGAAAGAAAAAAAAATAATAAAAATAAACTGACTCGGGGTAATCGTGCATCGATTTCATTTCTTCACTCCGCCACCTGATGATCCGCAAGCCCAGGCGATGAAGCGCATCGTCTATGACTTGAACTGAGAAGAATCCTGATCATGAGGTATCCAGCACGGACCAATTATGAACGACCAAAGAAAAATGGATCAGACAGATGAAGTGATGATAAAATAGATTTGGATAGCGGAGAGGTTCCCTGTCTCATATGCTCACCACTATCATCGTAGTTGGAGTTTTTCTCTAGCCTGGAGCTGCCTTGAAGGCTGTTATCATGGGTACCACCATCGTGTTGTAGATGCGAGCGTTCGAGCGAATCCAATGTCCGGGCGATTTCGGCCAGGTCTTGTGGAGACCTGTGGTGCAGAATAGAAACAGCATTGTTGCAAAAAAATATTATGTCGATGAGCAAAGACGATCGACTGCAAGTGGGCTTTGGGGAGGGGTGAATCTGACGAAAGCTTGCATACCAAACAGGAGATTGCATCAGATTGTTGAGCGCATGCTGGGCACATAGCATCGAGCCTGGTTCTTGCTTCTCGCAGTAGATGTAAGGCACTAGATCCATCCTGAGGCCGACTTTCCTTTCCTACACTTGGGTGGCTCTCGATTGGTTGTTGGTATGTTTGGTGTGGTAATCTGGTGGTTCTGGGTTGGGTTTGCAGTCTGCTCGATCGATCGATCAACCACCACTTCAACTTCTCCCCATTCTTTCTCCTCCTCCTTTGTCACTCAAACCTTATTTGATTCTTCCCAACAAAATCAACCCAAACATTAAGCATCTTCTCATCATACATACAACCCCCAGAAATTGGAGCCAAAGATACTCCAGCTGGATAAGGTCTTTGACCTTGATCACTTTCCCACTGATGCTCTAGCATTCTTGAACTTGTTGGCACACTGGGCTATACCACTTCTTGGTAAAAAAAATCTCTGATAAAATTTGTGCAGGGCAAATAGCAAGTCATACCATGCCTCACAAACTGTTGGTGTTAGTGGATAACCACCAACAGCCAAAAGCTTTATGCAGGTTTGCTGTAATTAACAGCTTTCCTGATGTAGTGGGCTGTGCTGTTTACTAATCTCCCCACTGGATATTATGAACTGGAGGTTGTTGGTGGCACTGCATTAATTTATGAATAAATATCAAGAGAATGGCATCAATTGAAATCTACAATCTTTGCTTGAACTTGTGTTGTCCCTTCAATCTTTCTCAAAATTGATTTCAATCTGCATAAGAAGATACTTTGGAACAACTTGAATTTATTATAACAGTTATTGTGGCTGGCCAATTGAGTATCCTGCATGTCGACTGGCTCTATTGTAGTTTGTTGTGGTTTTTTGATGGAGATGAACAATACCTATTTTACTCCAAGGAAAATGGCAATTTGGGTGGTGGAAAATAGGTCAATTTCCTGGCACTTTTTTACAAAATGTCTCAGGATTGAAATTTAGGCTGAAATGTGTTATTTTAGTGAAAAAATAAAAATGACTCAAATGAGCTAAAACCCATTTTGGTAATGTTTGAGGCATTTTTATTTCTGGGCTAAAATAGCTCATAGAATAGCCCATTTTAGCCTAAATTCTACTCTCAAGGCATTTTGTAAAGAAAAGTACCAGGAAATTGACCCATTTTCCCCCACCCAATTTGCTATTTATTGTGGGCATTAATAAAAAAACCCGCATTTTCCGCGTTTTGACGCGCTTTTGCTGCGCGCTGCACACGCGCATTCCGTGTTTAAACGCGCATTTATTAATTAATTTATTTTTGCCATTAATTTCGAGTTTTTTTGATTTTTTAAAGTTGTTTCCTACACTTTAAAAGGTGTAGAATTTAATGGTAAAAACCATTTTCCATAAAAATGACTTTTGATTCTTAATTTTTTTTTCACTCATTTTTTCTGTTAATTGTTTGCTTTAAGTTTTCTACCTGATTTTTCAAGATTTTGTGTAACTTTAAAGTTGTTTCCTACACTATTAAGTGTGTAGAAATTTATGGTGAAATCCAATTTTCATAAAAGTTAATGGATCATTTTTAATAATGCAATTACACTCATTTTTTCACTTAAATTTTTAGAGCTCAATTTTCATTCTTTTTTGACATTTTATATTTTTTTCTTACACTTTAAGACATGTATAAATTTATGGTAAAAATCATTTTGCACCGAAATGAGAACTACATCTTGTATACTGCATTTGACACCTTTTTTTTATTTAATTCTTCACTTTTTCACTTAATTGTTTGCATGCATGTATGTACTTTATTTTTTAAGTTTTTTTGAGGTTTTAAAATTATTTCCTAGGTTTTAAAGCATGCAGAATTTAATGGCGCAATCAAAAATTTTTAAAACTCGACGGTTCACTTTGAATACTGAAATTAGACACTTTTTTCACTCAAATTTTTACAGCTTAATTTTCATTCTTTTTTCACTTTTTATATATATTTATCACACTTCAAGACATGGTTAAAATTATTGTAACAATGAATTTGCATCAAAATGAAAACTATGTCTTGAATACTGCATTTGACCTGTGTCTTTAATCAATTCTTACATGCTTAATTATCCTTATTTTGTGGAGTTTTAAGTTCATTTCCTAAACTTCGATAGGTTTTAAAGCTGATGGTTGTATCCATTTTGCATTGAAATAAAATTTGTATATGGTACAAATTATGCAAGAAACGGGGTACGCTCATCTATTAAGATTGAAGCTTGTATTTTTAGTGAAATTGGACTTCACCATTCAGTTCTACACATTTTCAAATGTAGGAAATGAATTTAAAATTTAAAAAAATGCTTCAAATCAGGCCGGTAAAAATCAATCAAAAAAACATCAAAATAAACCTGTCCAACACAGTATTCAGTAGCAAGCGCTGATTTTTATGTAAAATGGTTGCTACCATCATTTTTATCATGTCTTAAAGTAGGGGAAATAAATTTAAAATGTCAAAAAATATTGAGAAATAACATGTAAAGAATTAATTGAAAAAAGTGTCTAGTTTCAGTATTAAAAATGAACCGTTGAGTTTTAAGAAAATTGGATGTTACCATTAAATTCTACACACTTTTAAATTTAGGAAGCAACTTTAAAACTTCAAAAAAGCATAATAAATAAGGTACACACATGTATGCAAACAATTAAGTGAAAAAGTGATGAATTAATTAAAAAAACGTGTCAAATGCAGCATTCAAGGTATAGTTTTCATTTTGGGGAAAAATGGTTGTTACCATCATTTTAAGCATTTCTTAAAGTGTGGGAAATAAATTTAAAAAGTGAAAAAAGAATGAAAATTAAGCTGTAAAAATTTAAGTGAAAAAAGTGTCCAATTTCAGTATTCAAAGTGAACCGTCGAGTTTTAAAGAACTTGGATTGCTCCATTAAATTCTGCATGTTTCAAAACCTAGGAAATAATTTTAAAACCTCAAAAAAACTTAAAAAATAAAGTACATACATGCATGCAAACAATTAATGGAAAAAATGAGTGGAAAAAAAAAATTAAGAATCAAAAGTCATTTTATTGGAAAATGGACTTTACCATTAAATTCTACATGTTTTTTAGTGTAGGAAACAATTTTAAAAAATCAAAAAAAATTAAAATTAATGGCAAAAATAAATTAATTAAAAAATGCGCGTTTAAACACGGAATGCGCGTGTGCTGCGCGCAGCAAAAGCGCGTCAAAACGCGGAAAATGCGGGTTTTTTTATTAATGCCCTTTATTGTTGGGGCAAACTTCAAAGTAAAAGATATTTGAGCTGTGATTTATTGCAAAAAAGAGCCGACACACTAAAGAAGAGAACAATAAGAAAACAGCGCAGCGGATAAGAGAAAGAGAATGAGAGAGAATGAACCAACATTGACAGAGCAGATCATTTGAGAAGAGCACAAGGGATGAGGATAGAATGGAAGAAGAACAGTTGGTTGGACTGAAGGATTCAAGTTAGTTGAGAGTCAACAGGTATGAGAAATGAGAAAAAAAGACAAATCTCACCAGGCAGAGAAGAGAATAGAACAAGGAGTTGAAGAAGAGTGGATTGAGGAAAAGAAAGAGAAGAAGGATTGAGTATTTGTGATGTGGGAAGGTTGTAGAGTGCAGAGTGTTGAAGAGTGAGGTTGTTGAAGGAGGTTGATCTTGAGGTGAATGAGTCTGAAGTTGTCGAATGAGTATTGGAGAAGAAAGGATAAGTAGAACAGTCTTTCGAGATTGGGACTGTGACATGTCTGTGATTTTTACACAAAGTTGGTATTTTTGTAGTGTGAGAAAGCCATGCCTGAGCTACATAGTGGTATCAATGAGTTCTAGAGCCAATCTAAGGATCTATGAGTGGTCCAATTAGGGGGGTTCAAAATTGAAATTTGAAGCCATTTTTGAGGTGTTTTGAATCAAACATTTGTGATTCTTTCAGGATGCACAGAATGTTCAGAAACCACTCAATCTGAAAAACTCCCAATAACAAAATCAAGAAGTTGCTCACAAACACCATAAAAATGGCTCCAAAGTTCAATAGTGAACCCTCCTTATATAATTGGCTGAGGTGGATCTTTCTTAGTTGGTACAGATGGTGTTTACTTACCAGCCAAGAGGTTTCCTCCTTGGCCAGTGGGTATGGTCTGCAACTGCTTGCAAAGGATGAATCAAGCATCCAAAAGCTCAGTCATGAACCCCACTAATTCACATTTATTGTTAGTGCAAAACAATCCAAACATCAGGGATTCCAGGCTTCACTGCCTGTATTGCAATCTTGATTACCACTTCCAGTATAGCTTGGTTGATCCTGCTCATCAGCTCATTGGAAAATTTGAGCATATCATTCTGAAGCCATGAAGCCAGAAGCCAGGATATTTCCACAGCGTGTGGATCCCTCTCTGCATGACCAGGTATCTTGCAATAATGTATCAAAGTGGAAATGACTCCAAAGAGCCACCCAAGTCCCAATCTCAAAACCCACATGCAAGAATTTTTAGTGGGCTCTCCTACAGGGATTTCTTTTGGGTAGTGCCCCCCCTTCCATTTGAGAGGGTCAGTTAAGTTAGATACAGGAATCGCTTGGGAAGATCAGAATTCCATCACTGTAGAGCTTGGGGCATTTGGACTGATTGGCTCTGATTCAGGAGTCTTACTTAGAAAAGCCGAGCCTGCCCCAGGAAGGTAGTGTAGTGACCGGACTATAGGTTCGGTTTTGCCTGTAGCTCGTCTGATTGATCAGCCGTTCAGTGTGTCGAACTTGGGCGGGTGGAGGTCTTCGAGACTTCGACGGCGGACGCAACTTTGGAGGCGGCGGCCCGGCTGTGTCGGAGTCCCGGCGAAGGTCTTTCCGGTCGACGCAACATATGTAGCCAACCGTGTTTTGACATTTTGCTTTTGACTACCCCCCAGGACACCACCTCGCAGACACAGTTTGACCTGGATATGTATGCATGAGCTTTGAGTGCCTCAATCAGATGACTGCCCGTCAACATCCGGAGAATAAAACTGTGCTGCTGGTTGGGGATTAATTCGATGAGGGTTCTGCCGATGTCACAATCCCAAGAGAAAAGCATGTTTGGGCGTCGCTGGTGCATTCACAATCGGAGTGCATTAAAACCTCTCCCATTCGGCGGCTCCAGGAACGAAAACCAAAATACAAACGACATCGCACTGGCGAGGCACCGGTGCGACCTCAACGAATATGTTCTCATATCGCGTTTGAGGTTCAGTAGCGTAACCTCGAGGGTTCCTCAATTGCCCATCTGACCGTTCGCACTTGTGGGTTGCGTCTCCACCTCGAGTACCGGTGTCCTGTTCCACGACTCTATGTGCTCCATTGGGTATCCGATAGGAACAGTAGTATTCTGCGTCGGGTTCTAGGCCATTGCGCCCAGTGACTGAGCTGGCTGCAAGCTCCGCACATCAACATACGCATGTTCATCACGCTCCGGCTGCTACCTCCAGTCGAGCCGTCCATGAGTCGATGTGCCCCCGGTGGCACACAGTCGAGGTGGATCCGTCAATATGGTCATCGATTGCGAATTCAGCGAGGACACATCTACTAACGAAATACGAATTCCGTAACATGTCTGATGACGAGCCCGAGATAAGAAAACTTCATACAGGATTCATCATTTGATCCTAAGCACCCGATTATCAAAGTTATTCACGTTTCACAATCATAACTATTGTTACTTTGAGTTTCATTATCCTGTTCCGATCTGTTCCACATTTGCTTTTGATGTCAAGGTCGGAATGTCCACCTTCCGTTTTGATCATCCGCATTGGCATTTTCGTACCTATTTCCTTCTATTATAAAGAAACGCCAGGAAAACACACCCGGTTTCCTTACGGTCGTTGACGTTACACGCTCTTTTTCACTAAGTTATTGCTAACCATGAATTCAAACCTCATTAGCTTTTTGACAATCTGTCTGGGATTCTGCAACGCCAATCTCTCGCAGAATGGTCCAAACGGTCCTACTTCATCTATCGTCCCCAGTCCTCCAAGAAACTCTACCGACTTACCACTCGGCCCGCAGACTTGGAACGCCCTGAAAATAGACGACTACCTGGCTAATTATCCCGGGGGATCGAACTTGACTCTTCAGGTGAGTGCTTAAACCCAGAGATAAGATTAAAGGAGCGCGCCCACAATATCAGAGTTCTAACGACGTTCTTTTCCCCACTGCACTTCCTGGATTAAAGGACTATGCCTTTTCACATCAAGCCCAGAACTTTATCTGTGGAATCGGTGAAGGTTGCCATGCAGGCCAGGTGTGTCAAAGCTCAACTCGAAGCTCGATTCCAGTTTTGCTAATAGTTCCTTTCAATCCACTATCCCCATTAGCTTGGTAATCCGGTAGCAGCGCCGGACTGGTACGTGTTGTACGCGGCCCAGGAATGGAACGCCGTCCAAAATTCTATTTACACTGCCATCGGTTTCGCGGTTTCAATGGTCCAAGGTGAGGCTTTCCCGAACCACTAGTTGAGGCAAATTACAGCTTGAGAGAAAACTGAACGGATCCCTCCTACTTTGATTATTTCTCCCTCAGCCACTGCGGGAAGCATGGTCACAGATTTGTAAGATTCAGATCCTTACCACGAGGCAGCCCGTTTTCAATTTGACGTCAGCTGACTGGAAGGGGGGCGTTTTATCTAAACGGAACAGATTTGGCACCAAGTCACACTCTATCTTCTTCCGATTACAAGACCTTTTCGTTTTACTCAGTGGCCTCGCCTTCACGGTCGCTGTACTCAGTATTATCATCCCCGGCCCACCCGGCCTGATAGCTGCTAGTGTGATTGCTGGGGCAATCGCAGCGGGTACTAGTACGGTGTTCACCGGGATCAATCTGTATCAAAGCTGGGACCGCACCCCTGATGGCTTCACTCGGGTATTTTCTTTCTCTATCTTCATTTTTTATTTCTCCAGCTCCATGCAATTTGTGCCTAAAGATCGCTTTTTCAAACCACAGTGGTCCTCATATGTTTACTATCTCTCAGAGTGGCAATCTAAAGTCCAAGATAAACTGGCAAATATGACCAGCACCACTATCCAATCCGGCATTTCTTCGCTTCCGGGAATCGCAAACGCTCTAAAAGGAGGGGTCTTCCTGAACAACACGCAGATCGAGGAGCAGCAGAATGTTCAAAAGCAAATCGAACAAACATTAACCGTCCGAATTTTGGTCGACATCCTGCGGACTCAGGTGCGTGCGCTGGAATCTTGATTCAAAATTATGCACATTTGGCTGATTTGTAGTTTTAAACTGGATCAATTTTGATTGTTTAGGGTGGTTATGTAACTTACAAAAGTGTAAATAACCTGTGGTTTTGAACTATGAATCCTCCATCGATGCAATTTTTGCTAACCTCATCACTGACCTCTCGCTGTAGGATCCATGCAATGGTAAAGGTCCAAACGGCGCATGGCGTGGAGACGACGTTCTGTCTTTTTGTAAGGATGGAACGTAAGTCTTCAAGAATTTCTTTTTTTGACGCTGAAAAAGGCGCAAAGGTGGTTACTTATAACTTCGCGGCTTCTTCCTTCCTGCGCCAACAACCTCATAGAATGATGAACATTGTCAAAGCCAAGGGCAAAAAAACCGACAACAAATGGTTTAACGCTCGGGTCATTGCGGACAAGTACAACATCACCACCGAATATCTTGTTACTCAATCCTGGAATTGCTTCCAGAAATACAAAGCCTTCAACTACGATCCTTACCGCAATGGGTAGGCAAACGATAGATGATGATAGGAATTCTGAACAAAAGTTGATCTCAGTTTTTGCGTTTATTCAGAACACTCCCCACAGACGTGAACGCCGAGTGTGTGGCCAACCTCCCAGTTTGTGATTGCACTGACCCAGGTAAGACATCCAATGGCACTAAAACAATTTTAAGAATTTTATAGGGACTGATGCTGTGAATCTTTAACCAACTTCTCCAGCAATCAAAAAAGCTCGTCGGAAGGGTCACACTACCACACGTGCCTGTCGGGATCAAGGCAAACTTCCAATCTAGAACCACCTCCCATTTTCTATATATACCTATATATCTAACAACCATTGTCAATACGCTAAAAAAGCTTTGGATTTCGCTAAATCGTGCCTACTAGACCTTCAGCACGTTCACCTTTTTCATTTCTTCCGTTGATTGGGATTTCTTGGATATAGTCTTTCTAGAATGTCAAAGTTAAATCTTTATGGCTATCAAAGTACCAAGTTTATGAATTTATTTTTGAAACATTACCTTCACTTCCCTCATTGCAAAAAAACATTTGCCCCTGTTTTTTGAAAAGGAAAAACCAATAAAGTTGGACTTGATTATTGATACACTCTACAGTCACCTGTTGGTGTGAACTGGGGCAGAGAAAGAGGTTTGTGGGAGGATATGTTCATTGCATGAATGAAGAGAGAAACAAAACCTCAGAGAAGAAAAAGAAAGAGGAAAGCAAGGAAAGGAAAAGAGAAAAACAGATGGGGACATACCTGCGGCAGAGAAAGAGGTTTGTGGAAGGATGAGGAGAAGAATCCTTCCACGTACTCTGACCCAGGTATATTCTAGATTTTGTGACATGTGTTTGAGATGAACAGTGAAAGGTGTGAAGCACAAAAATAAAAAGGAGAAACAGAAAAAGAGAAAAAACACTACTCCAACATCAACTCCCTATTGAGCCAAACCCCTTTGTGGATATTTTTTGCTATGGGTTAAGAAGAAGTATGGGTTAATAACTCAAGATTTTACTCATTTTGTCTATTTTGGATGACTAATTTCCAAAAGAATTGTACGGTTTAGAAGGAATTATGGGTTGATGTGTCATGTTAAGAGGGAGCTGACTGTACCAAATCATGATAACACCAATTGCCTGACACCTGAAATAGTAGTCACAAAGTGAGCATGTCTTGATCAGGGCCCCCTTGTTCAATTTTCATTGGAGCAAGCAAAGACTTCCAAGCATAAGAATTTTTCTCATCCAAAACCTTTGCATTAACCTCTTATGATTTCTACCAACAAACACCATGAATAATGTTGAATAATAGCTACTCCTAAGGCCCAATTCCTGTAATGAAGACTTCCCAATAAGCAGGTCTCACAATCCTATGAAGATTTTGTTACAAGACACAAAATCTGTGAACATTAGCACTGCACTGCACTAAAAAGAATCAGAGACATAAACAGGCGGTCAAAGAACCAAAAAAGGAGCTTGGAGTATGCTAGCTTGTGTGGCAGAATAAGAGCTCACACTACAGGAGGTTGTATCCAGTAGTGACCTCAGGGGAATGGCACAGAAGACATTTGATTTCATTTCCAACTCCGAAGCATGTATATTTATCTATTACAACTGTGAGGTGCAAAGTTGTGGTACAGAAGGTGGAATCAATATCCAACTGAAGCAAAATAAAAGAATAACATGCGTGAATTAGTGAAATGGAAGGGAAAGAGAAAGGAGAAGAGAGACCAGACAACAGCAGATTTCCAACAATAACAGCTATGGTAAGATTTTACAAGCATTTTCAAAATCAAGCTCAACCTGACCATTCAATTCGAATTTGATGGTAAGTTTATGTCTCATTTGAATAATCTTTGACAAATCTATTCACTTTTTGGATCTTCTGTAACTGATATTTACAGTCTTTGGAAAGGGAACCCAGGTCATAGATTGACATGCCTTGCAGAAAGCAAATTACAGGTTTTTGTGGCCTTCTGTCATAATGTAACCTATTACTATTCAAGAATTTCTCCACAGTAACTGGAGGACTTCCCATCAACATCTGCGGGTCTCCCAGAGTCGGTTTAGATCCGCGAAATTCAAATTTCTCTGCAAGAATTAAGAGTTTTCGGGTCTAGATCAACTTCTGTGAGGGTCCCCGATCCGACGGGAAGTCCTCCACTGTGCATACAAGGATGGCTGAGAGCATTTGCAATGGTCTGATTAACTGGGGTTAGAGGTCCAGGTTAGCTAGCTAGCCTACTGAGTTAACAAACCCCTGGAGCAAGATTGCTTAATTTAAGCTTAACAATTCCTAAATTTAGCAACCAAAAACCTCATTTTGGTTAACTAAACTGTTGCTCACCTCCCATCAATGTGAGTGCACAAACAGCCTTTGTTGAGTCAACTCACCTGAACCCAGTGATTTAACCGGAACGATAGAAATGCTCTGAGTTAATGGTTGAGTAACATCCAAGTAACAAACCACCTGTCAAGAGAGTTTCTGAATGTCAACTGGCAGCAGTTCCTTGAGATTTTTCAAAGTGCAGTCCAGCTGGGTCTCCTTTTTTGTTCTTGTGTTGCAACACTTGAGCTTTTTCAACCCACTCATTCTTGAAGGTGCATGTTGATGTGAGCAAATTGAATTCAAAACTTATTTTGGAAGATTTCGCGTGCAATTCTTGTTCACAACAAACCAATGTCTCCAAATCGCAATGCTGATTATCTCCTTGCATCGTTTCGTTTCGACTTCTTCCATGTATGTATTTCTGGGCGGTGAGCCCGTTTTAGAAATGTAATCTACAAGTGTAAATAGCTGTTTGAATGCTCCTATCAAATAAAGGAGGCAGTGAGATGAAGTCAGCCAAACAAATTAATTCCTCGGCGGCGATTCACATTCAGGCTTTTGGGCAGGGGATCAACGCGGGATGTCATTGTTATCTTTTCAATGCAAGTGATCGTGATTACTATCGATCACAATTTCTTGCCGCCATATCTGTGCTGTTTAAATTAAACTGGTTCCACCCTTTGTTTCAAGCTTACGGACTGCAGTCGTTCATTATACAAGCCGTTCGTCAACAGTCTTCAAGACCTGCGACCCACAGCACCTGGTCGCAGAAGTGTCGAGGTAAATCCCTGATCGATGAAAGGAATGCGATAAGTAGCGCTCATCGAGTGGCAGTTGGAAGTTACCTTATTGAAATATCCTGGCTTCCACAAAACAGGTTCTCATAACTCGTTACTGGTTGGTAGACAAGTATTTTGAGCTCACAATGATATTTACGTTCGGGAACTTGATCATTTTCAGCCTAGTTTTCCTGTTATCCCTTCTAATCAAGTAGTGGGTAAAATTTTAAAGCTTGGCTCGGTACTTCCTTGTACCATCACACAGTAATCTGATTATAATCTGTTTGATCCGAACATGACATATGACTGTCCACCATGATAGTCCGAATAGAGGTAGCTAGAGTTGTCACCAACGACTTCGAAAGAAAGCCGTAAAGCTAATCTTGCACCAAATTTCCTTTTGTCAAGCGATCGGCACTAAGAAGAGAAACGATCCATCATTTTCCGAAATACCCGGATGGCCCTTGTAGGTTCTCTACTGACATGACACTCCCTTCAAAATTCATGAACTCGCCCGCTGATTCCTTCTTATATTTCTCTCCCAAAGAATCGGAGCGGTCAGCAACCCTGATCAATCCTTGTTGCAGGGTAAAACCGCTAAACCAAACCTTTCACCCGCCTAATAACTCTACGTTTGTTCTCTATAGTTACCCGCGGTGATGAAAAACAGAGCTCGAGTATTGGAGTTCCTTACAAACAACGGATTGAAATATGGGCTTGGTTTTAGCTTTACCCTGCCCGGTTTAAGGGTTGTTGATATCAGCAAACCAGAATGGATTGAGTACATACAAAAGAGTAAGCTAGCTAATTCTAGTATTGTACAAAATGCGTCGCTACTGAAGAATTGATCAGACAATTTGCTCTTCTTTCAATCTAGCAAACTTTGAAAACTATGTCAAGGTATTTGAAATTTACTGGGCGTCACCATCCCAATCACTTTTCTGGGGTCTCATGTCTGAGTTTCCTTGCAGAGTCTGTTATTTCAACCCATGTGGGACGTGTTTGGACAAGGTATTTTTATGACAGACGGTACGGTGTGGAAGAGATCTCGACATGCTATTTCGACCATATTTACCAACAAAACCTTCAAGGTAGACTTTTTTTAAAAAGATAATTATCATGATAACGAGAAATGCTTATCAGATCGCTTGTTTTTTGATATTATTGATTAGAATATTATTGAGCCACACACAGAGAAAAGCTTGGATGGGCTCACGAAAGAGTTACAAGCAGCTGCTGAAGAAAATGGCAGTATCGATTTTTGCCATCTTTTTCATCGTTTTACATTGGACTCATTTGTTGGCATGACGTGAGTTAAACTCTACTCGAAGAAGAATTTGATTTGGTGGGCAAAAACAGAAATAGTGTTTGGTTCGTTGATTTGTCGGTTGTTTCACAGATTTGGGAAGGATTTGGGCATTGTTGGCACCGAATACAGCGATCAATCGGGATTAGGACCTGCTAAGGCTACCTACTCAGCCACCTCGTTTGTCAAGGCGTTTGATTTCGCACAAGATCAGATGGATTTTAGGATGGCTGTTTTGTCCGGATGGAAGCTGATGGAAGCGCTTAATGGCTCAGGAGAGCAGATGAAAAGGTCATGTCGCGTGATCGACGATTTTGCTTACTCCTTGATTGATGAGCGAATGTCTCAATCATCTCACAAAGTTTCTTCTGAAGATGAAGAGTCATCGTCAAAAGACCTCTTGGCACTCTTCATGAATGCTCGTGACGAGCGCGGAGGTGGATTGGGTCGTATCGAATTGAGGGATACTGCAATGAATCTAATCTTTGCTGGTCGGTAAGTCATTGATCAATTTTGGAAAACTCTGAAAGGTTTAACCAAAGATATTTCAAGTTAACTAACAAATGCAAGTAATAGGGATACCACCGCGCAAACATTATCATGGGCATTTTTTCATTTATTAATGAACAAGGGTCTGATTTCGAAAGTGCGAGAGGAAGGAAACGATATTTTGGGCGAGGGAGAAGGCAGTCGAAGAGGAGTAACATACGCCAATCATAAGAAATTTCTTTGGTCTCATGCAGTTGTGCTCGAAACCCTCAGGTTACATCCAAGTGTTCCAAAGGTCACTTAATCATTCTTCTCAAATACATAATAGCCACTGTACTAAATGCTTTTTACTTTGACTTTGGTAGAATGGTAAGATTGCTCTGTCAGATGATAAAATTCCTGGAGGACCACTTATTCAGGCCGGCGACATGGTTCGATGGAGGTTGTCAATTCTTTTTTCATGTGATTTTGTCTGCTGGAACTGATGGCTTTTGTTTCCTCGCCTTCAGTGATTGGAAAATGGGTCGAGATGCTGGAATCTGGGGGCCTGATTGCGCAGAATTCAAGCCCGATCGTTGGATTGATGAGAAGGGTAGCATGAAGCAATTCGGACAGTTCAAATTTCACGCTTTCAACGTAAGTTCTTTTGGATAGACATTCAGTGGAAAAATTACAAAATCTTTTGGCTAACATTCTTTCATCTTTACCTAAAAATGATGTACCACAACACCAGGGTGGACCAAGAATTTGTTTAGGGATGAATCTTGCGATTTTTGAAGCTGTAAAAGTGATTGTTGAAGTTTTTAGAAGCTTCGAGTTGGAATTCGCCGCTGGGTGGTAAGTAGGCTTTAAAGTTTCACGTGATCGTTCCCATTTCTGAATCTCTTTCAACAACCACATAAGTTCAAAGAAGCAGTTTGGCAAACAACCCACTGAATACTGATTGTTAAAACTGATTCGAAAAAATAGGTTAGAAAATGTTCCAAAAAGCGAGTTCATAGAGGGCATCGCTGGTTCTTATAGGGTTCCAAAGTACAAGGCTTCCATCACTTTACCAATGGAAAATCCTATGATGATTTCTGTGAGGAATTATGGGGCTTGAAAAGTGAAAAAAACCACTTGTGTGTCACCTGACGTGTACAAATATACTTTAGCCTTAGGTCATGATACTCTTACTTGATATGTATAACCAACGATAAGATGTAAACAATCCTCTTTCAACATCAGATTCTTTGAAAATGTCAAAAACACAAGCAATCCAACACTTCTAGTATAAGCTCTTCAAAAAATCCGGCATTTTTCACAGTGATGGTCCACTACACTAAACACCCCCTACTGTCAGCATGGCATCCCTCAAGTCAGTGCACCTGCCCCCAAATCTGTGGTTTGAGCATGCTTTCAGTGCAACCATGCTGTATCAAACTATGCTACAGTGCTTTTAGCAGCAAAAAAACACCAAAAAAACTCTGAAATGCACTGTAGCACATCACAATTGGCCTGTTTTGTAGCCTGCCCACATGGTGCTAGCACAGAGCCAACAGAATTCTGCTGTGCTTCACTAAATTCCACTGAACTGCACTGACACAAGGCTGTGACCCAAATGTGGGCCACAGTGTCTCACCTCAAGGTGTGACCCCAGGGCTCAGGGCATCAGGATGGGTCTTGTGGACATCCCAAACCCCAGGGCATCTATTAATTTGTTGGGCTTTCTCAATACCACCTCAATCAAGCCCCCCAATTTGCCTGAAAATGCAACCAAGACAAATTTCAGTTCCAACCAATAATTTTGAATAAGGCATAAGTAAAAGATAGACTCACCTGTGAATACATACAAGATATGACATAGGGAAGCAGCCAATGCAAGAGAGGTAAAAAGCCCTGGCTTCCGCATCTTGCTGCAGATTGACAGTCCTGATTGAATTTTTTGACATTTTTGATTGGCCGTGAAGTGCTTTTGCAATTGTCTTCAAGCTGACAGAGCTCCCTTTCTCCTTGATTAACACCTGCTGGATTTTGTCAAGATAGACTGTTGGCTTATTGGCAACTATCATTGTGATGAATGCTAGAAATTCAGCCTCTAATTCAAATGGCCGGCCCTGGGTTAGGTGGGTAGATGGATCACACACAACGGCTTTGGTCCTCTTGTATGTACAGGTTGGTCCATCAGTGTAGGGAATCTTTGCTGACTGAACTGGCCAACAACCTTTTGATCTCATCCAATTTCTTTCCCTTCTTTGCCACCCTGATGGCCACATATTTGAAATCGGTCAAGTACTTTTGTTTTGCCATGGGACCTGGGAGAATTGCAAGATTTTGATAGCTGAAGTGTTGCATACAAGATTCTGTTGAGAGAATGCCTACCAGGTTGATTGGGTAGTCCAACTGATTGAGTGGGTTTGATACTGAAATGTGTTGGTTATGGCTTGGCCTACAGAGGTGACCAGGCAGTGCAGACAAAGCAGTGGCTTGCTCAACCAAGAACTAAGTACATGCACCAGGGGAAAGTTGGGTTTGGGGGAAAAAAATTGTGGAAAAGTGCAATAATTTGCACGATAGCTGAATCTGTTTTGTTGCCTGGAACAGTACACCTAAGACAAGGTTTAAATGCCTGAATTTCAGGTCAATTTTGAGCCAAACCATTGCCAAAATGCACCATCCCCACCTTTTTTGGGGGAGACTTTCAAGGATTTTCTCACTTTCTGGGGGGTTTTCCCCCAGGCATACCCACAAAACAGGTATGAATGACCCTAAAAATGGTGTTCTTCCATGGCCCCCAGTGTATGAATTTGGGGAAAATCTGTTTTTTTTTTTTTTGGTTACTCACATGTATAGGGGTTTTTCCTGGGTCCTGGTCAATCTGAACCTGTCCCTCTCCCCATGTTTTGTCTACATACAATCCTTGATTTTGTTCTTCTTGGAAGCAGTACAAGTTGATGATAATCTGTGTAAGTTGTTTATATGTATGTATGCTTGAGAGTTGAGTGAGAATGATTAGATTGGTGGTGGAGTTTGATGATTGCTGTTAGCCTCCAGTGCTTGGATTCGAGAGTTGATATGATTGACTAGACGATTGGTTAATCTGGAGAGTGCTTCTTGTTTTTGTTGTTCTTGTTGAGCATGGATCTCGATTAAGTGGAGGATATGTTTCTGGGTGTCTGAATCGATTTCGAGTGTTTTTTGACCCTCTTCGTCGGTCGTTGGACTCTCTGAGATGAGTTTGTCTAGGTAGGCAATCAGCGGAGATGGTCCGAGTTGTTCGACAGTCGCCCTCGTTGATGTTTTGTTGTGATGAGTCTGTTCGATTGATGAGCTCTGTCGATCGTGTTCGTTGGAGTCATATTGTTCTTGTTCAGCTGTGTTGTTCATGGTTTCTGGTTTTGGTTTGAGTGAGCTGGTTGCAGTTGGAGATCATGACATCATAAGTTCGATTAGGGTTTCTGGTTGGTTTGTTCTGGTGCAGTGAGTGTGGGGAGTTGAAGAAGTGGTCAACAAGAAAGATGACCGAACAACTACAAGAAGGACTAATCCAAAAAATCAAAACAACAACAACAACAACTCAAGAAGAACTCAAGGAAATACTCAAGACGATCAAACAACCATCATCATCAGCAGAACAAGAACAGAGCAAACTGATTAGCAGCATACAACTAGCCATCATCCAAGCACACCCACTCCAAGCAACCAACAACCTCAACTGGTTCACCAAAAACTCACTCACTGCCAAACTAACCATCCAAAACATCAGCCTATCACTCAAGACAAAACAAATACCAATCACTCCAATCCTCAAACTACTCAAACTCACCCTAGAAACCTACCAACTATCAGACTACTACCAACAGATCATCAAAACAACAACAACAACAACAGAGCAACTCCCAATACTCCAATGGAAGTCCTTCATCAATACCCTCTTCAGCTTACCAGACAAACTATCCCCATTCATATACTCAAAAACAACAACAACAACAACAGATGCAGATGCAGATCTTTACCAGCAATTCCAACCAAAGTTAGTTTTCTATATCTCATCTTTTCCAAGATCATAATAGCTGACTTCAAAAATCATCACACAGGAATTTCTTCGCAAGGATCAGCCGACAGTTTCATTCCTTGGTCGAATTCCTATCATCAACTCACATCCATCCTACTCCGGCCATTCAAATCCAAGCACCAGAGTTCATCCTCAACAAATTCATCAACATCCGATTCATCTCACTTGACATCCAGCAGCAGCACCAAGACCTATTCTCATCCATCTGGTCCCAACTCATAACTGCCCCACTCGATCATCGATCAAATAACCGACTATGGAACTCGATCATCTTCAGCCTACCCAGGACCGAACTCAAATCATTCATTAGCTCCTTCCTCCTCCGCCTCCAAGCAGATCTACCATTCCAAGACCTTCAATTCTCCACCGAACCTCAAGCCTTAGCCATCGAACGTGCCGGTGCTGAACTCTTGAAGTTCTACTTTGGAGATTGGGGGTGTGAGAATCGACTAGGTACCGCGGATATCTACGAACTGCTGACCGAGATCGTGACGAGTACCGATGGGTGGACGATCCCCACCGCCCGCTGGATCGCCAGATGGGCGTCGATTGATACTCATCTTGATGAAAGCTCGCTGACGGCCCGTTCACGACTGGCCCAGAGTGCGCTGGCTGCATTTGCCAGTCCCAATCAGATCGCGCATGGAACTCCCTCCCGACACGCGTTCTTGCTCGTCTTGCTCCTACTCACCGCATGTCCGATCAAAGCTGAGCTCATCCAATCAACCCAAAACGTCTCCCTCGACCCGATCTTTGTCGAGGCCATCCAACGCTCACTCGGCTGTTTGCGGTCTCAGTTCAGACTCCTGGGAATGCTCATGGCCGAAGTGATGACCGAGTTCAACCGCTTACCCGGCTCTGTCAAGCTCGACTTTGGACACGACTTTGAGGCCGTAGACGATCCGGAAAATCGACTCTGTGTCGCGATTCGTAGGCTGAGTCATCACTGGGACTCGTCTCCTCCCGACTCACTCTGGCGCGATTTGTTGTCTTCCATGGCTGCCAAACACCGTCCACAATTCATCACCGGTGGCCCATCCTACGATCAACCTTCCTCTGGTCACCAGAGTCCCCGAGAAAACAAGCAAATCGCACCACCAAGCCGATTCACTGAGCCAAACGAACTCACTTTGACTGAGCTTCGTTTGAGACCTGACGCCCCTATCCCGAGTCGCGCGGGGAAACCTCGGATCGAAGTACTAGATAGCAGTGCTTCCAAAGATCCGCCATTAGAGGCATACGAGATCTCAGACAAAGACCACGAGGACCTCTACCCTCCTCCTCAAGATCGTTCCAATGAGAAGACTGCCTCGAGCCTCGAGCCTGAGTTCGACTACGCTCAGATGAAGGATCAGGCCTCTCAGCCACCCGTCTATCTCGATCAACTCTCGCAGTTCTTGAAGGATTCTCAGAACTTCGAACGCGTTAAAATCGGGCTTACTCATGCTGAAAACCTGATCAGAAGGAAACGGAATTGGGGCACCGAATTAAGTCAGTTTATGATTACTCTCCCTCGCAAAATCCAAACAAAATTCAGGCTAACATATCTAATGTCCTTTTTTTGTAATGATGACGATATCAGTTGAACATGCATCCGATCTGACGTTCACCTTACTAAACTTACAAGACAATTTTGATTTGGAAGGGTTTGAAAGATACAGACAAGCGAGTCTAGTAGCCCTCCTAACGAGTGCCCCGATGATCGTTGGACCATGCATAATCGAGCAACTCTTTTACCACCAATACAGCATCATCCAGCGGCTGGGGATGCTTGATTCTCTGGTCCGAGCGACCCTAGAGCTGGGCGACTTTCAGCACCAACAGGGGCTTCCCCAAAATGAGCCCAAAACGAACGAGCAGGAGTTCAAGAAGATCAAGTCGCCGGCGATTCATCAGCTGCTCTTGGATTATCAATCCTCCTCTTCTGAGGTGTCCTCACATAGAAGAGCCCTTCCAGAGGGATCCTCGTCCGTCTTGTTGCCCAACCCCGCGCCCACCCTCGAATACATTGCCCAACAACCACCGCCAACACGCTTGAGTGCGCGTCTAATCAACCAACGCAAGCAATACCAATCTCTTGATCGACAGTCTGACCCAAACCACTCGCTCTCCTCACCCGGCTCCAAACCTCCCCGTCATCTCGAGAAGATCTTCTTGAACTTGTTGGTCACCAGACTCGCCTGGTATCTCGATTCGACTTTTTCTGAAGGTGGGGGGCGATCAAGCTCGATTACCGGGCCGGGTTCGATGATCCTATGGGACCCGTTCCTGCTCTTCAAACTGGTCCAGACCATCCAACTCTTCAGCCTCTTGACCCTCTCTCGTCTTCATCCCTCTTCCTCATCTGGGAACCACATCGATCCGCAATCGGTCATCGAGATCAAAGAGGTCGTCGCCCTGCTCCTCCGGATCCTCGGCTTCCTTCGCCCTCCTACTAATGCTAATCATTCTCCCCTTCTTCTTCACCCAAAGGAACAAGATGATGATGATGATGATGATGATGGGGATGTTAATAGGCCGCGGATCGTAGGCCTGATCGTCTCGCTGATCATCCACTTGATCTCTGCGCTTTCATCCTCCTCCTTCTCTTCTCTTACCCCTTCTTCTTCTTCTTCTGGGTATCCCACCCCTGAAACGCTCCTTTCCTCTGATTCTTCACTCATATGTCCTCCCACTTGGAACGCCCAATCGGTCCATCTGGATCTCTTGTTCCAACAGTTCTCGGCCCTCGTCTCAGAGGACAACCATCGTCGGCCCTCGGCTCCTCTTGACGATCTCGTCGGCGGGGCTGTCGATCAGAGGTTCGTGGACGAGAAGGCAGACCGGCTCGTCCGTGTCGTCACTCAAATATTACAATTAATCGCTTGAAAGTTCTCTCTCTATTTTTCTTGGTATTATGTATCTGACAAAAAAAACTCCATTCTCAAATTACCAATTTACCTTTTTTTTTCTGTTGTTATTGTAGGTGTTTGTTGTTGAGAGAAGAGGAAGCAGAAGAAGAGGAGGAGGAGGAGCAGGAAGAGGAGGATGGTCAATGGTAGATGGAGATACAGCCGGATTCTGGATCTGAGGAAGCTCATGCAGACACTCACACTTCCTGCAAAGCTGATGTCAATTTAACTTCAGTGACACTGCATACAGAGCCTGTGGACATGGGAAAACGATGGATAATGATTTGAGAAACCTTGGAACATGAGTTTGGAGTCTCTTTCACTACAAAAACAAAAACTTGAGAAACTGGTGGCAGTTGAGATCCAAAGACTTTGCTGAAAGTTAAACTTGGATGCATAGTAACTGTGCTCAGTGCAGTGTCTGTGCTGCTGCAGAAGAATTGGTTCTGGGATAACTTGCAGTTGTGACTCATCAGTTGATGCCAGAGTATCCCAGCAATCACATTATCACCTGAAATTTTCTGGCAGTGTTTAGATATTGTACTTGTAGGCATCTCACTGGGGACAGTGTTTCTGTGATGTCTGTGTACTTATGCTTCTTGAGCATACTAGGACAATTTCTTGGAGAGACTGTTGATGTCATCCAACCTGATAGAAACAAAAAAACAACAACAACTGATCTTTGGTATGTATCAAACAGCACATTTAATCTCAATCGTTTCATGGTTTTATACACTTGTGTTGTCAGTAGGGATAGCTTCCATTGTTCCAAGAAAAAAGAAATTCAGATACTCTTGCATCCTCAAACTTGAGCAGCAACAAGGAAAGAAAGTGGCCAAATCATGCGCTTGAAATGTGTATGAATTGGGGATTGTTTGCTTGAAATGGTATTCATCAAGGAGACTTTCTTGAGGTATGTGACTAGAGCTAGTTACAGCCCATAAAATCTTGGGAATTCAGCCCCAGACCGCACGTTTTACCAGGATGCTCACCCACTTTTTAGGGCATTTTAGCCCAAGCATGCTCTAGTGGAAAGGCATGCAAAACAATGGACTCCCCATTGACGGGATCCTAGGTATGGATGTTGCCAAAATTTTTGAAACTTTTTGAAGACCCCTAACCCCTCCCTATCCTAGTAGGGCTTGCCAGAGTCCTGCTGATCATACTGTGGCCCATGGCATTGTACTGTACAAGGTTTTGCAATGTCCAAAAGGTCGGGGCCCAAAACTTGGATTTTTTTGTGATTTTCGCCTGTTTTTGGGGGGTTGAGATGTAAATCCGGTGTCACAGCTGCTGTAATTGACCTGTGAAACACACTTTAAGCTCTTTTTTTTTTTTTTTTTTTTTTAAGTGCCGATTTGGTTTAACATTGCGCACTATGCATATTCATCTGATTGACAAAGACAGTTGTGGATCTACAACCGTGCGTATGTAACTAGAATAATAGAAGAATGACTGTTTTTCTGTAGGGAGTATACTAGCAGGAATATTGAGGAGAGAAGGAGAAAAAGAGACAATGAAAGATGAAAGAAGAAAGAAAAACAAGAAATAGGAAGGCAGAGGGGGGTGCAAAAGGGAAGCAGAGGATGGACAGGTTCGGGGGGAGTCACTGGGTTGCTGAAAGGGCTCATGTTTATGAGTTTTGGCTTACAGTTGGCCATGTGAGTATGGGATTAGGATACCTCCCTAACCCATAAGTATGTACTAAGACCCTCATACACGACCTGTGTCCGAATGGTCGAGTGAAAAAAAGTTTTTTTTTTTTTGGCTGGACCAAATTGTTTGCAACTTTAGATTTGGAATCTACACACCCTGTAGACTCCAAAAACACACTTATTACAAGTGCTGGACCCCCATTGGGGTTGGGGTTTAACCCTGCGCAACCAGAACAAGTTTTGCGGGCAGCCTTGTACAGTGCAATGCCGCGCGCCACTGTATTCTAAACTTTTCATCATGCATGCATGTCATGCTGATCCACTTGAAAAAAAAATTAAATAATTAAAAATAACTGTTGGTTGGATGGTCCATCTAAATCCTTCCCCTTTCCCCCCAGAAAAATCACTTGAACACTGCCCCGAGAAATTTGGAGATGAAAAAAATGTCTAGATGGCTTAATTTAGTGGGACTGGCTCAACTTTGTTTACTGCAACAGTGAAACAATGCAATGCTCTGTATCAAAGAATCCAATGCAAGCAATGCAATGCAGAGCCCCCACATTGCTCTCTCAATGTGATGTGATGCCTATGCATGCATCAATTCAGTTACATTGTTGTTTACTGGTGAAATCTAGCTTGGGTTTTTCCTTCTAAATAAACAAATGTAGGCAACACAAAGTCCACCACTGCTTTGTGGGATTAAACATGCAATGATAGGAAAATCAATTTTTAATTAATTCTGACAACCAAATTTTAACAATTTGTGTAACAGTATCTGATATATCTTGGTAATCATACCCATATAATATCTCTGAGTGTTACTTTTAATGACAATACTCTGGCTTACCATTTAGAATGACCAATCTTCACATTCACAATTCATACATCACATATTCCTTAGGAATACTCACAGAAAATCCAACCCAATTGATTTAGATCCTTATCAAATCCCTAAAGGAGTTGTACTGTTGTTGATATTCTCTCTATTCATTTTATTTTTGAGAGAAATTATGATGTGTTATAAATGACTGAATGAATGAATGTGGATTAGGTTAATTGAAATGACTTGAAAAAGTTGATTTATTGGTAGGAACTTGGAAATCTTCAACCAACTTTTGGTTTCTCCAATCAAATGATCTTTGAAGTAACTTTGAAAGCTGTTTTTTAGGGTTTTGATCCAAGGTAATCCGCCTCAAAACTGGATTTTTGTCGGATGGAAACCTTAAAAAAAAGACTTTTGAAGAATCTTTGTAGGCACTTTGAAAAGGTTTCAAAGATTTCTGGCCAAGTTTGGTAGGCATTTCAAAGTACACAGATTTTGAAATAGTCTCAAAATATCATGAGAGATAATTGGAAAATCCTGCAGATTATATTGGGGTACCAAGCTTATGACCATAAATCAAATTTGTGTTTGGCTGGCATGGTAGAGATGGCACTTTGGCATCTGTTGGGGGGTACCTGCCACACTTCAGAGCAATCCCTCCACACCCCAGCCACCAGAAATGCAGGTGGAGGGTCCAGTAGTGAGCCTTTTTCATTAATTAACCCTTTTCATGCATCAATTTTGTCTGGTTTTGTGGAGGGAGTGTTCTGAAGTGTGGCAGGTACCCCCCAACAGGTGCCAAATTGCCATCTCTATTGCATGGTATAACATTTAGCCCATACCCAAATATGATGGTTGGATAATACCCCCAGCCATTGGGGATATCCTGTCCCAGGCCAAAATTTACAGTCATAAGTACAGGCTGTCTCCCCTCTTGGCTAAGTTCACTTCCTTCCTCCCCTCATCACCCAGCCTCCAATCACCACCCCCTGCTCCCCTCATCCCCATCAACAATTGTACATGCCACCTTGAAAAAAGCATCCCATAGGGGCTGGGTGCCATGACCTTCCAAGTCCAAATCCATCCTCACAGACTGTTTCTAAAATTTTGTGCCTCATGAACTCTGATTAGAGCCAATATTCACCTCAGATGCCCAATGCTTCCCAACACCATCAGATCCCCAGATCATTGTCTTGCATTGGGCCTGACTTCCTTCTAGTCAGGATGAACTCCACACAGTCTTGGCCAATGAATTTTGCCAGCAGTGTTCTGAGTTGGTGCTTGTAGGGAGTTGTGACATGTCTCTTGAGGCCTTGAGAGTGATGAAGGTGGGTGTATTGGTAAGATTAGTAACAGGCAGCCCCCTGTTAGTTAAATTTATTGTGGCCATCCCAAACAGCCACCGTAATAAATCCACCAATCTTCTAGCTGTGTAATAACAAGTTGGTGGTTTATCAACTTTAATTTGATTATGCGGATTTGAATATATTCATTTATGATATTTTTGACTGCCAAAAGGAGCCTAAATTTGCACCTGTATGTAGTGTAGATAAAGATTAGAGAGTCAGTCTGATACAAACAAACAGGTGACATACCATAGCATCAACATTTCTGTCATTTTTGGGCCTTAGCTGTAAGCTTAAGCCTAGCTTAACTAGAGGCTTATAAGCCTCTCAATGGAGAGGGGGGTCTGGGGGAGGACCCCTGCATCCCTTTGGGATGTTCTCCATAGGAGGGGCTTATGCCAAAAGTCACTTGCACAGCCTGAGGGTGGAAATTTAACTTTCTAATTCTACTCTCTTTAAAAGAAAATTCTGTCATTATCTAAATAGAGCGGATCAAAGGATATGTTATAAAACAGTAACATTGTTACGAAATCCATTCATTAGTTACTACAAACAAAAACTACTACCAAAACAAAAATACTATGAGCTAAAACATTACGAGTTGTACAGTGGGTGGACCGTTATTTTTGGCTGCCTGTTTTGGACCCCAGAGCTCCAGAAAACAGACTTGAAGTTATGAGACTTGTTCAGGTGGTGCATAGTAGGTCCCAGAAAATGAATATGAAAAAATAAAAACAAAAAGTAAACTTTCAAAATTTGTGAAAAATAAAAAATAAAACTCATTTTTTTCAAAACCTTTGATATTCATTTTGGGGGAGTGGGAGTGCTGAGAGAAAGAAAGAGGGGAACATGGGAAGAATGATTATAAATGAAAAAAATTGGAACCAAAAAAGGTTTGGCCAGGTTGGTTGTCCAGATTGCAGCCAAAACAGTAAATACTAGTGCTTGACTGCAATGTGGGCTGGTGAATGCCTCACTCAACAGCTGTTTGAAGCCATCTGGAAACCAATTTTTCCAAAATTTTCATTTATAATCATTCTTCTCATTTCCCAATCTTTCTTTCTCTCAGCACTCCCACTCCCCCAAAATGAATATCAAAGCTTTTGAGAAAAACAAATTTTATTTTTTATTTTTCACAAATTTTCAAACTTTGTTTTTTGTTTTTATTTTTTCATATTCATTTTTTGGGACCTATTCTGCACCAATTGACCAATCCCCATGAATTCAATTTGGTGCTTTGAAGCTCTGGGATCCAAAACCAGCAGCCAAAAATAATGGTCCACCCACTGTACATATATAAGACACAGTTGTTTTCCCTCCTTATTTCTGTTTCCTCAAGAGACTTATTTTGTTATCTTACTTTATCATTATCAAAATATAGTATCCAAAGTCCTTTTTACAGTAAAAATAAAATCAAGTAAAGAATTCAAAAGTTCTGAAAGTTCCTAGTAGAGTTCAGAATTTTCGGTGTTCTTTACATTCCATGGACTGATCAAATCTTTACATCACCATAGTTTCCAGGGCAGATTGATTGATGGGTATGTGATGTGATGAGGACTAGTACAAAAACACACTGATTTCAATGGTGCCATGGGCAAAAATGGAATCATTGAGGTTGAGGGTGGAATTGGGTCAAAAGGACTTGTTCAGCTAAATGGCTGGGTGGCCTCAAGCCAAATTCTGCTCATTTGTCACAAGTCCCTGCCCTTCACGAGGCCTAAGCCCGTCAATCGGGGCCTCGGACATGCCCGATTAACCGCGTGTCGGTAGGTCGGGGTTCAAGTCACGTCAAAAACCCTTTGTAACAGAAATTTATCACACAGCCAAAAACCAAAATAATACACAAACACGGACGACTTCAAAGAGAAACCAAACTCAAGATCCTACGAACTAGATAGAAAGAAGACAGAAAAAAGAAGAAATGAGAACGGCTGTTTAGGACACGAGAGCGGGTATTTGGGAAACGAGAGCGGATAATTAGGAAACGAGGACGCATATACATACTAGAACGAGCACAAGCACCAAGGACCTACAAGCAACAACATCGCTGGATTTTCCGTTGGATAATGACTTCGACTACCGCCATTGATCGCGAAATAATCCCACCCAGTCCAACAGATATCTTCAAGAACCTTACTGTTTTTATTGATCCTTCACTACCTGCGATCTTGGCATTACAAGTACGCGAGTACATGCGACCTTCTTCAGAGAATTAGTATTAATCTTCAACTGACTCTTTACCAAAACACGTTTTCAACTTTCGCAAAAAAAATAATTATATGCGTCTCCTCAGCTCAAGGCGTTACTTATACACAACCGCGCGAAGGTTGCCTCAGATTCAACACCGGATATCGATCAGGTCTTAGCTTCAATCCAAGTTGATTCTCCCACAGATACTACCGATCAAGCTGGTTCCTCCAAGCCTTCTCGCCTTCTCATCTCAAACCTCAAGCCCCGCTTCGATCTCACTGAGACCACTCATGTTATTACCAACTCCATACACTTGCCTGAATACATCGCGCTTGGTAGATGGGAAGACGAAGCTGGTAACATTATCTCCTTCTCATATCAACTTCAATCCACTCCAAACAATGGCAACGACGCCCAGGAGGAATCTAGACCATCTCCCGATCCCAACATTCCCAGAGTCCATCGGTCTATTTATCTTGTGACACCGCTATGGGTCACCCAATGTTATGATCTCAACAAATTGTTACCAACCAGCGCGTATTCCCCCGACCCTTACAAGTTCTTATCTGGGATCGTGATTGCTTTGGACTCGGGTGCAAAACTACCAAGGGCCGATGTTGAATTGATTCAAGCTTGTGTCCAAGCTTGGGGCGGTCAATTCCGACAAGGTTTAACCAAAGAAGTAACCCATCTGATTTGCTGTGATGAGGATACGCGGGACTACAAGATTGCCAACAAATTGAAGGTCGAACTGGGTCTGAAGATCGTCCTGCCGCACTGGTTGGTTGGCTTACTCCAAAACACCCCATTCAAGTGTACTTCCAACCGTGAATTGAATCTCTTGACTGATTAATAGTCTTCTTTAGGTTTCATCACTCAGTTTCCTTCCGCCGTATTATTTCAGAAAAGCCTTTTGAATTCCCCTCTCCAGAAATCCTCAAAGCGCGCTCTCCGTCGATGTCGGCAGATTGTCAGCATGGAATCAACGGCCTACCTGGGACCAAGCTTCCACCCATTGGAAACCCGATCGAGGAAGACCCCGAGGTTGAATCACATTCACACAAGAAAGCCACTGAGATGGCTTTTGGTGCTCAGAATGTATCTACGAGACCTGTGAGTCAGGGTTTGTTTGATTACTTGCAAGTAACCAACCCAGATTCTTTGGAGGAAAATCCGACTATTAAGCACTCGTCCAAACTACCGCAGCATTCGCTCAAGGATACTCCGGCATATCGTGAATTTCAAGACAAGTCTGTATATTTGGTCTCTTCCTTAGGCCTTAGTTTGTCGGCTCGAAGGACCCTGTCCAGAAGAATAGAAGAGCTTGGAGCAAAGGTGTTTGATGGCGGTGATATGAAACTCACAAAACTTGATAAAGTTCGATCGGATGCAAAGCTCCTGAAAGACGCGACTAATGCGGAGGAGAACTTGAAGAACTCGGACATTGTGATTTGTGAGTGTAGAACTGGATGGGAATTTTGGCTAGCGTGGGACCAAGGCAAGAAGATCGGAACCCTGCACTGGATCTTGTGTATCTTAAACAATCTCGATTCCCCCACCTTCGCAATCCGACCCCCAACAGAAAGGTTACTAGACTTTCCCTGTCCCCCGGGGCCCATCAGTGGCTGCGACCCCGAAAGCAAGCCAATCACAGTTACAAACTACGCTGGGGCGGCACGTGCGCATCTAATAAAACTAATCGAGAAGATGCATATGACATTTAGTGGGGCGCTTGATCAGAACACGTTCATGGTGGTTGCTGCCAAGTTAGTATCTACCTGCAGTTTTATGTGCAGCAGGACACCTTACTGACGCCGCGTGTTTTTTTGTTTTGTTTTGTTAATACTGCTTTTGATCAGTAAGGCAGGGTCGAAAGTGGATTTTGCTAACAAGAGTGGAATTCAGATTGTGAACCACCACTACATCGAAGATTGCTTCCAAAATTGGTCAAAGCAAAGTATCCAAACACATCATCTGACCTTTCCTGATGGTGTGAATATTTGTGAATTGGTCGGACAAGTCACCCGAACGCTTGATGGGATCTCCAAGTGGACTAAGCGCACCGAAGTTAAGGAGCAAAAGAAACGGGATCTGTCCGTCTTGCCTTCAAAACTCGTCAAAATTCCTCTCTCAGAGATCTCTTCAACGATACCCCCCGAAGATGGGAACCCTCAGCCTTCTACGTCGACAGTGCTCCAACAAATCAACAACTTTCCGCAAAATCCAGAAGCTAGCGTAGCAGAAGCACCAACAGCCAAACGCGTGAACCGAAAACCACGTTTGATATCAGACTCTACTGAACTTTCAAGAATTTCTGCATCAGATATCTTGATGGCAGATGAACCACGATTGCCATCGGATTCTGCTGAACTTTCAAGTCTTAATGCTTCAGATATTTTGAAGGTAGCAGCTATTGAGCCACTGGAGAGTCCTAGGAATTCTTCAAGCCGAGGATCAATTCCCCCGATAGAAGTAGACGATCGCGATCTTGCCTTAATTACACCACGACCCAGTCGTCAATCACCTCGGAAGCGTTCCTCTACACTGGTCGAATTAGATTCCAATCCATCGAAAAAAACTAAGAAGGGATCCAATACTGATACCGAGACCAAAAAGCTTGACACAACTGCTCCACCATCCCGAGCGTCCCCGCCTGATCGACCTGGCAGCGTAGGCGGTCGAGATAGTAGTCCGATCTCGACACCAATCCAGCCCAAGCTTACCAAATCAGCGAAGCGGCCAGTCTCGTCGAAAAAGGCGTTGATGAGAACTACCCCCACGGCTCCACTTTCAGCCACCCGGTCATCAACTCGTAAAGCAGCTCAAGTGGCTATTCAGAATGTCAAAAGTGCGGCCGAAGATATGAACTTGCACGAAAAGGAGAAAAAGAAAAAGCGGATCTCGGGTGGGCCTTTGATTGGCATGGAAGATGGTGGCTACTTTGGGTCACCGAAAAAACCTAGCCAGCCAGCTTCCAGAAAACAATCTAAAGACCCCGTTAAACGCGAAGCGGATGAGCAGAGTGAGGCGATTTCAAATGAAGAAGGAAAATTGCCGAATTTGGGACTATCCAAGAAGAAAGGAAAGCGAGCGAGTGGTGAGAGCAAGTCTGCCCCAGACGATGAAGCTCAAAGTAGTGACCTAGAGTCTCTGACGATCAAGGGCGTGAAAAAGCCTAAGCAAAAGGTGAAGGTCGAGGACTCGGAGCTGGATTATCTATCCAAGTCGATATCAGTCGATCATCTTGACCGCAAGACCAAATCGACACTCGGATCCAGATCCAATTCGACCCTTGCTGGCTCATCAAGTTCGAGAAAGATTTGTATTACTGAAAGTGGTACCAGGATCGGGCCGAAGATTTCTAACGTGAGTAGCTCTTCAAAGGTCCCCTCAATTCCAGCTCTTATTGCATCTGTTAAACTTCATTTACCAACTAACGCGCACTTCTTGGATCGACCTTGCGTGTTGAACCAGAAATTGGGCAAGATGGGCGCTAAGTTCATCGAGTCCACTCCTTCACTCAATGACGGTTGCACACATCTGTTGACGAATAAAATCGCCCGCACTGAGAAGTTCCTTAGCTGTATCGTCTTGGGTTGTTTTATCGTTGACCATCAATGGGCTGAGGAATGCGCCAAAAGGAATGAATTTGTTGGTAAGGATCTTTACTGTTTCCTCACCCAAATGACACCCCGTATCATTGTTTCTTTTAACGAATCTATTATTTCTTCATCGTAGATGAAGAAGGATACGAATTGAAAGATTTGGAAGGCGAACGGTTGCATAAGTTCGAACTAAGTCGATCTCTAAAGATCGCTAGGACTCATAAGATATTGACCGGGTTTCAAATCTTTTTGACCCCTTATGTTGCTAATCAACATTCTAAACTGTTGAAGAAATTGATCTTACTCGCCGGAGGACAAGTTGCGTACATCCTTTCTCTCTGGTCTGCCCACGCATTTTCTCTCAGGAAAAGCAACCACAATCGATGGATTTTAATACATATTTTCTTGTGTAAAATGGCCAATATCAAATAGGTTGCAACCAAAATCCCACCGCTCCAAGACCTTCAAAGGACGGCCGACGAGATCAAGAGACAAAACTCCCTAGAAAACGATGATGATGGTTCAGGAGGCAGAGGGGGAAACAAATCATTGATAGTTTCGTGCAAAGAAGACCACAAATATTTGAAGACCCATCTGATCAAGAAGTTCCCGACCAAGTTTCTAATAAGTGATGATGACTATCCGAACGGTTCAGACGATGATGATGAACCTTCCTTGATCAGAATCTTTGACTCAAATTTGATTTTACAAGGTTCGTGTTTTCTGTCTTCTTCTACGGCTGTTTCAGTAATCAGTTGCTACATTAAGACTAACCCTGTCTGCGCATCCGTTTTGCTTTATTTTTTTTTTTGACTGGTCAGGACTGTTGGTTCAGGAGATCAAATTCGAGAAGAGATTTGTGCTTGATTGTTCTGGACTTTTGTAGCCTTAAACGCATTTCGATATACCCCACATATTCAGCTCTATTTCTCTGACCTTGATCAGGACAGCACTCCTCTATTGCCTCAAATCATTCCTTTCTTTCTCCCTCTCCCCCTCTCCCTCTCTGTGGGCATCTGACGACAGCAGTAGCCTTTTGTTTTCTTTGTATCCGTAGTCCATTTATCTCATTAAGTACACATACCCCCATTACCCTGTTTTGTATCAAACAAAACACAAAAACTCACAGCAATTAAGTCGGGCAACCGTAATAACTGATGAAAAATCAGTCAGTTGTTCCATTTGCATAATGGCTAACAAATCCTCTTGTCTGTTCATAGCACAGGCAAGTCCGATTGCCAGGCACTCATTGTAAAGTAATCACAGATCCCTTCGACCGTGACTCTTGGAATTCAACAGCCGTTGACCAGATCCATGATTTGTCACTGGTAGGGCTGAGGGGGTGGCTGGCAGTCTGTGAGTGTGAGGCTTAGAGCGTCACTCAAACAACAGAAAGCCGGTTACTCGAACGGGAAAGCATCTCATTCTTCTCCCGACGAAGTATAGATAGGTAGGTGCATACTGTAACACGTAAAGCTTTTGAAGTTGGATGTGGGGGCGTTTTCTCCCGGCATCCACTCTTCTGCTATTGCAAAGTGCTCACCGCTTTGGAGGTGACAAACAACGGATCTCGAAGGCAGGATTATTATTTGGAAGAGGTAAAGGTTGCCGTGAACGACCGTCTCTTCCACGACTCGATAGGGCGCATGTTCAATCAAGTGGCAACCTGGCAAGCAAGGTTGTGTTTCATGGCTCTGCGACAGTGCCTCCCAATCGTTGGCCCGATCGCGTTGGAGCCTCAGTCTCAACAGTGAAGGCAGCCACACACAAAGATCACCAACTTATAAAGACCAAGCTTACTTGGTGTGTCTCCATTCCCTCACTTCCTCACTCCCCATTACTAGAAAGTTTCAACAGTCCCCTTGAGCACTACCAAAAACTACATTGTATATAATCATTAACTCAATCCCGATCGGATTGCTGCTTTCCCCAAGACAAAAATAACCGAAGAAGCATATAAACATTCGCGTGGGTTTAACAGGTATTTATTTCTCTTATGCCTGATGGGCAAGCATCGACAATTTTCAATTGATCTGTATTAACATTGCGACACTTTGTTAAAACTCCTCAGATTCGGACCAACTTGAAAGATGAAGATGCAAATCCTATCCATTATCTTGACCGCAATGACCTTCCTTGCCCTCTGTAAGCAACCGAAATCCGGGCTATTTTTTCCTCTGATTCAAGCACATGGGGACCAAAGAAAAAAAAATCATAACTCACACCATTCGTTCCATTCTTGTCTCTATTTTCAAATCCAGTCGATGGATCGGCGGCAGCTCCAATGCCTAAGAGGAGTTGGTACAAAACACTCGACAGAATTGCAGGAAAGATTCCTATCCCCATATAAACCAAAAGCTTGAAGTTTTGAAACTCTTGAAGAGTGTCTATTTGTTAGACTTTCATCATCGATCCCCCTTTTTCTTTTCTTTCTTCTGCTGCCTTTGAAGGACAAATCTTTGCACAATTACATAGGCTAAGCCTGGAATGACATTTGTATCATCAGTGACTTTGTACATAAAATCCACCGAACTTGCCACCGGAGTCACAAAGCGAGCCTCCAGTAAGCCTCTAGCTTAACACAAGCCCATCCATTCGTCGGGCCTGGTATTGCCTGGCTGGCGCGAAGCGCCCCTCGCGAAGCGAGCCTCCGAGAGGCTTAGTTAAGCTAGAGTAAGCCTGAGATAGCGTGAGATACTTGCGCCCTACAATCGCCATTTGGAAGAGGAAAGGTTTCCGCAAAAAAATCTCTTCCACGGCTTGGTAGGGCCGATGATTCATCCGGTTCACCAGCGAGTAAGCTGCGCCTCATACAACTGTCACGGTGCCTCCCAATTGCCAATCAACACATAGCCCTGAAGCCTCTTTATTCTGAATAGTAGTACGACACATTACATGGAGATGGCTTGGTGTGAGGATGAGGAGGCAGTCACAAAAAGCAGCACAGTTGCACATAAAGAGCAAGGTCACTTACCCTACCTTCATTCCCTTCCTCTTCATCATTGGAAAATTTTGACATAGTCCCCAGTAAAGCCTACCGATACCACCGCGATCGGATTACCTTACCGCTCTCCCATAAACAAAAAAAAAATTGGGATAACTATTCACGTGGCCCCAGATAGTAATTTTCATTTCTATGCTTGCTGAAACTTTTGGTACTTCCAGGTGGTACATAAATATTAACATTGCGACCTGTTTTATCAACTCTCTAGACACGAAACCAAAAGATGAAGATGCAAATCCTATCCATTATCTTCACCGCAATGACCATCCTTTTCCTCTGTAAGCAACAGTTATGTGGTTTAATTTTTCTCTGATCAGGCAGACTAGGAATAGTGCGGATACCAAAACAAGCAATTGCTTACACTTTTTGTTTGATTCCCGTCTCTATTTCAAGACGATGAATCGATGGCAGCACCAATGCCTAATTGGCGCAAGAAACTCGACAAAATCGCTGGCGATATTTTTATCCCCCCCAGAGCCAAATAGCTTGTAAATCTCTTGAAGAGCTTCTTTGCCTTGAGACTGTCACCCACTCCCCTTTTTTTTATTCCCGTTCTGGACACTCCTCCAATTTGGATCATAAATACACAGCGATTTACTGCATATGCGTTGTACAAAGAAATCAATCAATCTCCACAGGGAGAAATTTGTTTCTGTTTTCCTTATCTCCAAACTGCCAGATCAAATGAGTCTTGTAACCCAGATGTTGAATCATACTCGGAGTCCCGCGCATCTTTATCAGTAGTCCTTAACGTCCAATCTAGGATTTGTGCGTCTAAACTGGGGACTCCAGAAGGATTTGTACGCTAAACTGGAGACTCCAGATCGACCAGCAATATTCCACTCGCGCTCGCGAAGTAACGAAGTAAGTTCTCTCGAAGAGCACGCGACTTCATTTTCAAAATGTCTAGAATCCTCGTCTTGAGAGCCCATGCCGAAGTGGCACTTCGCTTGTGCGTTCCCGGGGCGATAATACAGCTTCGTTTGGAGTCTTTGTCGCGCGAACGCATTGGAATTCATTGATGAACTTGTACTCAGGCTTACATAGCTGCTGGATTCGTGCAATACCAACTCTTCTCTTGACTGTTCGTGCTGGAAGTCGATCTAGAAGAATAAAACAAATGGACGGCCAGGAACGGCATGGCTCGGGTTGAGCGGCTGAAGTTTGAACTGAGAGGTGGCTGGAGTTACATACACTTTTCGAAAAGAAGCAGCCAGTCGCGGCGCCATCTGCAAGCTTTCACCTGCTTTCACGTATTTTAGCTGTGCATAATACTTGCATCTTCACGAAGCCGGCGTTCCATGGCGGTGCAAGTGGTGGAGGGGCGCCGGACCATTTGTTCTACTCTGAATAACCGATCAGCTCCGGGCGTAACCTATTTGCCACATGCTCAGTGCTCCTTTATCAACTTCAAATCTTTTTGACCAGTTGCCGCATTCGCATCTTCTCACCTCCGTACCAACAACAAGAAAATCTTATCTGCTCCAGCTTCCAGCGCTGATACTTTTACGCAAAATGCAGTTCGCCTACCTGTTTGGGTTCTTGATGGTCGCCTTGATTCAAACCCATTGCCAAGCTGATCAAGTCGATCACGATGCATTCTATTGTAAATATAAGGACAAGTCGCAAGGGTTCTGTCTTTTCTCAAACAGCGGGGAACATCTGGGAAGCAATACTGGCTCGGGAGGCGATACCGGCCCAGGAGGAAACCGCAGCTCGGGACGTACCCGAAAAGTGCAATGTGAGTTCAATTGACACTGGCCTGCTCAGTTAACCTATTGGCCCCAGCTTCAATCTAGTCATCACAAGGAAGACTAGTTGGATTAAACCAGCATCTCACAACTTTAACGGGCTCTTTCAATTTGTGATGTTGATCGCCGGTGCCCGCCCGAGTTCCCCTTGATATGAATCCACCAGATAACCAACTCTTGATCTTTCTATTCTCGTATTCTTTAGTGATAAAAGCTTCTCCGGAAGGTCAAGGCTTTTCCTGCGACGCAGCAAAGCTCGACGAGGTGAATGTCCATAAAGAGAAACCACAGTGCTGCTATCCGACATTGAAAGTATGTTTTGAAATTGTTTCTGTTTACTTGGTAGCCCCAGCTCATCAAAAACTAATTTTTCTTGGATGTGTTTAAATACATAGAAAGATAACATTGCATTCCAAATGAGATTCGACGACTTCCGCACGAGTTGCACCAAGCCCTCAGCCACATCGGACACCATACCATTGTAGACAACTGAATTCAGAGTTTCCATGTCTTCCTCCCACTTTCACATCTTGTTAGCAGTCTTGTTGCGAAAGATACGCGATGACTAAAATGCACTTGAATTAGAAAATAATTAGAATCGTGATAACTAACTGCCCACTCTGTCGGTTTTGATGACTTCAATATTGTGGTGGACTCATTGAAAATTTTATAAATGTGACCCCTTTATGAGTCCTGAAGAAGGGACAGTCAACATTTGTTTTTTGGTTTGCCATTCTCATTTCCACCTTTTCCAGATTTTTTATTATGATTAATATAAAATGGAATCCCTTTTGTTCATGTGTTTCTCCTTTGAATTGCTATTGAGTTCTATTTTATCTCAAAACACTTGAAAGAAAAAAGAGCTCTTAGCCCATCATCAAAATACATAAGTTCTTGGTACAAAAGCCACTGCAAAGTTAGAAAGTCAAAAAGGAAGACCAATCAGTGGATTCTGGAGGTATCAAGGTTTTAGTACTCAGAATTGTTGGAATACCAATACCTCTCTTGTCTTCTTGATCCTTGTCAATTGTTTTCTTTTCTTTGTGGATTTAATATTTATGCCTTGCCTTCTGTCTCACAACTAATCCTTCCTTGTTGTAATAGCTTAAAATACATACTGTATAGATAGAAATAAATTCATCTGTCTTTCTGAAACCAATCCCTGAGGCCTTAATTAAAATTACAGCATGCAACCACCTATAGTTTCAGACACTGAGAGACTAGTCCATGTGTCTACATACATGAGATTGTAACCCCTCCAGGCTACATAATTATTATGAGTTTAGGTATTCTTTAAATTGATATACATTTGACTCCCTCTTATGAAAATAAGAGAAAGGCTAATTATCTCCCTTGTGTTTATTTATCAAGGAGATATTATTCTAATGTGTTTATCTCATATTTCTCTCTGGCTTATCCTAATAACAAGAGAGATATTCAACATGTGGGCATTTACAATGCCTTGAAAATCATGGCACCTTTCCCCAAGGAAATGGTGTAATTATATGGGTACCATACCAGTCCCACAAGCAGATTGACCTCTGCCTTGTAATTCTCAAAGGGAGGGTCTTCCCTCTGGGTGTTCTTCCCCCAGAGATTATTGCCATACAACCCCAATCACCTCACTTGTTACTCAAAAAATTGGGGGGCGGATGTCATGAGGAGCATCTGCAGACTGTCCTCAGGACATGCCCAAAATTCAGGAGTTGGAACTCCAAATTTTGGGAGTCAATCAACCAAGCCCCTATTACTAGCAAGAATTGGGAAAATTTTATGATACTAATATCTGTCAGGCAAACTACTTAGGTTGGCAGTGCAATGGCAGAGTGGGGGTCTGGATAGAATTTGTCCTTTTCAGCTTCACTGCATGGATAGAGATGGATCTCTAATTTTTACCACTGCTTGAGAGATTGACAATGCATGGTTTTTTTCTTGGTTGCAAGACTACAAGTTTGACATCAAAAGTGTGTGTGATCTATTACAAAAGAGGGGTAAAACTATTTGTTAGATAAAGAAAAATGCAAGCTGTTGGATTATGTAAGCAAATCACACTTGATATGTATGCGCCTTCGATCGAGAATCACCTTAATGCCAGTAATTTCACAGTGGAGATGGTCAACTACTACCACCGACTATCCCTAGTATGCTCAGCACCACCACACTACCCAAGAACGAAGAACCTACGACTAGCAACAACAAGAACTTACTCTCAACTCAGATATCAATCGACTCATCATAACAGATCACTACCAGAAGACCGAAGAAAACCATCCTCATGGAGCCTCATCCTCACCTCAACACTCTTAGTAGCAGTCACCTCTGGGACAATCTGGTCTTATCAAGCAGCTTCAAGGGAACAAGAGAAGAAGAAGAAGAAGCACATCCGAACACACCAATACAGCCCATTCGAAATCAATCACTCCAAGTTGCTGACTCCCGATACAGCCCTAATCGAACTGGATATAGTCGGAACTCTAGACCCGATCGACAGTCCATTTTACATCGAATCGGTCTACCTCAAGCAGCCCGCACTCCAGATCGAACGGCCATACACGCCCCTCTCATCCCTCACTCCCTCAGGACTTCCGCCAAAGGATCCCGCGGAGCTAGCTTCCAAGAAGACGATCGAGTTGCTCGTCAAGAGATACCAGGATGGTGATATGTCTACGTACTTACACCACGTCAGAAAACCCGGTAATCAGCTCGAGATCAGGGGTCCAGTCCCGACCTGGTGGTCTCCAAAGGATCAAATAGATGAACTGGTATTCGTGCGTGATCAGATCCCTCCCAATAATAAAGCTCAGATTATTAAGACGCGGGGCTTAGTCAACTGAATCCTGTCGTCTTTGGACTTCAGATCGCTGCAGGAACCGGAATCACCCCAGCAATCCAACTGATCCGTCGGATCTTTCATCAACAGACAACAACAGCCAACCTACCCAAATTCAAACTCATCTACCTCACTCGTTCATTAGACTCAGCGTACCTCCTAGACGAACTCCAAAAGTATCAATCAACTTATCCCGAGCTGATGACCTTCAAGCTGCTCGTCGATCAGTGCGTGAACCAAACTTCGGTCACTCAGAATCTCAAAATAGACAAGGTGGGACGTTTGACATTGTCAGACCTCAGGAAATGGGTCGGAAATCATAATCAAGATGATACGAAGAAAATGATCCTTGTTTGTGGACCAGATAGGTAAGAAGATATCCTCCAAAGAAGACAAGTTTCTCAAAGAAGAAAAAAACATTAAAAATTTACAATCTGTGTGTTTATTTGTTTTTACAGTTTGATATGCGCTGTAGCCGGCTGTAAGGGTCGTGGATATAACTCACAAGGAGATCTAGGAGGGATGCTAAAAACATTAGGATATTCGAGTGATCAAGTCTTCAAATTATGAAACAAGAAAAAAAATGTTGGATTGTGGCAGGGTTATATGTGAACAAACTTTACGACGACGAATCGAATGCAACGTTGATTGAAAGTCAATGTGCTATCGGATTCTTTGAAACCTCCAAAAATCGACGGCAATATCCAATGTTTTGTGTTTATGGATTTTCATTGTTTTTGGCAGGTCATACTTTGACGACCCAATTACCACCGGAGAGTGAAAGATCCTGTCAATGGATTGATTGTAGTACCGCAAAGAATGACTTGAAAGAAAAGGGGCAAACCTACCCTCATCTCAGCTATCACTTCGCCTTCAAACCCGTATTCGTTGGCCTTCTTTTCAATAAATTTGCGTGTGCTTGATTTGTGAAGTGAATAAACGGCTGAGTTGGACATCTGCAGACAGCGGAGAACAAGTCTTGGTTAGATCAGGTTACGTCGGAATGTTCAAATCAAACCGTATTCTTGGCCCTGGGGAGGCGGAGCTTGAACTGACTTGACAGGCTATCTCCAAAAACACTATGTCGATCCCTTTATTTTTGGTCCCGAAGGGTGGATTCATGACCTAGATTGACCATCAAAAATGGCAACATACATAAGTCTTTTTTTCTTCGGGGTATGAAAAATTGATTTTAAGAAAAAAAGATGAATCGAGCCAACCACTAACAACGGTATCAAAGAACGGCTCTTCTTCAGAGTCGTTTCTAGAATGACCACCAAAGAGATCCCGAAACGAAGAGGAACTACTCAAGTCGGCTTGTATGAAGTCGATCGTCGAGTCCGAGATATCTAAGGATGCGAGATTGTTCCGGGCGACAAGGAGCGCATCGGGGTCGAGGTCGACGCCTAAGGTATATCTAAAAGGGTATGACCGCACACAATGTTTATATTTTGTGTGAATTTTGGTTCTAGAGGAGGATTCTGGAATGGTTTATGTTTTGAAACAACTAGAGATGAGAATATATGAAAGACATACGCAGAGCCCAGAAGAGTAGAGGCAATCGAAAGGATCCCGCATCCACATCCCAAATCGAGCACCCTCTTGTCCAACACATCCTCGTATGTCGATTGGGCGGTAAACATCATCCGTGAGGCTAGATGGGCTGACGTGACCTATCCATTCAAGCCATATCCTTTCTGGCGCATCAGCTCAGGAGGTCTGATGATCACGGTTTGGTTTAGAATGACTTCGGGATCAAAGGGAATCGTTGGGCGGGGGACCTACATATTGTTCTAGCTCGATTTTAGGAGCATCTGTAGATTGATTTTGGACGGACAAATTAAAAAAAAAATCCATGAGATTGTCGGTAGTTATCAGTTCAAGGGATCGTTGCGACCGAAAAGAAAATTAAGATGGTTGACGGAAGAAAACGCAAGTTTTGGCATTATATTCAGTAACCAATCAATAAGCTGCAAGAAAAACGGAAGGGAAGGGAATGAGGACGAGAGCTTAACTGACTGAATCCGCGCAATCCTTGTAACTCGGCCTCCAATTCTTTCAATCGGATCGACCCCATCCTCGAGAAAACCGTACGATGTTGCCACACCTCTGAAAACAACAAGTGTGCGAAGTCCCAAATCAAGTGTGGGGGTTTGGGGTTTTTGATTTGGAGAGAGAGAGCTTGTGATTCGCCGCAGTTGAACCTGGGTGGCTCCCTCCAGTCACTTGATTCAAATATCGAAACATCTGTCTTTTTGTCTCTCTTTCCTATCCTGCACTAATAACCAAAAAGTGATATGTCTATAGAGACCCATAATTTAGGCCTGTGGCATGAATCTTTCAAAACTAAATGAAAATCTGACCACAATTGTTGATTGGTGAACTTCATTCACATCTTGACTTAGTGTGCGTATGGTTCTTTGTAGCGCTGGACCCTGTACCAGCCCGGGTGTACCCCCAGGACGGTGTGGTATACCTTAAGGGTAGCCATCTGGCCCATTTAAAAAATTTTATACTGTTCTTTCTTTTATTACACAATTACACCTTTTTTTCTCATATATACACTCACAAATCTCCCAATATGGCTCAAGAACTGTATTCTACGGTCAATTTCACACTTGGTCACCACTGGAGGCATCACTGGAACTCAACTGGATTGGAAGCTACACCCTCTGGACTAGAGATGGCCCCGGTGCATCCGGATATCCGGCTGCTTTTTCCAGGGAAATGGGCATCCGAACCCGCATTCGCAGCCGCCAGCGGGTATCCTCGGATACCCGCCCTATAAAAAGTCGGCAAGGAACCGGCTGGAAGGGGTTCCTTCCAGTCGGCGAGGTACATGTACCCCGCCGGCTGGAAAAAACCCTTGCAGTTGGCAGTGGCGAGGTACATGCACCAGCGAGGTGCATGTACCTCTTACCGGCTGGAAGTAAAGCCTTCCAGTTGACGAGGTACAGTATCCTCCCAGATGTTTATGTCTGGGGGTAAACCTGTCACAGGTCCACTTGAGCCCGCGCAGTGGCGCACTACAAACTCAGCCGAAGTTCAGCAGATTGTTGTAACACGCCTACCAACAAGAAACGAAGCCATCATCTTATCCCAAGCCAACATCATCTGTGGCCAGCCGATAGACCGCCCGGATCGTCTCTGAGGAATCGTATCCCAACTTGCAGAAACTTCGGATCCTCAACTCTGGCAAACTAGGAACCCTCGTACTCGTCGTTGTAGCCGATAGATCGCCCGGATCCTCTCAGAAGAATCATACTGACTTCTGGAAACTTTGGATCCTCGACTGCGGTGAACTAGGAACCATCATCTTCTTCATACTCGTAATCGTTGTCGTAGCCAATATAGATCGCTCGGATCCTCTCCAAGGAATCATACCGACTTCCGGAAACTTTGGATCGCCTCCGGAGAACTAGGAACCGATCGACTCCGGCAAACTAGAAACGCCAGCATCCTCTTCTACTCGTACTTGTTGTCGTCATTGGTGGTGGTGGATAAAAGGACTTGTGCGACCACACCCTTGGCAAGGAAGAAGATCCTAATTTTTAATAATAATTTTTCATTTTTTTAATTTTTTTATTTGATCATCATTATCTCCCGCATCTCAGCTAAACTCCCCTTGTCTTGTTTTATTTTTAAAAAAATTATTAAAGAAAAAAAAAAAAATTGAATTTTGCTTTTATTTTTTTAAAATGTCAAGCAATGACTTTTCCTACTCTGTTGTTTCATACTCTTTTTTATCATCTCCCCATCTACCACTCCCCAAAAAATGGGAAATAAAGAATGAGTATATTTTTTTTAAATTAAGTAATCCAACTGCCATAAACATCTGGGAGGAGACTGTACATGTACCTCGCCGACTGGAAGGCTTTCCTTCCAGCCGGCGAGCATGTACCTCTTGCCAACTGGAAGGCTTTCCTTCCAGTTAACAAGGTACATGTACCTTGCCGACTGGAAGGCTTTCCTTCAAGCTGGCAAGCATGTGCCTCTTGCCGACTGGAAGGGTTTCCTTCCAGTCGACGAGGTAAAAGCCTTCCAGCCGGCAAGCATGTACCTCTTGCCCACTGGAAGGGCTTCCTTCCAGTCGACAAGGTACATGTACCTCGCCGGCTGGAAGGAAACCCTTCCAGCCGGCCATTGGCCTCGGGTATCCATTGAGATACCTGGGTATCCGCTGGAAAATCAGAGGAAAGGGTACATCCGCACCCAAACCCGCATCCGCTGGCGGGTATCCGCTACAGCAGGCAGGTATCCGCCAGCGGATAACGGGTATCTGTGAGCCTGGGTCTCAAAAGTGACGGCAGGACACAAGGATGGGGGGGCAAAACTAGATGTATTTCTGAGGGATAAGGAAATACAACTAGAAGGAGAGGAAAAGGAAAGAGAAAGAGAAAGAGAAAAGAAATGAATAATATTTTTATTGTTTATTTATTTTAAAGTCAAGTCTTAATGCAGTCTTACTTTCCTTAAGAGGATGGCTGTTATTTTAGCGGAATAAATCTATGCCTCCTAATCAAATGAAACTGAGAAGGGCTATTGGTATTGATATGTCAATCCAACCACTATTTTTTAGATCAAAGATCAAGGTTCTTTAAAGGGAAACCTATGTGGTTTTCAGTTATACCACCAAACAAAGAATAATGACGACTTAAAGAAGACTTGGATTGATGTGATGATGATGGAGGCAGGTATTTAGTAGAAACAGAATGAAGGGTTCCTTCAGAGAGACAGAGAAGAAACTTAGCAGAAAGATGCAAGCTTGACTTGATGGAATGACTTACTATTTGGTGATCCTGACACTGAGAGTGGGAAGATTCCAAAGAGTAAAGGACTCCAAACGATAACACGGCGATGATACGGCTGTGAATCCAAGTTGAGGTATGCTGGTTTTCTGGTCTGAGTTGGTTCTGGGTAGGTCTGAACCTTGAAGATCCCGAAAATGCAAACTCAGTGTCTACTGAGAAAATTTTCAGAGTTGGATTACATAATCACAACATGTACATGTGGTAGAGAGTTGGAATTCCAACTTGGTTGGTATTTCACAAGGTACTGTGAAATATTACAAAGTCTATGAAGGAGAAGAGTAGTGCCAAAGTGTGTAGTGGTGACTAGGGTTAAAATTAACAGAGCAATTCATTTCTGAAGTCAGAAAGTAATAAAAGATTAGGATGAAAAAGTTATAGTAGGGACTTGAGTGAAAAAAGGGGGACTTAAGCAGTCTTTTGGCCAGCTTGGCTGGCTCTAAGGCTGACAGTATCCGCAATGGATACCCGGAGACCATCTCTACTCTGGACCATCACTGCACTCAATTACACAACTCACCACCATGGCAACACTTCAACACTCAACACCACCAACAAATTACATAATTCACACTACACAAATGCACATTGCAGGACAACTACATACTCACATCATTATAGTACAGGTATACACAAACCTATACTATCTTCTGACACTTGACATATGTAGCTTCTAGGCTGGTTCTGTTGCCATGTCACTTGTTAATCTTCCTTGCAGCTGTTAGACTATCTCACACCACTCATGTAATACTCATCACCTCACCATAGCTTGCAGACTAGTACATCACCTCATGTGAAATGCTTCACCAGCATAAAACCCTCATTTAGGTTTCTAGTTCAAGCTAAAATAACTCTTATGACATCATGTAGGATGCTCAACCAGCCAAAATACCTCATGTACATGTTCTGACTAGCTAAATCCCCTCATTGTAAAGCTCTGGCCAGCTAAAATCTCTCATTCTCTTGTTCCCCTGAAGCTAAAATCCCTCACCTTTGTGCATTTAAGAGGCTCTCCTCTCAGTTGTTTTCCCCTCAGTTTAGTATCCACCTATTTCATACCCCCTACCCTTACAAACCCTTACATACCATTACATAACATTGAAATATCAGCTAGACTCACTCTCTCACTCTCAAATCAACCTTTAGACCCTTATAAAACTGGGTTAAACCCTTTGTCCACCTGTTAAGCCACAGTTATTTTTTGATACCCTCCACTATCACTTTATTAAACCTTCCAATCTGAGATTGGTGGGCTTGTCTAGTGTCTAGTGATCCAGGAAAGGCAGAGGTATCCTCATTCATCCCTTTCCACACTCAGAAAAAGGTTTTCACAAACACTTTTGAGCTTTACAACAGTCTCCAGGTGGCTTCTTCAGACTGCTGTGGACCGTTGGGTGTGGTGGCTATGGGGCATGGGCAGCCTGATACCGGTATCAGTATTTCCTTGGTTGGTGAAAAAATACATTGTATTGGATTTGGATTTAAAAATGAAAAACAAAAATTCGTCTTGCTTTTTTTTTTTTTCTTCAATACGGCCAAATATCTTGTGTATCAAATACGTTTTTGGTGGGATCAGTCATCTGAGACAATGCAGAATACATTTCACACTTTTCAAATACAATACATGTGTATGTCTCAGGAAAGTGAGACAACACAAATCCGGTATTTTTGGGTATTCAAATTCTGAGACGATACAGATAAACGCCTGATACCGTATCATATCGTCTCTGTTGCACTGTCGTATTAGGCCAGTTCAAGGAGATGCTGCCAGCCCAAGATGGATTTTGGGAAGCTGGCTGGCTGTCCTCATTGTGAAGCAGGCAGCCGGCTGCGTGTTTCATTGCTTGCCAAGCAGGCTCTTCTGACCTTGGGTGGTGACTTTGACAGATGTAGAAATTGTGTTGGAACTATTTGATTCTTCTTGATATCAACATTATTGTGAAGCTTGTCAGCCATGGTGGCTGGAGCTTATTCAGGATGTGTGGTAGAAATATATGCTATTTAGCAGGGTGATTGGTCAGATGAGGTATATGATGATGGATGACTGTTGTTACGGTTCAGCAGTAAGAATCCTGCCTCCAGCCTCCCAGTCTGGTTGGTGCTTGCTGGGAATAGCTGGGGTGCTGTATAACCTACCGTCACTAGAAACAATACCAGTTTTGCCCCAGGAAAAAATGGCAATTCGGTTGGTGGAAAATAGTTCAATTTCCTGAGGCTTTTCTTGCAAAATGACTCAGGAGTAAAACTGAGGCTAGAATGAGCTATTTTAGCCCAAAAATATACATGCCTCAAAAATTCCAAAATTAATATTTAGCTCATCTGAGGCATTTTTATTTTTTGGCAAAAATAGCTCATTTCAGCCTAATTTTT